TACGCTAGAAGATACCCAATATGACGATGACTTTATCGTATTGGATTTGGATGACAAATTTGATGTCATCCTTGGAATACCGTGGTCTCAGAAGGTACGAACCACGGGTAAACTGGCAACATCGGGCAGTAACGATGCCTGCCGCTTGTTCATCAGATGGCCATCTGATGAACGTTTTGGAGCGTCCACAAGCGTGTGGATGTACTATGGGAGTGAGTGCGATGGCCTCACTTGTGGTACGGTCGTTAGTACGACTGCACAAAACCTTAGTGTACCAAACGGTTACACTTCCGGAGCAAAGGGGGTTCCGGCGGCTGTGAGGAAACACAGGCTGCGCCGAAGGTCCTCCACTCGAATAAGTCGGGGGTGGACTGGGACAAAGATGTATCCCTAGCGGGGGAACATCTAGAAGAGAAACAATCGATCGCTCAGGTTAAGCGAAACGATAATCCTAGATCGACTGGAGAGTCTTTCGTAGAGGATCTCGCTGTGGTTGCGCAACCCCAGCTAGAGGAAGTAAAGGGAATAAGTCCCAAGATTACAAATACGGCGGAAATAAGTTCCCCGAAACCCGCGGGAATAAGTCCCCGGGAAGCCGAAGGAATAAGTCCTTCGAAGCCTGAGGGAATAAGTCCCCAGGAAATGACAGAGACATTGAATGTCATAGTCAATAACGGATCAAGTGTAGGCGCTTATACACTTGATCTGATTGCGCCTCCGAAGTTAACTTCGGAGATCACTCAGTTGCCAACGCTCGAACATAAAAGGTTCTTGCGTGATCTGCGTAGTGGCAAAGTCAAGCAGATCTGCATACTCGTCGCTGACGACGAGTGTGTAATCGACATAAGGTCAGCAACAGTGTTCACTGAGAACGAGAGAGTTCTCAGTAGTTCATCTATGGACGAAAGTGTCCTAGATGAAAAGACACGAATTGAGCGATATGACTCCCAATCGTGGGAATCGCTCAAGACAAATCCTCTTTATGAAGATTTGGTTGAATTCAAGGATGTATTCCCTGAAACTGTTCCGTGCGAATTACCGAAGGATAAAGGTATTCGACACGAGGTCGAGCTTAAACCAGGCTCGAAGTACTGTGTCATGAAGCAGTGGCCACTGCCTCGTGAACAAGTACTTGCGATCGACAAGTTCTTTGCCGATCGTTTAGATGCGGGCCATGTGAGGGAATCAACTTCCCCACATAGCTCTCCGACCTTCTGTGTGCGAAAAGCAACAGGAGGGTGGCGGATAGTGCACGCGCTCAACAAATTGAACGCTGCAACGGTACTGGCTCAGACGCCGATACCGAGGAAGGACGTAATCATTGATGGTATGTCAAAGAGTACCATCTTTTCGTCCATGGATTTGATGGATGGCTTCTATCAAATCCTTATGCGGGAACGGGATATACCCTATACCGCAGTTAGCACGCCTAGCGGCATGCTCTGGGAATGGCTAGTAATGCCACAAGGGCTTAGTAATGCCCCTGCCACGTTCAACAGATGTGTATCACATCTGTTGAGACCAGTACGAGAATTCGCGCCGAGTTATTTCGATGACGTATTCATCCATAGTCGAGCTATGGATGGAAAGTCGGACGTTGAGGTTCACAGGTACCACGTCCGACAAGTTCTTACAATCATGCGAAAGCATCAATTGTATGCTAACCTCAAGAAGTGTATATTTTCAGCAAGCGAAATACCACTTCTTGGGTGCATCGTTGGTAAGAACGGTGTACGTCCTGATCCCGAAAAGATCAAGGCGATCACCGACTGGCCTGTGCCGGTTGATGTCAAAGGTCTTCGAAAGTTCCTTGGGCTAGCGGCTTATTTGCATAAGTATTCACGCAATTACGCCGAGATGACTGTGCACCTTTCTCGTTTGTTGAAAAAGAACGAGAGGTGGTTATGGAACGCTGAATGTCAACGCTCCTTTGAGGGTATCAAGCAAAGCTTGATACAATCCCCAGTCCTAGCAATAGCCGATCAGGACAGGCCATTTCATGTGGTCTGTGATGCCAGCGATTTCGCAATCGGCTGTGCATTAATGCAGTACGATCTTGAAGGCGTTGAACGCGTCGTCTGCTATCAGTCGCGTCAGCTGCAACCAGCTGAGCGGAACTATCCAGTGCATGACAAGGAACTCCTTGCTATGAAGTATGCACTCGCGAAGTTCAGAGTCTATCTATTAGGAGATAGACCCTTCATTGTTTACACTGACCATGCGTCATTACGCACGGCAGTGAACAGCCCGCACCTTTCACAACGAATGGCGCGGTGGTTGTCATTCTTTGCGGAATACAACTTTACGGTCGAGTACAAACCAGGACGACTTAATGTCGTCGCTGATGCACTCTCACGTCGTCCCGACTTTGAAACAGTCGCGAAACCCAACAGTGAGACAGTCAATGTTGCGGTTATGACGTCCTCAGTCCCATCTACAACGTTGTATGATGATGTGAGGCGGGCATACGCCCAAGATGGTGAGATTGTGAAGTTGCTGACACATCTCTCCCAACCATCCCGAGAATCGTTGAAACGATTGTCGCCTGCGTATCGATCTGCATCAGATCGATACACTACTCGTAACGGTTTACTATATTATACAGCCGTTTCTGGTGACACACCACGTGTTGTCATTCCAGATGATACTGATCTGCGTTTGCGGATCATGTTCGAGCATCACGCTGCTCCCATAGGAGGACATCGTGGCCGAGAGAAAACATATCTCACGGTAAGTCGAGACTTTTACTGGCCCCGCCAGTATCAGTTTGTGCGAAAGTATGTTCGCGCATGTGAAGTCTGTCAACGAGTGAAGTCAAGTCCTTCACTGCGTGCACCTTTACAGCCCATACCGGTTCCGGGTGAGTGTTGGGAATCCATCTCAATGGATTTCGTCTTCGGGTTACCCAAAGACGCACGCGGGAATACGGGTATTCTCGTATTTGTTGACAGATTCAGCAAAATGGTACACCTTGTGGCTGTACCAGAGAGACAATCACGGCAAGTGTCTGTGCTTGTGTCTTTATTGACACCATCTTCCGACTTCATGGGTTGCCCCGTGAACTCGTATCAGACAGAGATCCACGATTCACTGCTGATTTCTGGCGTTCCGTGTTCAAATCACTCGGAACGCGCTTGAAGATGTCAACATCTGATCATCCAGAGTCAGATGGTCAGACGGAACGTGCCAATCGTGTCCTTGAAGAAATACTTCGAGGATACGTACACTCCTTTAAGAGTTGGAGTGAGTTTTTGCCAATGGTAGAGTTTGCCATCAACAACTCGGTGCATGCGTCCACGACACATACACCGTTTTACGTGAATGGCTTGCGTCATCCGCGTGTACCCACCTTACTAGAGTGTAACTCTGGTTTAAGGGGGGAGGGACTCGCGCGAGAAAAACCGAATTGGTTCACGCTCATCACGCTCTGACGAAGAAGTCATTGCGTTTGATGCCGATATCGATAACATCGATATCGAAGTAGATGATGCCAGTGAGAGTGCGGAAGCCCTCACTGAATAAAAGGTTGATGTTGCTGCAGTGCGCTCACAGCACACTGAATCTAACGAGTCACCAGATGAGTTCATACTGGCTCGTGAAACGGTAGTCCGTTTTGTGCAAGACTCCATCGCCGAAGCGGTGGATAAGCAAAAGCAAAACGCTGACAAGAATGGAAGGGCAAACACTCTTTTTTTTTTTAATAAAGGTGACTTAGTCCTACTGTCTACGGTTAATCTACCAAAGCATGTAGTGACTAACTTGGGTAGCAGTAAACTACTACCCAAGTACATCGGCCCATTTCGTGTATTGCACCGCCTAGGCAATGCATACACGATCGAGTTACCACGTAAGATGCGAACGCATCCCACGTTTTACGTTGGTCGGCTTAAGCCGTATTATCAGTACGCTGCTTCTTCCGATGAAGAACGCCCTTGCGCTCAAGCATCTCGCAGAGAGCCTTGTGCTCCCGATGGTGGGCATCAACAAGGGTCTGAAGAGCAGCTATCTCATCCCGAGACCGATCAACAATCCCACGAGCTACCCTTAGCTCGTCACGAGAGATGTCAGAGATCTCTCGTTCTCAAGCTGAGCAAAGGCAAACTCAGCTCGATGCTTCGAGGCAGTGCCCGCCATTTGGAGACGCCTATTCCGCTCATGTTCTAGATCGTCGCGTAACCCTTGCGTTACGCGATCAAAAAGCTCTCGGGAACACACCGATCCACATGATCGTGTGGAGAGCGTCTTTCCTCCTCCTCCACCTCCATTAGAGGACTCTTGCGGTGGCCAGCGCTATCTAGTTGAGCAGCTGTTGAACCACCGCGACGTGAACGGACGTCGAACGAGTTATCTCGTCCGGTGGCGCGGCTATCCCCCCGTCCTGGGATTCTTGGGAGCCCCGCGCCCAACTGATGATCGACGTACTGGGTCTGGTTGAGCAGTACGACGCGGCACATCCTGTGCCGCAGAAGGACCGCCGGAGAAAGTCTTCCCGGCACGGTCGTAAAGGGATTTCCAGATTGTCAATCCCTTCGTACATCTCAGTAGAGATACGTACGCGCCACCACGGGCTGGTAAGGAGGTAAGCCTCCTTAGGTGCTCGTGCAGAGTTGTTCACACAACACGGGGACGAGTCTCCCCAAGAGAGGCAGGGTAATCCCTTCTCCCTTGACAGACGATGCAGCTTGTAGCGTGCACCTGTCGGGGTTCGCTTTTCAAACTTATCACGAGCTTTGATAAGTTTGTCGTTCCAAACGTCACGACCTACATTTTAAGGTTATGGATGTAGGCGTTCCACGCCTGAAGCAGTGAGGGACCATCACGCTTGTGATTCCCACTGTACCATCGATGTCTAAAGAAAGCATCGATGAAGAATTCATTCTCAGCGCGATAGTTTTTCGCGCTGGGGTCAAGGTGATGGAGCCTTGACGAATCGAACAATCGTGTTCGATAGCGATCACTCGTCGTCGCCGACAAGTGATCCATGACAGATTTGGGAGGCATCCATGCCTTCTTCTCAGGAGCGAGACGCAACACATTGCGGTCACGCTCTTCCTGCGATGTGCCGACAGAAGTACTGGCACCTCGATGTGAAGTGGTGTCCATAGGAGAACCGACACCACTATTAGCGCCCGAGTCTCGCGACCTCGAGCGCCTTCGCTTCGGCGATGGTTCATCTGATTCATCAGATGAACCAAAGATGCTGCGACGCAAAGCATCATCCATGCCACGCTTGGCAGGCGGCTTTTATTCAATCGCCGTCGATACGGATCCGTCTTCCGTATCAGGAGAGTACGAGACACCGAGCTCGTACTCTGTGAAGACATGAGTGTCTTCATGACCAGCGTCTGCATCACCAAGTGACACAGGCTGGGTCGCTTCAGCAACCGATGAGGCATCAGTTGCTGAGGTTTCTGCTTCGGCGTCCGCACAGAGACGTGCGGACGCGCTCTCGGCGGCCTTGCTCGCGCATCGCATGGGCTTGTTTACCATGCGATGAGATGTTGGAAAGTGGACGCGGACCAACAAGTGCAAACCCTGTCCCAAATGATTTGGGACGAGTATCCATTTAGTCAATCAGTCACTAAAGTGACTAATGGTTAAGGGGGGTGATGTAACGGGGTGAATCGTTACATAACAATTTATAAGAAATTGTTAATAGAATATAACTGTAAGAGTTATATTCTCAGAATACTGTCATAAGGACAAATATTCTGTAGCACTTACGAGTAGTTCCTAATTGGTTGATATAGGCCATTATATCAACCAACGAAGACGCGCCACGACAGACGCACGCAATGAGTGGTGAGCAGATAACTGATTTACACATTTGTATTTAGACATAGTTAGATGAAGATAAATAGTGATTTATTGCAGACATTAACTATTATAAATACAGTTCTACTTTACTTTAACCAAGTACTCGCTTCTTCTTACCGTCTTCCTCTGCACGTACGAGTGTACGTGAAGTTACGAGGCACCGCCTTATTCTGTCATCAGAATAAGTAGCTTGTACTGTCACCAGTACAAGCTTCAGGGTGCCCCGTTACAACATCCTAACCTCGACAGTGCTTCTCCCGCCGCGAAAATGCTTTTCACGCAGCGCTAAACTCTATCGTTATCGGTTTATCATGAAGCACGACAATTACCCTCACGCAGGCAAAATGTTTTTGTGTCTGGGTGATGAATGGAATCACAGAGCTCGACTCAAAAGCACTTTTCTGAATGATTGTGTTTTGGAGTGTACAATAGATGAGAGGATGTCTATAAAAGGAGAATGTATTAATCTGACCAAGGATCAGGGGGTCCGGCTATATACTTTAGTTGTAAAATCATAGCTGACAAGGTGCGTTATTACCGATATCACTCTTAACGGTTTTACATCCCATTGTACTTCGCAATATAACAGCAACTAAAATGGATGTATTGTGACCGCGTTATCCAAATAATCTGAGCCAAATGATGGAGATACTGGCGAACAAGCAGCGGAGCAAGACTGGCTGCACTACGATCAATTGCACGTGAAACAGGAGTTACACTTGCTCAACGCGTGTTTTCTAGTAAAACCTATCGACTTTTAATCCTAACACTATTTAGTGATCGTATAGATGTTGCCATGTGGTCACGGCCTATTCAGTATTGTACGTTCGTGGCGATAATTCGAGTACATTAACATTGAGCATGTCTAATTTTGGTCTAACGAACAAATGATCAAGTTGACACTGTGTGTAACGGGCACCCTGAAGCTTGTACTGGTGACAGTACAAGCTACTTATTCTGATGACAGAATAAGGCGGTGCCTCGTAACTTCACGTACACTCGTACGTGCAGAGGAAGACGGTAAGAAGAAGCGAGTACTTGGTTAAAGTAAAAAGTAGAACTGTATTTATAATAGTTAATGTCTGCAATAAATCACTATTTATCTTCATCTAACTATGTCTAAATACAAATGTGTAAATCAGTTATCTGCTCACCACTCATTGCGTGCGTCTGTCGTGGCGCGTCTTCGTTGGTTGATATAATGGCCTATATCAACCAATTAGGAACTACTCGTAAGTGCTACAGAATATTTGTCCTTATGACAGTATTCTGAGAATATAACTCTTACAGTTATATTCTATTAACAATTTCTTATAAATTGTTATGTAACGATTCACCCCGTTACATCACCCCCCTTAACCATCAGTCACTTTAGTGACTGATTGACTAAATGGATACTCGTCCCAAATCATTTGGGACAGGGTTTGCACTTGTGGTCCGCGTCCACTTTCCAACATCTCATCGCATGGTAAACAAGCCCATGCGATGCGCGAGCAAGGCCGCCGAGAGCGGTCCGCACGTCTCTGTGCGGACGCCGAAGCAGAAACTCTCAGCAACTGATGCCTCATCGGTTGCTGAAGCGACCCCAGCCTTGTCACGCCGTGATGCAGCCGCTGGTCATGAAAGGACACTCATGTCTTCACTGAGTACGAGCTCGGTGTCTCATGCTCTCCTGATACGGAAGACGGATCCATCGACGGCGATTGAATCAAGCCGCCTGCCGAAGCGTGGCATGGATGATGCTTTGCGTCGCATCATCTTTGGTTCATCTGATGAATCCAGATGAACCATCGCCGAAGCGAGGCGCTCGAGGGTCGCGAGACTCGGGAGCTAATGGTGGTGTCGGTTCTCCCTATGGACACCACTTCACATCGAGGTGCCCGCTACTTCTGTCGGCACATCGCAGCCGAGCGTGACCGCAATGTGTTGCGTCTCGCTCCTGAGAGCATGGATGCCTCCCAAATCTGTCATGGATCACTTGTCGGCGACGACGAGTGATCGCTATCGAACACGATTGTTCGATTCGTGGGCTCCATCACCTTGACCCCGGCGCAAAGCTATCGCGCTGAGAATGGAAAATTTCATCGATAACAATCTTTAGACATCGATTGTGCAGTATGAGTCCCTGGCGTGATGATCCCCTCTGATTCAGGCGTGGAACGCCCATCCATGGCTTGCTGAGGATGAAGGTCGTGACGACTGGAATGACAGAGCAGATTAGAAGCCGTGATGGATATTCGAAAAGCAGCCGGCTGAGAGGTGCACGCTGCAAGCTGCATCATCAATCAAAAAGAGGATTACCCTGCCTCTCTTGGGAGACTCATCCCCGTGTTGTGGTGAAGGCTCTGCACGAGCACCTAAGGAGGCCCCCCTCCTTTACAGCCTAATATTGACGCGTACGTAATCTCTATTGCTTAGCCGAAGAAATTGACAATCTGAAGTCCTTTACGACCGTGCCCCCATTCTCCGGCGGGACATCTGCGGTACAGGATGTCCGCACGTCGTACTGCTCAACCAGGCCCAGTATCGTCGTCCTCAAAGGTCCCGGGACGAAGATAGCCGCATCCTGGGTTGATAATAACTTCGTCCGGTATCCATTCACGTCGAGGTGGTTCAACAGCTGCTCGACTAGATGGCGCTGGCCCCCACCGCGAGAGTCCTCTAATGGAGGTGGAGGAGGAGGAAAGACCGCTCTCCACACGATCATGTGAGGATCGGTGTGTTCCCGAGCTTCTTTGATGGCGTAACGCAGGAGTTACGCGACGATCTCGAGCATGAGCGGAATAGAGCGTCTCCAAATGGTGGACACTGCCTCGAAGCATCGAGCTGAGTTTGCCTTTGCTCAGCTTGAGAACGAGAGATCTCTGACATCTCTTCGTGACGAGCTAAAGGGTAGCTCGTAGGATTGTTGATCGGTCTCGGGATGAGGTAGCTGCTCTTCAGACCCTTATTGATGTCCACCATCAGGAGCACAGGCTCTCTGCGAGATGCTGACGCGCAAAGGGCGTACTTCATCGGAAAGAGCAGCGTATGCTGATCTTTATGACTTAAACCGATCAACGTAAAACGTGGGATGCGTTCGCATCTTACGTGGTAACTCGATCCAGTGTATGCATTGCCTAGGCGGTGGCGAATACACGAAATGAGCCGATATGCTTGGGTAGTAGTTTACTGCTACCCAAATTAGTCACACTACATACATTTTGAGCCCAGATTAACCGTAGACGGTAAGGACTAAGTCGCCTTGATTAATAAAGAGTGTTTGCCCTTCCATTCTTGCTCAATGATTTTGCTTTTGCTTCCCTTATCCATCGCTTCGACGATGGTGTCTTTGCACAAAGCGGACTACCGTTCATGAGCCATTATGAACTCATCTGGTGACTCGTTAGCTTCAGTTTGCTGTGAGGAAGCACTGCAGCAACATCAACCTTTTCTTCAGTGAGGGCTTCGCGCATTCTCATGGATAATTATTTATTGGATCACCTGGCGTAAATCTACTTCGATATCGATGTTATCGTTATCGGCGTCTTTCACAACTTTGGCTTTGGCTTCGTCAGAGCGTGATGAGCGTGAACCAAATCGGTTTTTCTCGCGCGAGTCCCTCCCCCCCTTAAACCAGAGTTTACACTTCTGGGTAAGGTGGGTACACGCGGATGAAGCAAGCCCATTCACAAGAAACGCCTTGCATGTATCGTGGACGCATGCGCCGAGAACGGTGATGGCAAACTCACCATTGGCAAGTAACTCATCCCATTTCTTAAAGGAAGTGTACGTATCCTCGGAGTGACTCTTCAAGGGCACGATTGGCACATTCCATCCGACCATCTGACTCTGGATGATCAGATGTTGACATCTTCAAGCACTTTGTTCCCAGTGATTTGGGCGCGGAGCGCCAGAAATCCGCAGTGAATAGTGGATCTACTCTCTGATACAACTTCCGGGGGTAATCCATGAAGTCCGAAGATGGTGTCGTAAAGGGGCCAGCACAGCCGCTTGCCGTGGTTGTCTCTGGGTACAGCCACAAGGTGTTGCCCATTTTGCTGAGTCTGTCAGCAAATGCTGAGAATCCCCGTGTTATGCGTGCGTCTTTGGGTAACGCGAGGCGAAATCCCGTGAGATGGATTCCCACTCAGCCCGGAACCGGTAATGAAGGCAATAACGAGGTGCACGCGGTGAAGGACTTGACTTCGCTCGTTGGCAGACACCCGCATGCGCGAACATACTTTCGCACAAACTGATCCTGTGCGCGGAACCAGACAAATCTCGACTTAAGCGTAAGATATGTTATCTCTCAGCCGATTACAATATCCTCCAATATAGGAACGTCGTGATCACTCGAACATGATCCACAAGCTGCAGATCAGTATCATCTGGAATGACAGCACGTGGTGTGTCACCAGAAACGGCTGTGTGGTACGGTAAACCGTTGCGAGTAATTGTATCGATCTGATGCGGATCGATGCGCAGACGACAATCGTTTCAGCGATTCTCGGGATGGTTTAGGAGAGATGTGGCAAACAACTTCACTATCTCATCATCTTGGGCGATCCCGCCTCACATCATCATACGGCGTTGTAGATGGGACTGAGGACGTCATAACCGCAGCAGTGACTGTCTCACTGTTGGGTTTACCGACTGGTTCAAAGTCAGGACGACGTGAGAGTGCATCAGAGCGACATATGACGACATTAAGTCGTCCTGGTTTGTACTCGACCGTAAAGTTGTATTCCCGCCAAGAATGGTAACCACCGCGCCATTCGTTGTGAAAATTGCGGGCTGTTCACTGCCGTGCGTAATGACGCATGGTCAGTGTATAACACTGAGGGGGTCTATCTCCTAATAGATGGACTCTGAACTTTCGCAAGTGCATACTTCATAGCAAGGAGTTCCTTGTCATGCACTTTGTGAGTTCCGCTCAGCTGGTTGCAGCTGACGCGACTGATACCAGACGACGCGTTCCACGCCTTCCAGATCGTACTGCATTAATACACAGCTGATTGCGAAATTTCCAACATCACGGGAGCCATGAAATGGCCTGTCCTGATCGGCTATTGCTAGGACTGGGGATTGTGTCGAAGCTCTCCTTGATACCCTCAAAGGAGCGTTGACATTCAGCGTTCCACCTCACCACCTCTCGTTCTTTTTCAACAGGCGAGGAGGGTGCCAGTCATCTCGGCATATTTGCGTGAATACTTATGCAAATAAGCCGCTAGCCCAAGGAACTTTTCGAAGACGCTTTGACATCAACCGGCACAGACCAGTCGGTGATCTGCCTAGATCTTTTCGGGGATCAGGACGTACACCGTTCTTACCGCGATTTACCCAAGAAGTGGTATTTCGCTTGCTTCAAATATACGCTTCTTGAGGCTTGCCCACAATTGATGCTTTCGCATGATTGCTCAGAACTTGTCGGACCGTGGTGCCACATGGACCTCAACGTCCCCCCGACTTTCCATTCTTAGCTCGACTACGGATGAATACGTCATCAAAAGAAATAACTCGGCGCGATTGTCGTGCTGGTTCTCAACAGAATGATACACATCTGTTGTACGTGGCAGGGGCATTACTACAGGCCCCTGTGGCATTACTAGCCATTCCCAGAGCATGCCACTAGACGTGCCTCATTGCGGTATAGGAGTATATCCCGTTCCCGCATCAGGTGTGATAGAGCTGCCAATCCATCAAATCCATGTGGACGAAGATGTTACTCTTTGACCTACCATCAATGAATTTGCGTCCTTCCTCGGTATCAACGTCTGAGCCAGTACCGTTGCAGCGTTCAATTTGTTGAACGCGTGCACTATCCGCCACCCTCCTGTAGCTTTTCGCACTAAGAAGGTCGGGAGCTATGTGGGGAGGTTGATTCCCTCACATGGCCCGCTGCTAAACGATCGGCAGAGAACTTGTCGATCGCAAGTACTGTTTACCGGGCAGTGGCACTGCTTCACGACGCAGTACTCGAGCCTAGTTTAAGCTCGACATCGTGTCGATGCCTTTATCCTTCGGTAATTCGCACGGAACAGTTTCAGGAATACATCCTTGAATTCAGCCAAATCTTCATGGAGAGGATTTATCTTGAGGCGATTCCCCACGATTGGGAGTCATATCGCTCAATTCGTGTCTTTTCATCTAGGACACTCTCGTCCATAGATGAACTACTGAGAACTCTCTCGTTCTCAGTGAACACTATTGCTGACCTTATGTCGAGTTACTTACACTCGTCGTCAGCTGACATTATAAGCGCAGATCTGCTTGACTTTGCCACTACGCAGATTTCACGCAAGAACCTTTTATGTTCGAGCGTTGGCAACTGAGTGATCTCCGAAGTCAGCTTCGGGGCTCAATCAGGTCAAGTGTATAAGCGCCTACACTTGATCCGTTATTTGACTATGACATTCAATGTCTCTGTCATTTCCTGGGGACTTATTCCCTCGGGCTTCGAAGGACTTATTCCTTCGGCTTCCCGGGGACTTATTCCCGCGGGTTTCGGGAGCTTATTTCCGCCGTATTTGCTAATCTTGGGGACTTATTCCCTTTACTTCCTCTAGCTGAGGTTGCGCAACCACGGCGAGATCCTCTACGAAAGACTCTCCAGTCGATCTAGGATTATCGTTTCGCTTAACCTGAGCGATCGATTGTTTCTCTCTGAGATGTTCCCGCTAGGGATACATCTTTGTCCCAGTCCACCCGACTTATTCGAGTGGTGGACCTTCGGCGCAGCCTGTGTTTCCTCACAGCCGCCGGAACTTTGCGCCCGAAGTGTAACCGTTTGGTACACTAAGGTTTTGTGCAGTCGTACTAACGACCGTACCACAAGTGAGGGCCATCGCACACTCACTCGTAGTACATCCACACGCTTGTGGACGCTCCAAAACGTTCATCAGATGGCCATCTGATGAACAAGCGGCGGAGGCATCGTTACTGTTCGATGTTGCCAGTTTACCCGTGGTTCGTACCTTCTGAGCCACGGTATTCCAGGATGACATCAAATTTGTCATCCAAATCCCAATACGATAAAGTCATCGTCATATTGGGTATCTTCTAGCGTATAGTGGGTCTTCACTATACGCTTCATGACTGGTTACGGATGCGCCTGTCGCAAGACGTACCGTCATCCTCGTAGGAGGTGTGTCACATTCACTGAACTTAAAGTGACCATCTTCTAGCGATTGGCGTCGCACAAAATTGTTGGACGCCCCACAATCGACTAGAGCTCGAGAAGGGACAACTCATTCGTCACTTCGAGGTTTCCAAACAATGAGTGAGACCTCATTACCTAGAGCAGCAACGCACAACGTTTGTGTGTTGGGAGCAACCTTCATCAAGAGGCCTACAAATTCTCTTGACGTTGCTGGACCAGTAGGGTGCTCCGCACCTACTGATCCTGTCCGTTTTTTGACGGTCCATCCCGTTGTTGCGTCTTTGCACCAACTGCGGACCCTCGTCCCTGCCCCTTTCTCATGGGTGGACGGTCACTACGCCCAGTGTCGCGAGACACTGGACGAGGGGCACTACACTCGTAAGCGTAGTGTCCTGTCTTTTGACATCTGTTGCATTTCTGCAACTTCTTGTAGCCTGTAGAGGCGAGCCTTCTCGCTCTCTACATAACAGAGTTCCATCGGCTCTGGACCTCCGTTGTCATATCGTCTCGGTTGACGATATGATGTCGAGCTGGCGCGAGCCTGTCTCAGACTGAAGTCTTCCTGCTCCGCAATGGAAATGGCTTGTTCTAGTGAATCCTAGTTCAAGCCGGAACAGGTGAGTCTTGACGGGACCATCCGCAAGACCCTGCATGAACACCGAAACCAACGTGTGTTCATCCACCCGGATTGGAACTTATACAACCTCGTGAGATGTCGTATATGTTGAGCGTAAGCGTGCACATCACGCTTACCCTGCTTGGAGCTTCAAGAGTTCGGTTCGGGCTCCGAACTCAGCTCTAGGCGGTTCAAACGTTTGTCTGAGCCGCGACTTGAAGACTTCCAACGACCCTAACGCATATGGGTCGTGCAACTGAGCCCCAGTGCCCAAGTCTTGGCACGTCCTACCAGATTGACTGGGCAAATGCAATTTGCATATCCCCGTCGTCGATGCGACGCGCCCTTATGGCGTCATCCAATTCGACGAACCATCTCAAGAGGGAGTCTTCTTCGACCCTATACATGGAGATGTCAATCTTCAAGGTTTCGGGTCGACGTGAGTGCATCGACCCATCAGCAGCAGCCTGCTGCTGCCTCAACAGTTCAAACTGCTGAGAACCCTGTTCTCTCAACAACTCTGCTTGTTGAGAACCTTGTTGGTGAAGCAAGGCTACTTTCTCGCGTTCAGCGTCAAGTTCATTTTGAATGAACATGGCGATAGTAGCATGTTGGGCATCCTATGAGAGCCTCTAGCATGAAAATAACAGCATGGATGCCCATGGTCGAACCCATCCGTTCAACCGCATCCCATTCGACATTGCTCAAATGGGAGTAGCCGTCACGCGTAGCGTGAAAGCTTTGGTCATCTTCATCATCCAACATATTCATGCTAGATGTGAACGTGGTCCTTGGACGGACTACGAAGTGCTACCAGGTGTAACGGGGCACCCTGAAGCTTGTACTGGTGACAGTCAAGCTACTTATTCTGATGACAGAATAAGGCGGTGCCTCGTAACTTCACGTACACTCGTACGTGCAGAGGAAGACGGTAAGAAGAAGCGAGTACTTGGTTAAAGTAAAAAGTAGAACTGTATTTATCATAGTTAATGTCTGCAATAAATCACTATTTATCTTCATCTAACTATGTCTGAATACAAATGTGTAAATCAGTTATCTGCTCACCACTCATTGCGTGCGTCTGTCGTGGCGCGTCTTCGTTGGTTGATATAATGGCCTATATCAACCAATTAGGAACTACTCGTAAGTGCTACAGAATATTTGTCCTTATGACAATATTCTGAGAATATAACTCTTATAGTTATATTCTATTAACAATTTCTTATAAATTGTTATGTAACGATTCACCCGGTTACACTGTGCTTCGTTTCGTACGTTGAGATAGAGAAGCCCAAGCTCCTGGAGCTCGCCTTTGTTTAAAGTTATTTAGTTCGTAGGACTGAGTTATATGTTACACTGTACGACGGGCAGTCACTGAAATATGTGCATGAAGCCATAACGTCTGCATTAAACCAGTACAGTAGGCTAGAGGGCAACGCGATCGGCCTTTGCTGATGCGTGTCTAACATCTGCTTATGTGATCGTTTTCACCTTTGATCGATTTTAAGCCAATCATGTGCGTGCATCACAATATTGACCCAGCCAAAAGTGACTTTGAATGTCCCCTTTCAAGTATGAGGGGGGGACAGGCTCGATCGTACTTAGAACGTGCGGGGGTACACCTAGCCGCGTCGTTTACAGACACACCAGACACAGATAGCCAGACAGGCAGACAGATAAGTACGATTTTGAAAGCTCGGCATTCGATGGTGCGCACACTCACTACTACTAGCTTCACCCTTCGGGCTCGCAATAAAGCCACGACTCAGATGGTCCATTTCGCTACTTGAAGCTGTTGAACGTCAGTGACGAACCTGTTTGCTCAGTGAAAATGCGCATATTGTGGAACGAGGAGTTTGTATTGTTGCGCCACTTTTTTCAGTATGGCGTCATGTTAGCTCTCAGTTTTGAGGCCAGCTCATACGTGTCCATGGTCAGAGATCTCAGCAATACTGTGGCGAAGAACAGGGTGGACCAAGGTGTGACATTGCATTCCCTAAACACAGCAAGTTGTAGCACAGGCATATCAGGGAGGTCTTTATCACTTTGACACTTTCCAGCAATGACGATAAATCGACCGGACAAATGACATTACGAAAACTGACCACCGCTTTTACGCCTACATGACGTCAGACTGCCGCTGCCTCATCACTGTCTCGCTCTAGCTAGCGGTCGATAGTCAATCTTACACGTTATCTGGACGACTGATCCGTGCTGCACAATCCCATAGATACCAGAGCATGTTTCAATATGTGAGGACAACTCCACACAATATCTGCGTGACTGTATACTTCCGGGCAAAGTCGACATCGGAAGTGTGCGGACAATTACTTCCCTGACGCGTTTGGCGCTCGAACCGCTTCATGCGCGTCTTACAGCACCACGAACAAGGTCTATTTGGGCATTCCCCTCTTTACACTCCGTACAGTTTTCACCAAGATCGTCCGTATCGAAGTTTTTGTGGGTAGGCAGTTGGTTCGAGCCCGCTCGAAAGAGACTATGCGGTCGAACGTACTGCCGACGACCAGTTCAGGGCGGCATGTTCGCAAACTTGTCTTTATGCAATTTCTTAGAATTGAGTGGTGTCCGTGGATGAGTCCTGCTACTAACGGTGGCGGAACGCAATGCTACAACAGGACGCCAAGCACGTTCGAAGAGCGGTTCAGCACTCACTTTACCAGGCACATGTGCTAACACAAAATAGACCGACAAACAGCAGTCGTGCAGCGAACAGCTAAAGAACGGCATGCGACAGCACCTTCAGTACCAATGGACGGTTGCAAATTGTCCTCAAGTGTGAAGACTGAGCAGATGAAAGCATCTGGGACGTTTGTGTTAGCAACGATGCTCCGCATGGTAATTTCTAACATGTAACGTCGGGATGACTGCATGCACATTACTGGCTTGGCTCCGTTCGCGACAACGTGATACAGCGTCGCTTCCAGTAGTAAGAACCGACTTCCACATCACGTTGCGAAATGATCTTGGTTCCCGCCACACGGCCGCGCTCAGCTTGGATTTCTGGACACCAGCACGGGATGGTGCACCCTTTACGCTCCAACGTCGTCACGAGCGACGCCATCTGCTATCGAACGAGCTGGTGTGCGGCTGGGTGATCTATCGACCGTTTATAAAGCGTGCAGTGGGTACAGAACAATGTCAAACCTCGACCTCTGTTGTTATGGATTTGTATACAAGACGTCTTTTTCGCTAGATGAATGGCACAGTGCTTTGGAAGGATACATCGGCTTACGAGTAATGTAAAACAAATGGATGCATCAAGTTAAGCTACATCGGCACTTATCAATCCTACTCGGTTTGGGTCCCACTCATCTCCATAACAACCTCGCGTAACAGACACAGAAGTGTGTCGACAGTAGCTCAGGGTGATGTGCAAATTAACCACGGCGTCTGGTGTTCTTGGCGCGCTTTCAATTAGCTTTTTCACTAACCTACGCTACACGACAAGTATCTTCTCCCCAGTAGCTCATATTCCGTATTACTCCAGAACGTTTGTGATGAGCGCTTGTCGCTCATTGAATGCGCTCTCTCAGCACTTCTGTTTGCCGACGATCTCTACCGGAGTATTGCCCGCAGGACACCATTGCAAGAGCCACATCGACAGCCTGCGAACAATGTAAGCACGAGCGCAACAAAGACGTGGCAACAGCTTGAACTCGCTTACAGACACATACCATCGATGACGAATGTAACCGGTGTCTCTCTATACTAATTACAACCACGTGCTCCATATGGTGATGACGCGGCCGCGAGATGATGTTTCTCGTTGGTAAAACCGCAGCGATTACGGCGTTGAAGCCTAAAGGCGAGCTTTGCAAACATGTCTCACGTGCTGTGGCCATGCAAAACCATTGGGCAACACCTTCGTTCATTTGCTGCTGCCTGTATCAGAAGACCCGGGCATCCACTTCACACTTGGGGCATTTCATTGCCTCCCAGCGACCATCCCGTGTTGCGTATGGGTCCGTCAAAGTCGCCACATCAGAACAGACCTAGAGTGTGGCACGATTGCACCCCGTGACTTCCACTTCGTCCCCGCTTGACTTCCCCTTTCTTCCTACTTCCCGCCGCTCGCAAGTAGGTATATTTCAATCGACTATGAACTTTCGCGAGAAAAAGAGCGTGTCGTCCTGATGATTCGCCTCGGTCTAAAACGCTGCGACCCTGTCCCCTCCTTCATCCTGTCTGATCCAGTCAGAGTTGTAAAAACACCGACAAAAACCGACAACGCAGCCACGCAGCTGTTGTTGCTGCTGCTGCTGGTGTCTGTCAACTTCATCTGCAAAGTTGCCACTCGTCGTAACTTTTATTACCAACTCGTCGCTTGCGCTACTTAACCGAGTCCACCCCGCTTACCGACATATTGTGCAAAAAAGACCGTCCAGCCAGTCAGTCAGTCAGTCGTCCAGTCAGTCTCGAATTCACTGCGGCAGCTCACACCGTGAAGGGCTGAGTGAAAGAACTCCGAGCAAGCCAAGCGCGTGACCACCTCCCTCCTCCCCTAATCCCTTCGAAATCGTCTGTCGCGACTCGTCGAGTCCGTCGTGTCTTTCGCGTCATCCCAGGCGCCTTCCCTCCCCCGTGCCAGTGGTGACAAGTCCCCAAGTAGTTCCCGATTCCGTGTCCCACCTACTGAAAAGAAGAAGAAGAAACCCCATCGAGGTCCTCCACATTCAGGCTGTTGGCGTCTTTTTCAAGCGGAAATGCAGTGAAGAGGACGCCACCGTGAGCCTCCCGTGGTCAGCGAGCGTCCCCAGATCGCATGGTGCAGTGGATCCATGGCTCGCAACGTCAGTCCATGCCGGACATGCCACTGGAGGCGGTGGAGCCTTTGCTGTATCAGGAGCGGAGACGCTGACGTCCGTGTGCCCCCTGATGGAAGAAACGCCTGTTCCAGTAAACAACAAACGAGTCAAACGGAGACGAAGGCGGACAAGGGCGAGCGAAGAGAGTCGAGGCGAAAGCAAACGCCTCGTTCGTCAAAGGCGAAACCGTCACCTACAGACAGTCCGGAACTGCTGCGGGCTGAATCGTCCAGTGGCAACGAGTCCAACGTGGACCCGTTGCGCGTGTCGTTCCTGATCTTTGGAGGCAGTGAAGTGCGGACAGCACGTTCGAGCCCGGAGTTGCACCCGTCGGGATTCGACGACGTGCATGGGAGCGAGATCCGGCCAGTGCTGCAGAACAAGATGCCGCTTTTTTCTCACTGCCACTGGCGGAAGCGTTTGCGTCGCGGCAGCGCCAAGTCGGACCCGAAAGAGTACGAGTTGTAGATGGGATTGGTTGAGCAAGCGAGCGAGCGAAGGGGAGCGTGGGGAAGAAGAAGAAGGAGAAAGGAGGAGGCAGAGAGGTCGACGATGATTTAATATTGTTTGTTGGTTGTAGCAGTCGCGTCGTTACAAGAGTGGATGAAGTTGAATCGCTTACAATGAGAGAGGGGGAAGGAGGGATTGACCTCATCTCCGAAATGGTGGTGGCTAGATACTTTATGGTGTCAATAGATTGCAGTGTAATATACGACAGTGCGTTTTGAACTATGCTATGTCAGCGATGCTTCTCGAGTCGAGAAGGAGCATGTGGACGGATATATCCGTGTGGTACTTGTAAACCCACTTCATGGCGGGCGATTGGTTATCATACGACGAAGAGGTGTGTAAAGTCAACAGCCACTAGGTCATTCATGGCAACTCCATCGACTGAGCAATTGCTTCGCATGCAAAGAAGACGAGAATATCGATTGCCAGTGAACCAGCGCAGAGACGAGCTGATGCAGCGCAAAATTGAAAAGAGCTCGGAAGACGGGGCTGAGACGGAGGAAAAGAAAGGTCGAAAGAAAAAGAGCGGAACGCGCAGAGGGGCGACAAGAAAATCAGGAAGGGGTACATGAGGATGGAAAGTTAACGTAGAAAGCGCATCGTGCTGAAGTAAACCGCATGTGTTGACTGTGGCCCCAGCTGCCCAACAAGCAGCTGCATGGACCCTCTTTGAACTCGACTTCTGTTGCGACTACACGATCACCTGTCGTTCTTTACCATCTGGTGTTGTGTTTCGAGATGCAGCAACGAACTTTCGGCGCTGGACATGCCTCGTTCTAGAGTCATGGCTCTATAATGGAAGTGTTGTACAATCTTGCATCAAGTAATGCACCAGCCGCGCAGGAAGCAGATTAACTGTAAACTGTAAATGGTTCCCTCAATGTGTGACCATGTCGTCAGTCTTCTTCATCAATTTACTTGTAGCCAACAGCACGTAGAAGCTTTACAGCCGTCACATCGAGCATTTAAAGAACAGGCCAGCGGCATGCGAAGGAGCTTGAAGACAAACAACGATATCGGAGCAGAAAAAAAGCCATGTGCAATAACGTCTCGTACCTGCAGAGTCTAAGTGCACCTCTGGCAGCGAGCGACAGTGTTTCATTTTCATCCGACACCTCTGGGAGCATGCAGGACGACGAGAACGAAGTTGAAGTGACCGCGTAGTAAGGTGACGTTCGGAGATCCGCTCTAGTCTGAGCGCTCTTGATCAGATCTTAATGAGAAGGCCACCGTTTCGTCGGTGCTGAGTCCGTGCGATGCAATGGATCTGGCCGAGTCGATGAAAGCGTGCACGTGCCGCACGGCCATTGCATACGTTTGATAACCTTCGCAGACATACGTCCTGCTCTGCGAAGGCGCCTTGATCGCTATCGAGCAGAAATACTCCATCAGGTACGGCTAACGTTATGCAGCGGGTGATCAGCGCATGTCACGTGCTCCAGAATCGTGTTTCTCAACTAGCATAAACGAAGGAAACCTAGTCTTCTTTGCCCTAGAAAGCAAAACTGGTAGGAGACACGTAAGCTCGGACATGCGGTAATTTAAAGAAACGTCGGCTCACATCTTTTGGGAATGTCCAAAGGCGCGCGCCTGCTGGAGGCGACTTATCTGTCACTGGACGGGTCTCCGAGATGTAGGGTCTGTTGATGAGACCTGGTATTTTGGCAGTGTGAATCGTCAGGCTCCTGCATTACCGGCAAGGCAGCGACAACGCCTACATGAACATTTACAAGACGACTTGGAAGCAGGGGTGTGGTTTGGAATCGCATATGGTTTATTATGTGTAGCGTCTGTTTAACTCACTTATGGAGTGATCGAAACGACGCAGTATTTCCAAGGTGTGCGGACGACGGTTATTTACAGCGTCACCCGTTTTGGAAGGTGGGGATTCGGCATCTCAGCGCGTTAGCGAAACGCGAACATCGTGGTCCCGACACAGTCGTCGCCGGGGCTCTCTTACATGCCTGTCTTGACCTCTTCACTCTCTCGAACCGCAGGATAAATTGGTCTTCACCAGGAAGCTTAGCTACGACAAGCTACCGGATCCGGAGCTCTTGTCCTGGCTCCAGAGTTTTCCAGACATCTTGTACATAGGTAAATGTTAATAGACTGTCATGAAAACTCTCTCTCTCTCAGACATGCGGTAATTGACGTCACTTCTTCGTATCAATCAAAAGCATGTTAACTGACAATTGGTTAGATGCAAGCGCTTTGAAACGAGCGACCTGAACAGCTTCCCAGGGACGCATGTAGTGGCATGATAATCAAGCACAGATTCAAGTCTTTTTCATCAAGACTTACTTAAAACTAAATCTGAACATGAACCACAACAAAGTTATGTCCAAATCCCAGTCAGACTAGACATTCCAATATGACGTTGATGCTACAAGACTGACTACCAGCGATGCAGTAAGGGTCGACCAGGCTATTACCATCCCTCCTCCAAGGCCAGCAGCAACCTTACACCACCTCGACGCTCTTATCCACCTATAACAAAGACCGTCCCCCCCCCCCTCTCAACTCTTCCCTACCGCCGTTCCTGACCTCATACGTTCCTTCGTCATCATCGTCATTGGTGTTATAAAGTCACTCAATAGCCCCGACACGGCTTCAAACCGGCCGCAAGGGTCACACCCGGACCGATAGGACATATCTCTAGCAGCGTGCAGTAGCTGGTCAATAAACACACCAGGACGCTGCGCCGTGACTGCGCGACTCAGCGTTTTGTAATAGAAACCCCCGTGACAAGAGCCAATCGGCCGCGGGTGGGACATCGAGAGGGGAACGAGACTGACCGTAGCACTTCCCGGACACGCGAACAGTAGGGACACCAATAGGGATGGGACTTGTCTTTGGGGGCTGCGACTGCCTCGCCCACATGTTCTCGCAGCTCGCGGAAGGCCGAGTAGCGGTGCTCTACGTGGTAGTCAGCACGACCATTTCCTTCTTCCTCCTCCTCCTCTTCTTCTTTCTCGTGCCCCTCGACCCGCCGACGTGGACGCCTGCTCTGTCTGTACGTGGTCCGACGTCCTTTTATCGTCGTTGTCTTGGGTAGACCCCCTCGGTGTGGCCTGCAAGTACACGTCAAGTGCGTATACAGTCACGTGCTTCTCGAGCTCGTAGGTTGTATTCATGCGCACGTGGTGCACGCTATTGAAGCGCCACGGCTCCTTTGGCTCGAGAGAGCTGCGACAACCGTCCACCAAGACTGAGGGTATCTAGACTCGAGTGCTCGCTTGCCGTGTCCAGCATAACGGACGTCGTTCGTCGAGCGGATCGAATCGGAAGGTAAAGTACGTGTAGTTGAAGTGCTACTTGTCCAACTTTAAGTCTGTGGTTTCCCTCTCTCGCTTCCGGTCGCCTGATGTTTTCGAGGAGGAGGTAGGAGCGACTGTGCTGTAGAATGTGCGAAGGGAGATCGGACACGGACGCACCGCATGTTCTTGTAGGGGTGCATGAAGGGGATAGTTCGAATCCGTTGTCAGCTGCATGAAGCAGGTTGGCTGTCAAATCTATTTAAACCGGAGGAGACTGCAGCTGAACGGACACTTAGTGGGATGCGGTCGGTGTCGAGGCGACAGGCTCGTGGATGATCGGGGCTCTGGATCATTTTTGCTTCGCTTAAGCTGTCGCACGGTCGCATCAGGCGCCCCCTTTCGATGACGACCGTCCGATTCCATGGCAGCAACTGTAGCAGTTGGTCTTTCTACGGGAATGGCTCGATCTTCTGGAAGATTACGGCCAAGTGACGCATGCTACTGTCAGTAGATTGCGACGGTACGATGCTGCACCCACCAGTAGCCAGCGTTGCAAACTCAGCGATCGTAGCCTCGTTTATGCGGTAATTGTAGTAGTTTTGTATCGATGTCAGGTACCGGCGGCTGGAATAGCAGTAAAGTTGCCGCTATGATGCGATTGCGGCAGTCTATGATATTGTAATGGGAAAGGTTCAACGCACCAGTCGCGAGTGGGTCATTGTACCGCGATTTGGTTTAGCCAATCAAAAAACGACTTCCTATTCATAATCCTACCAGATCTAATCATGACGACACCATCCTAATTTTGGCCTTCGCGTTGTAGCTCCTCGCCTTCCACCATCGCCATTACAGCAAATACGATTAAAAGTTTGAAGAAGGGTGGGTGTTATTGATGACGAAACCAGCCTAATTTTGAAAAACTCATCTCAAAACTAGGCTGGCATCGTCATAATTGAATTTGAAATCACAAATTATGAGGAGGAAAATCGTTTTCTGATTGGTCAAAACAAATCGCCGGTACAATGACCCACTCGCGACCGGTGCGTTAAACCTTTTCCTTTTGTACTATCGATCCGGCAAGAGCTCACCATTGGATCGCTCCATCACGTGCCTAAAGATTGCGCGACGCTGATCACGCATACGTATATCACTTGTTCTGCGGGAACGTATGATGAGTCTGCATCATCGACGACTTCGGCACCACAAGAAAAGTCATCAAGTTGCATCAAGTGTCGAGGGAGAAAGGAGGACGGAGGACGCGTTACTTCACAGGAACATCGACTCCACCACTTTGACAGCTTGTTCAGGTTATTCCAAGTATCCCATGCATCTATCTATCCATCCCTACGTCCCGATAGCATTTTCTTCCTCGCTCGTCTTTGACACCCTCATCCTTACCTGCAGTCCAACACGACGCGTGTGCGCGTACTTTCGGCCAGCTTGCATCCGTTGAAACACGTCCGGCAGATTCACTGGTGATCCAGTGTGAACTTGGGTCGAACCTGTTCGTCTGCAACGAGGTTCACTGCCTCGATCGCGTCCTGGCGACTAGCAACGTACGAGGCCATCGATACGGAGCTCGAGCGAAATCATGAGACTCAATGGGGCCTCGATCGCAGCATCTTTAGGAACACCCCACTGCAACCAGCGTCCCCCGAGGACGGGAGGAACAGGAGGGCGTCCTTGTACGCCTCCGTTGACCCAGCAACCACAAGCAACAGCATGAGCACCTTGACCGCTCGTAGCTGCTCGAACCTGCTCGACCACGTCTTGTGTGGTGTAGTCGATAAAGTGCTTGACTCCATACGACTGGACCAGCGCACGTTTATCTTTGCCCGAGTCAATAGCTACGACCTTGTAGCCCATGGCTCGAGCATACCCTGACACGCCAAGTGCCCCAACCCTCCGCCTGCGCCAGGGATCACGACAGTCTCGCCTGGGGGAGCCACGAATTTGCTTCAAGCTTTGTTACAGTCAAGCCAGCACACATGATTGGAGCAGCTGAAGCCAAGTCGAGGGTCGCAGGGATAGGTGTGACATGGTCAGCAAAAGTCACGCACACACCATTGCTGGAACGTTCCCGTGGCGCGTCAAGCCGTGCACTTCCGCAGACGCGCACGTTGTCTCGTGCCCTTTTCGACAGTCTTCGCAGCCCTAAGCAAGTGTGTTGCGAGCCACTTGACCCCACGGCGTCGCCGATTCGAGAGGCAGGTGCGAGTATGGTCTCCGATCGCAGCAATGTGACCAGTTCCTTCGTGGCCACCCACCATTGGGAACTGCTTGGAGAGAAGGAGGTCCTTCGCCTCCTGCCAGACCGAAATGTCCGAGTGGCAGACGCCCGTGTATGCAATGCGGACAAGAACTTCCCAGCTTGAGGTCCTTAGGCTGGACGACAGGCCAGTCCTTGCATGGAGCTTTTTCCCAGTTAGCTTCGTAGATGACGGCGGTCTGCGTCATGGGGATGGTTTCGCTGCAATGGGATCTCATGCTGTGATCAGGTATCAATGTGCGGGTGAATTGACGAATGGATTGCACCGGATGCATGAGTCCTGTTTACGAGCTAGCGAAACATGTACAGGTCCATGGTCTGAAGACTGAGGCTGATATATGTATACACGTTGACAGCTGCTACTTTCGAGGAGAAAAAAGGTATGCGCGGTACTCATATCCTAGACTAACATGGTCACGCATACACAACACTCACTTACCGACTGTGCAAGCTACGCAGGCGGCAGTCTGCTCTATGCTTATACAGCATACGAGGATTTACTATCGATCCTTTCGTAAGGAATGGATATCCAGCTCCAGCACCAAATGATGCATGCTGGAAGGCCGGACTTGTGCCGCCAAACACCAGCACTGCTAACGACTCTCCAGTTCTCTCTAGTCATCGACGACGTAGAAACGATCCAGACGGTGATCGAAAGATTGAATGGCAGCGCTGAGATTAACGGGGGTGTACGATGCATAGACAGCTCGAGTGTGTAAGTGAGTGAGCGAATGCTTGAACACTCATGATATGAGAGGTATACGCATGAAGTCAGCGCACTTCAGCCAACTCCACTGACGTCTCTATACCCTGGAGTGACGAGTGTGTACGTTCGTCACTCCAGAGTCAGCATAGACTTCGTGGGAGTCTAGTCGCTTCACCCACCATTGATGGACTTGAGGTTGGGATCAGCCAATGTGACTGCCTATTGAGCTTCGCTGTGTGTACAACTTCACCGCGACAATATCCACAACCAGCTACTCGCTTGGTCTAGTAGCCATGTCGCATCGTGTACGATATCATCGCGAGTCTCTGCTATCCCATACGCACTCCCATCACGTGCAGAGGCTACAGTTCATTTTTTGAAAATTTTGGCTACGCGCTCTGTCCGTCTGTAAGGGAGAGAGCGTCAGTCAATCTTGATCCTCTAAACCCAAGAAATGAATCAGCATGAGCTTACTTACTACTTGCAATCATCATTAAATGCATGATGCATATCGCGCATTCCGCTGTTCCGAGTAAACCTGCGACTTTAATGCTTGTAGTAGGCGCGCTGATGTGGATGGAGGACCGCAACCGCTATCAACCGTACTACTTGTTGTAGTTAATGATGGTAAGTTTGCATCGAATGTACTTTGTATGTGAGGTTCGGTACGAGGACGATGACGGCAATTTGACGTCGATTGAGACCACAGGAGACTGCGCTGACCTCCAATACATTACAACACATGATCATGACGGGTGGCTGCTGCTGGAGTAGTAATGGATATTGATGTCCTTGAGCTGGCAGCTGCAGGGTCACTTCGAGCATTCTGAGGTAGGGAAGGCTTTGTGAGGGGGACATCCGTCACCTCGTCATCAAGGGAGAAGAGAACTTAGGCAGAGAAGCGGACAAGGGGGATCGAACAGTGATGGCCCTTGACTCGCAACCTGGGATGTCACGCCTCCCTAGTTGTTCATCTCGTCTTCACCCAGTCGATACCCGCACTGACTGGTTCGAATAGAGAGTGCGGCTGACAGAGAGAGAAAGAGAGAGAGACTGCTAATCAGCTTGAGTGATGTGATCAACCGCGAGTCAGTCGGAGGGTTTGCCTAAGCTTGTCTAGACTTTGCATGTGATGTCCCAGCAACCACGATATCGGGCCTCAGAGCTCGAGGATTTCTCCATGTTCTCGAGTAGCCTTTGCAATAACTCACTGTATCATGGTCGTCGATAGATGAACACCTTACGGCTTCGAGTCCACATGTACCGGACACTTCATTCTTTATCAGACCTTGACAAACTACACGAATAGGAGCTACAGGCGCGTTCAACGGCGATATTTCATCCGGATCAAAACGAAGAAATGCCTTCGGAAGAACGGGAGGAGCCGCAAACTTGGTCTCAACACTTAACAGGATCAATCCACACCTCTCTGAATCGTGAAAGTGTGACTCGACTGTTCGGCCCAGTCCACCACCTCTCAAGCTTCAGACTGTAACTTGTCATGTCAAAAGTTGACGACTCCATCGAGGACGAGGTGCCTGCAGTACGAAGTGCCAGCACGTTTGACACCTCCTCAACGTCGATCGATACTAGCAGTAGCAGTAGCCGTAAAACTCGCCAAAAGCTCATGAGGTTCGAGCCATCCAGTTGCTCACTAGCATCGGAGATTATCCTCTTGCGGGAGCTCAAACTCGTACCGGTGAAGCTGTACCCGTTAGCAGCTCTCTCGAGCAATGCACGTCCGTCTCTTCTTGTCGCGCATCGAGTGGATCGCCATCCACGAGGTCCTCAGCGTGACGAAGGGGTTGTAGTACTACGTCCTGAACGTGTACCAGAAATGCCAGCAAAAGGACTACCAGCTATTGCTGCTCGCAACCGATCGACAAGACCGTTCGGTCGTACAAGACATACCGGATTCCGAGCCGGAGACTCGACGTCCGGACTACCAGATTGAACAGCTACTCGAGCTTTGCCAGACTGCGGTCAGACGTAGCAAGTGCAGCATGGAAATACCATCCCAAGTGTCGAGTGTGTACGTACTGCGTCAGTGTCCTGGACTTCCTGCACACTTCGCCATGTGAGGCCCAATCTCAAGGTCAAGTTTACAACGCAACCTGACGAGCGGAAGGCTATCCTGAGCTCGTTTATTAACCAACTGGTGCAAGTCGTACGTGACGACTACTTGTGCGTGTCCTCGGACGTTAAAGCGAAGGTTTCACGTGATTCCAGCCCTTGTCAGCGGTTTCTAGCGGAACAAACTGGTGAGTCGTACTTCTACTCTTGATGTCTGGACGAAAGAAGAGCGTCAAGTGCCGAAGAAATGTCGTACATCGGAGAGATAAGCAGTTAATGGATCGATTCGGTGGCAGGACTGAGTTGAAGGAGAGAGAGATCGGTGAAGGTTGTTCACTTGCATGTATTCACTCATTTTCCTTCCTCCCTTCATTTGTCTGGATGAGGTCTTTCTTCACGGACGATACTAAGCTGTTTGTGCTGTCAAGACACGCAGGTCGCTAGTGGTGGTTGACTTCTTGTTGGATTTCATCCAGCGTCTTGCCCTTCGTCTCGGGTACAAACTTGAGGGAGAAGGCCAACGTGAGGGACAGCGTGATGGCAAAGGGGACGTAGATAAAGTTGCCCAGCGCCCTTTGCATGGTTGGAAAGACAATGCCAATGATGAACAGACCCAACCAATTGACCATCGTCGCAATGGACGTCGCTGCAGTACGTGACTTGGGTGGAAACATTTCGGATGCAATCAACCACGGAATGGGACCGAGGCCGATCTCGAAGAACCACACGAAGCTCATGACGCCACCGACACTGAAGAAACTGGACATTGGCAGGAGGTTCGAGAGCCCGACCGTCAGAATTACTGTCGACACAGCATGCCAACCATTGACCAGATCAGGAGCGGGCGACGACCAGCAGAGTCCATAAGCATCAAGGCAGCAATCGTTACGTTCACAATGTACACGAGCGTGATGCTAGCAATGAGTAAGGTTTTCCAGTCCGCATTCTGAAAGAACGAGCTCGCGTAGAACATGACTGCACTAATGCCGGCTCAGCTGCTGTCCAAATTGCAAGACGACAGCGACGAGGAGAAGGCAAGCGGATGCTCCGGGTCACGCAGGACGTCGCCAATACTCTGGACATTGCCCGATTCGCTCGTGCTTGCCGCCGAGATGCTGTCCATCTCTTCCCCGACATTGTCCAACTGACGTAGATTTCGCAACGTCTCCTCTGCATCCTTTGGATTGCCATTAGGAGCCATCGCGGACTTTCAATCAGTAATGGAGCAAGCACGAGTTGCAAGAGTCCCAGAAGTCCCGTGAAGCCAAACATGAGACGCCATCCAGGACGTGTCAAGCTGTCACTTTCCCCTGCAAAGCCGAACGCCAGGAGATCCTCACGAGAATACCAAGCACCATTGCAACTTGGTAGGTCGTGCCAAAGCACCCCGAAGATTTGGAGGTGCAGGCTCACCGAGATAAGTGGCACGAGGATGGTTGCTGCACCTGAGGCAATACCGACAAGAAAGCGGCCGAGGATCAGCATGTACATGTCGACTGCAAATGCCATAACCAGTCAGAGACCACAAAGAGGCACGAGTTGGCCGACATCGTCATCTTTGACCTTGAAGCGTTCAGCTGCCCGCCAATGACGGATCAATAGGTCCACCGACGGCAAAACTCGACGCAGAGGGCCCAGAGCATGTCCGAGTGTCAGGAGGGAAAGACCACGTTGGCATTCATGGCGCCGGTTACTGCCGTATTGTAGCCGTACTGAAACGCGTTGAGCACTGCTACCACGCACGGTGGAGCAACGGGTACGTGTAACCTGGCTCGAGCCTCTCGTCTGGTTCCTCTTCAAGCAGCGGTTTGATCTCTCCATTCATGCACCCGACATGGCAACCCAGAACCAGCACAACAATAGCATCAGAACGCGACTCGCCAAGCACTCAACCTGCTGAACTCGAGCGGCGACAGCACGCACCTTTTGACCAGTCGCGACAGATTTGCCCAGGAGCTGCGAGTCCGGAGTTGCGGGAACTCGCGCTCGCTGGAACGACCGCCGCCGCATCCCCGGCGGCGCTCGGAACGGAAGTTCTTGGTACAAAAGTTTCTGCTCGTCATCTGCACCAGAGCAAGCACGAACGGAAGAGTGGGCACTTAGTGTCAGCAGTTGGTTGGTCCCTCTCGTTGCGAGACATCGTCAGTATCGTCAGTCAGTCAGTCAGTCAGTCAGTCAGTCAGTCAGTCCATCCATCCGAGCTCCTCGGTTCGTACGCTGGTCGTTCATGTTCTGCACGGTACTCGCTCGTCATGAGTCCTTCGGCCTTCTTGAGGTTTTCCAGCTCCTGTTGCCGCCTTGTTCAGTTCCCGGCGGAATCCGGTGGACGCCATCACGAGCTCCGATGGAAAGCGGTTCTTGAACGAGAGTGAGGATCCCGTTTGGTTGTCTGGACGGAAGCAAAAGCTCGAATGGAAAAGCTGAGAGCGTGACGGGCAAGTGGGCGATCAAAGAAGACGGCTGGTTGAGTATCTTGGAAGCTGAACAGGTGCGGGTGCTGTGAGTCTTCTTGTTGGCTTGATTAAGTTGGGAAGATAAGGTCTCGGATGTGCTTTGGGATTGCAATGGCTCGCTTTTGACTTTTGGAAGAGGATGAAAATGTAGATTGTATTATTCTAGACAGGTTTCGTGGGATAGGAGCATCCTCGTGGAATCCAGTCAATAGCTCCCTCTATAACGTCCCCTGATAGAACGTCCTCCCTTGATCCGATTTAATTTCCCACAGCCACTAGCAAGCAGCCTGTCACTACATCGAAGTGGTGGACTTGGACCTGACATTTGATCACGCTCCTGCCGTGTACGTGCCAAATATCCGAAAGTTGACGCACCGGGAACACATGAAACCGCCACGTCCTTCCGCAGCGAAGCGACGCGAAGCGGTAGAGGTGCCCACGAAGTCGAAACGACGAGATCGCATGCGGCTCCTTTTTTCGCAGTGTTATCAGGTGATTCTCAACCGACTCTAATGAACGATAGGCCACGGTCACCAGTGAACTCCCTGCCACTTCCTCTTGTTGTCGTTACCTGGTCAGTGCTGTAAAGTAATCCGAGCATCCTTAAAACAACAAACTCGACTTCACCTTGTCTTACCCGATCATTCATCCTCCGCGATCGCCGTATCGTTTTTCGAGCGAACGACGGTTTCTTGGCAATGAGCTGACGCTTGGGAGTCAGACAAGAGATGCCGCACTCAACACCTCAGTTTGTAAAGTGATCGCGCGGCTTCGATCGACGTGCCGTCCGTCGATTAAGTCCCTTACGTAAACGCAGATCCTCTTCATAGTGTGATTAGTTGTCCATCTACAAGAGCGGAGTAACGCCGTCCAGCACTACCATTCTGAGACCGAAAGCGTTGGGAACTCTACATCACCGAGTCAAGTTCTTCGAGCACTATCAGGCTTTGGACATCAGACATTGATCGACTGACGGCTAAATGTTCGAACAAGCGCCCGACGAACAAGCGCAACCTCGTCAAACGAAAGCAGTATGACATCATAACCGCGTGATATTGTCTCTCACAATGACTGCACAACAAGGTACTGACTTTATGCGATCGGAAGCTTTCTTTATAACATCAAAGACGGAATCAGAAAAAGCATTTTCCAAAAAAGCGTTCGTGGGGCGGGCGGTCTCTGCCGCATCACAAAAGACACTTGGATCCAGAGACAAGGCCTCACAATGAAACGCAGCAATATTATTGGTAGTCAAAGGTGAAATGAGGTTCTGACCAAGTTGAGTAGTCAAGATATGATCAATGTACACGCATTGAACGGGTTCATGTTCTAGTTCCTTCCTTTTCCTTACCACTCACACACTCGACAACCATAGCACGTTTTTCCTTGTTCCTTGCCAACTGCACCGATGTCGTTACCTTTTTACATCATCATCAGCTATACTTCATGCTAGTAAATTAGTTCCTGACCACTCACACTTCAGTCTCGGTGGATTCCGTGTCCATCTCAGGATCCGATCCTCTACCAATGTTAAACATTGCGTGGAGCGCTCGAACTTGAAGTCACCGAATTGATACGATTGACTCCGGTCGAGCATGGGAGCCCGTTCACGATACTTTCCACTCTTGCAGCAGTAGTGTGGCTGGAAGTTCGCGTCGGCGAGTCGCCGCAAACCTGGCGTGACCATGTTGACGAAATCAACTCAAACCTGGTTCCGATTCCAAGCTCGGTTGAGACAGCAAAGGCACTTGACGAGTTGTTGCCCGATGCGATCGAGTGCGGACAGTCACTCGATCCGAACGTGTGCAGGAAGACTCACGCGCTCCTCAACGGACCTACTACTGTGCCGTAAAAGCAGGTGCTGGCGGCGCTGACTTGGTTGATCGCTCATTCAAGGCCTCGTTCTGTGCAAGCATTAGCAGTCGAAGGAGCTGGCCATACTCGACTTTCGTGCCCTTGAGCAAAGGCATCATCGCGACGCTATTCAAGCGAAAGCGGGTCAAGCGGTAGTCGAAACCAGCTAGAACCAGACGTAGTTTCTCACGTCAATCATCAGTCTGTCGCGGATCGTATGCGTGGAGCTCTCGTCGCAAATCAATGATCGTGTAGTCTCGTTCCTTCAAACAGTCGAGCAACGACGACGCAAACTCCGACCAGAATCACAATCTCGCTGAGTGCGACACCACTTCGCCCATTGTATTCGCATCCGCGAACGATGCTGCAGATAATGACAAGTACCGGAACAGTTGCTGCTGAACACAAACGTGTTGAGAAACAACGGTAGGGGCACCACCAGAGCATGCACGAGTCAAACTCTTCGTAAATGTCATCCAGGTCGTACTGTACACACTGGACCAGCAGCGCAATGAAGAATCCATTGAGAACGAGCATGAACATAAACGGCCACGTGCCAAGCTTTCGAGAAAGAACCGCATCGGAATATCGGGAGTTCCGGGCTGGACGCCGATGGTGCTTTGGCACGCGAGTTTTCTTGGGATCCGCCACCTGATTCATGTGCGGATACAAGTCGCAGCGAGCTGCGGCAATGTCTTTCGGAGTAAAGCGTGGCGTTTCAGCGACTGCGACAATCTTCCATCTCTTCAGCTCTTCTTGGACTCGATTCATAGTCGAAGAGCACTATCTGCAACTTCCATTGCCATGCCGCCACTTGCTTGTTCAGCGACCAAGCGGAGTTGGCAACCAACGTCGACTCATCGTCACTATGCCCTGCAGCAAGCAGAAGCTGGTGGATACACGAGCGAAAGTAGAGCAGCACGGCAACATGCAGGACCACCAAGGCCCAGGCAAAACCACGAACACTTCCACTAGTTCATTGCTTTCCAGGAAGATCCACGTCCAGTTCCTCGAGTGCATCGAAGAAAGCCACAGATCATCCAGGCCACTGCCAGCAAGAGCACCCACATGGATGGCTCGACTTCAATCATGCGAGATCTGGTTGGCAGGCTCGACGAAGGTACTTGGAGAAGGGAAGAGCTGCGGCAGTCCAAAGCGCCGTAAAACAGTGTGAAACAGACGCTCGACAACGCGGTCGACCCCTTTGTCAGTTTGCTCGACCAGCAGCTGACCATTGGAACGACGACTGGGCTGGAGCTTGGGCTGCCCAGCGAGCGAGGCGTGCCAGCTGGAGGCGTGATAGCATTGATCAGATCTTGTGCCGTGATGAGCTCAATTCGATCGGCTTCAATGTTGTGCTTGCGGAGCTGCAAGAAGACGACTGTAGCTTGCGGGATCAGAGCTAGGGCCAGGATGAAGATCGTCAAGTCGGCGACCTGGAAGGCCAGCATGGTCTTGCTGTAGGCGTTGATACCCGGTACTTCTTTCAGGAGTTTGAGACCGAGACTCAGTAACCCCAGCACCATGAGCTCTCGATAGCCTTTCCGAAGCATGTGGTGGTACTTGTCATGGCGAGAGACCTTTTGCTCCACGTGATGGAGCGCCGCTTCAAAGAAAACGAGACAGAAGGCCAAGATGCTCAAGTGAACCAAGACGCGCCAGAATTCAACAGCTTGGCCGACTTGGAAGAGGGAGCCGCTACCCATGTCGCGCAAGTCAAAGTGAACGAGTCGACCCGACTGTGTTTTCCGGTAGAGACGTTTGAGCTACTGAACCACGTGACCAAGCGGTTTTCAGCGAGATTCCGAAGTCTGTCTATCTACAATGGACTGGATTGGGCTCGACGTCAGTTGATGGCCGGGGAGGATGGTGGGATAAAGGAGGCTCCTGCTGTTCATTGGCTTGACAGCCGATCGGTCGATCGATCGGTCGATCGCTACTCCGTTCAACTCCTTTTTCCATGCGAAGAATCGGGTCAACAACGTGCAGTCGCTTCGAAGGGATGGGAACTCGCTTTCCCACCTTGTTACAGCTTGTGAAGAGACGTGGTGTCCTTGAAGAAGCAAGTCGTCAAGTCGGTAGTTGCAATGTTAGGCTTCGTGGACAGAGGCAGTGTCGCTTGTCCCAGTGGCGAAGGACGTCAAGCACAGAGACGGTCGAAAGGGCCATGAGTTCAGTGTGTGAACGCTCGAGCGGCGTACGACTGTGTCAAGAAAAGAGGCGTGGCAATGGACATTGCAGCATGGGTATCGACGGTGCGTTCAGAGAGGGCTCCAACCGACAGTTGCAGAGGATGCTGATGATAAGACGACTAGGGAGACAAGTGGACGAGGTGGTCATTGTTGGTGCTAAGACGTGCATGGGTTCGCGTCCACCAGTAGTTCCTAGACGTACGAAAGGTTCGAAAGTGTATGGGAATGAATGGACTGCTGCAGGTTGTAAAAGACTCGGTGCATCTCGAGGAGAGGTGGTGCGTGGATGCTGAAGGTCATGAGTTCCTTTCGGTAGGACTCAATGCTGCGGGCACGTCTGGTTTGATAGTTTAGCTGCTACCACTACGCAGTTGATCGTTATCCTGCTAGACGGGAAGTGAGGAAGGGAGATTGACACTTGTACGGCGGGGACGTCGATAGGAGTTACTCCTCCTTCGTGTACGTCATGGAGAGGTCGTTGTTCACCGGGAGAACGATACGGTCAGGTTCGGCGTAAACGAGCCTGTTTCGGCGTGAACGTCGTGTACCACTGGCCTAAAGAACGCACGCGTTGACACCACGATCGACGCTCCAGGCCTTTCTCGTCCATCACCCCCTGCCACAAAATGAGTCCGACAGGTCGGACAAGTGGTCTCGTAGCACGAGAAAAAGAAAAAAAAAAGAAAGGAGTCGTGAGCACCTTAGGCCCTAGAGCACCTGCTGAACAGCGTCGGTGCCATGGCGTAGCTTCCATGGCAGCAGCATATCTGTAGTCCACGCTCTCGGCGTTGAGTACGCAGGGATGATGTAAATGACGTTCCAACAGGTTGAGGTCGAATGACTCGCCCCGCAATCGACTGCAGCACACACCGTCGCAGCTGTGTCTGAAGACCTGCTCTCTACGTCGTTTGCTGGTTTCTTCCATACGAATGGAGAGGAAGACGCTTTGATCAAGTGAACGACTTCGGACTTTAAAGGCCATGAGTACGACCACACAAGCCTCGTGCAGCTTTTTTCGTGTCAGCATCTCCACATGCACGTCGTTAATAGCTGTCAGTACGTCCTAGACCGAAGCCGTGCCACATCAGATCGAGTCTACACGAATGCGAAGGCAATGGTAGGAGCACCGCGCATCTTGACGGACTCAGGAGCCAAGAGCACGACGCGGCAGATGGCTTCTGACGAGGTTTTCTCTTGTTGGCATACGCCATGACACGAAAATCGGGAGGACGACGGGCGTATCAGAGTTCCCATCGACGTAGACGCAGCAGAAGACGTTGAGCTCCGTTTAAGCGTGACAACAAATGTCTGAGAATGCAAGTGTTGAGGCCAGACTAGTGTAGTAGGAACAAAGAGGAACAGTCTATGCAATGTTTCCGGTGCTCTCATGAGCTGACGCTGCGTCCGCTGATCCTCGTCGCTTCTCGCACAGTCTACGACGGACTGATCAACAGGTTGGTAGTAAACTGCGTGCGGGATGGCGACCGACCAAATCCGCCTTTGTTACCCTCCTCTTCAAGTGGCCAACCTACTTCAATCACTATTTTAAGATGGACGCGTACGCAACTACACTACGAAGTGTCCGCCCACTACAAGTCTGCGTAACTCGTTTACTAGGCTCAACCTCTAGGATCGTTGCACTTGCGTCCTTGGCGTATTGCAACCACATTGTACGCTGACGTTTTTCGATTCTTCTTCCCGATAACTACCATACGGCATGAAAAAATTGAGCAGTTCGGTAGATGACCCGTGTCAGCTGACGGTGAGATCGCAGCGTCGTTTCAAGGAGCGTGGGATGGTCGCCCCATTTGTCCTGTGCAACGCTTCTCGTGCTTCTTTATTTGTTTCATCCTACTGTCGCTGTCGTTATCGAGTATCTTTCGAGGAAGGGCGGAAGGAAAATGGAGACTGCTCTGCAGTGGCTGGATATCTTCCTTTCTTCGCCTTCTTCTTTTACTGGTGGTCGCCGTCGAGGGACAGCGTCGATGATTTTACATGCGGTCCGATAGGAGTTCGCTACACCGACCGCTCGTGTCAAGTATCTAAAGTGCAAGAATGGAAAAGAGGTGCCCAGGACTTGAAGGAAGCACCGTCCAGGCCTATGAATGAAATAAGTCACAAGTCATGACAAATGCCACCGTCTCCCAGTTGAATCAGGATACTGCTGTATTGTGCGATATTGCAATTTTTTAGTTACACCGTACGTATGTAGGATGTCTGTCATTCACTTTAAAGCGTGACAACGTGCAATCTAATTTTGTCCTGAGGGATGACAGCAACAGTTGTTGTGCTGATTGGCTAACGCCAGTGCACCACCCCAAGCAAATCATATTTTCGAGCAGTCACAATATCACGGGCGGCGACGCGAATCCCCGAGTCAACCGACGCGCAGGAGTTTCAGAGAGCGATTGCATTATCGATGCGTTTCCTGTTCTAAGTAAGGTCAGTGTCGTGTTGGCCAGCAGCACCACGTCCACACGTAACAAAACGATAGTGAACAAAAAAAACAACGACTCCTGTAAGCTCTGCTGCAGACGCTTGAAACTGCGTCGAACACCACGACCTTGCAAACGATTCTATGGAGTCTCGATTGCTGCCTACGAGAGCCTCAGATACTTGCGAACGATTGTTGCCGGGAACTTTGATTACTGCAGGTATCAGCCAAATGAGGGATGGAGTCGAATGTCCTAAATTGTCTGCAGCCTAAAGTCTAGCTTCGTTAATCCGACACGTGGCTGCATTAACTCATAAACAATGACGATCCTCTGCGGGGCGCGCTGTAAGTGGTGTCCATCCGAAAAGGTGAGCTCGTGCGATCGTCCTTTTCGTCGAGAAGAGAGTGCGTTGCACCGATTTTCGACTGCCATTTCACGATTGACGAACACGTAGGACCCAAGTTCAAGTAGGTCGTGCGTCAGGTGACTCTACGACAGTCGCACTTGTCTTGTTCGGCGCTGGACATGCTCGTTCTAGGTTCATGGCTCTATAATGGAAGTGTCGTACAATCTTGCATCGAAGTAATGCACCAGCCGCGCAGGAAGCAGATTAACTGTAAACTGTAATCAGTTTCCTCAATGTGTAACCATGTCGTCAGTCGCTTCTTCATCAATTTGCTGGTAGCCAACAGCACGTAGAAGCTTTGCAGCCGCCACATCGAGCATCAGAAGAACAGGCCAGCGGCATGCAGAGCTTGAAGACACAACGATATCGGAGCAGGGAAAAAGCCATGTGCGATAACGTCTCGCCTGCAAGTCTAAGTGCACCTCTGGCAGCGAGTGATAGTGTTTCATTTTTTCATCCGACACCTCTGGGAGCATGCAGGACGACGAGAACGAAGTTGAAGTGACCGCGTAGTAAGGTGACGTTCCGGAGATCCGCTCTAGTCTGAGCGCTCTTGATCAGATCTTAATGAGGAGGCCACGGTTTCGTCGGTGCCGAGTCCGATGCAATGCAACGGATCTGGCCGAGTCGATGGGGTGCACGTGTCGCACGGCCATTGCATACGTTTGATAACCTTCGCAGACATACGTCCTGCTCTGCGAAGGCGCCTTGATCGCTATCGAGCAGAAATACTCCATCAGGTACGGCTAACGTTATGCAGCGGGTGATCAGCGCATGTCACGTGCTCCAGAATCGTGTTTCTCAACTAGCATAAACGAAGGAAACCTAGTCTTCTTTGCCCTAGAAAGCAAAACTGGTAGGAGACACGTAAGCTCGGACATGCGGTAATTTAAAGAAACGTCGGCTCACATCTTTTGGGAATGTCCAAAGGCGCGCCTGCTGGAGGCGACTTATCTGTCACTGGACGGGCTCAGGGATGGTAGGGTCTGTTGATGAGACCTTGGTATTTTGGCAGTGTGAATCGTCAGGCTCCTGCATTACCGGCAAGGCAGCGACAACGCCTACATGAACATTTACAAGACGACTTGGAAGCAGGGGTCATGGTTTGGGAATGCATATGGTTTATTATGTGGTAGCGTCTGTTTAACTCACTTATGGATTGATCGAAACGACGCAGTATCTCAAGGTGTGCGGACGACGGTTATTCACAGCGTCACCCGTTTTTGGAAGGTGGGGATTCGGCATCTCAGCGCGTTAGCGAAAACGCGAACATCGTGGTCCCGACACAGTCGTCGCCGGGCTCTCTTGCATGCCTGTCTTGACCTCTTCACTCTCGAACCGCGGATGAGGTGGTCTTCGCAGGAAGCAGCTACGACAAGCTACCGGATCCGGGCTCTTGTCCTGGCTCCAGAGTTTTCAGACATCTTGTACATAGGTAAATGTTAATAGACTGTCATGAAATCTCTCTCTCTCGACATGCGGTAATTGACACGCCACTTCTTCGTATCAATCAAAAGCATGTTAACTGACAATTGGTTAGATGCAAGCGCTTTGAAACGAGCGACCTGAACAGCTTCCCAGGGACGCATGTAGTGGCATGATAATCAAGCACAGATTCAAGTCTTTTTCATCAAGACTTACTTAAAACTAAATCTGAACATGAACATGAACCACAACAAAGTTATGTCCAAATCCCAGTCAGACTAGACATTCCAATATGACGTTGATGCTACAAGACTGACTACCAGCGATGCAGTAAGGTCGACAGGCTATTACCATCCCTCCTCAAGGCCAGCAGCAACCTTACACCACCTCGACGCTCTTATCCACCTATAACAAAGACCGTCCCGCCCCACCCCTCTCAACTCTTCCCTACCACCCGTTCCTGACCTCATACGTTCCTTCGTCATCATCGTCATTGGTGTTATAAAGTCACTCAATAGCCCCGACACGGCTTCAAACCGGCCGCAAGGGTCACACCCGGACCGATAGGACATATCTCTAGCAGCGTGCAGTAGCTGGTCAATAAACACACCGAGACGCTGCTCGCGACTGCGGACTAGCGTTTTGTATAGAAACCCCGTGACAAGAGCCAATCGGCCGCGGGTGGGACATCGAGAGGGGAACGAGACTGACCGTAGCACTTCCCGGACACGCGAACAGTAGGGACACCAATAGGGATGGGACTTGTCTTTGGGGGCTGCGACTGCCTCGCCCACATGTTCTCGCAGCTCGCGGAAGGCCGAGTAGCGGTGCTCTACGTGGTAGTCAGCACGACCATTTCCTTCTTCCTCCTCCTCCTCTTCTTCTTTCTCGTGCCCCTCGACCCGCCGACGTGGACGCCTGCTCTGTCTGTACGTGGTCCGACGTCCTTTTATCGTCGTTGTCTTGGGTAGACCCCTCGGTGTGGCCTGCAAGTACACGTCGAGTACGTATACAGTCACGTGCTTCTCGAGCTCGTAGGTTGTATTCATGCGCACGTGGTGCACGCTATTGAGCGCCACGGCTCCTTTGGCTCGAGAGAGCTGCGACAACCGTCCACCAAGACTGAGGGTATCTAGACTCGAGTGCTCGCTTGCCGTGTCCAGCATAACGGACGTCGTTCGTCCGAGCGGATCGAATCGGAAGGTAAAGCACGTGTAGTTGAAGTGCTACTTGTCCAACTTTAAGTCTGTGGTTGCCCTCTCTCGCTTCGGTCGCCTGATGTTTTCAGGAGGAGGTAGGAGCGACTGTGCTGTAGAATGTGCGAAGGGAGATCGGACACGGACGCACCGCATGTTCTTGTAGGGGGGTGCGTGAAGGGGATAGTTCGAATCCGTTGTCAACTGCATGAAGCAGGTTGGCTGTCAAATCTATTTAAACCGGAGGAGACTGCAGCTGAACGGACACTTAGTGGGATGCGGTCGGTGTCGAGGCGACAGGCTCGTGGATGATCCGGGGCTCTGGATCATTTTTGCTTCGCTTAAGCTGTCGCACGGTCGCATCGAGCGCCCCTTTCGATGACGACCGTCCGATTCCATGGCAGCAACTGTAGCAGTTGGTCTTTCTACGGGAATGGCTCGATCTTCTGGAAGATTACGGCCAAGTGACGCATGCTACTGTCAGTAGATTGCGACGGTACGATGCTGCACCCACCAGTAGCCAGCGTTGCAAACTCAGCGATCGTAGCCTCGTTTATGCAGTAATTGTAGTAGTTTTGTATCGATGTCGAGGTACCGGCGGCTGGAATAGCAGTAAAGTTGCCGCTATGATGCGATTGCAGCAGTCTATGATATTGTAATGGGAAAGGTTCAACGCACCAGTCGCGAGTGGGTCATTGTACCGCGATTTGGTTTAGCCAATCAAAAAACGACTTCCTATTCATAATCCTACCAGATCTAATCATGACGACACCATCCTAATTTTGACCTTCGCGTTGTAGCTCCTCGCCTTCCACCATCGCCATTACAGCAAATACGATTAAAAGTTTGAAGAAGGGTGGGTGTTATTATGACGAAACCAGCCTAATTTTGAAAAACTCATCTCAAAACTAGGCTGGCATCGTCATAATTGGATTTGAAATCACAAATTATGAGGAGAAAATCGTTTTCTGATTGGTCAAAACAAATCGCCGGTACAATGACCCACTCGCGACCGGTGCGTTAAACCTTTCCTTTTGTACTATCGATCCGGCAAGAGCTCACCATTGGATCGCTCCATCACGTGCCTAAAAAGATTGCGCGACGCTGATCACGCATACGTATATCTTGTTCTGCGGGAACGTATGATGAGTCTGCATCATCGACGACTTCGGCACCACAGAAAAGTCATCAAGTTGCATCAAGTGTCGAGGGAGAAAGGAGGACGGAGGACGCGTTACTTCACAGGAACATCGACTCCACCACTTTGACAGCTTGTTCAGGTTATTCCAAGTATCCCATGCATCTATCTATCCATCTACGTCCCGATAGCATTTTCTTCCTCGCTCGTCTTTGACACCCTCATCCTTACCTGCAGTCCAACACGACGCGTGTGCGCGCTTGGCCAGCTTGCATCCGTTGAAACACGTCCGGCAGATTCACTAGTTGATCCAGTGTGAACTTGGGTCGAACCTGTTCGTCTGCAACGAGGTTCACTGCCTCGATCGCGTCCTGGCGACTAGCAACGTACGAGCCAACGATACGGAGCTCGAGCGAAATCATGAGACTCAATGGGGCCTCGATCGCAGCATCTTTAGGAACACCCACTGCAACCAGCGTCCCCCGAGGACGGAGGGAACAGGAGGGCGTCCTTGTACGCCTCCGTTGACCCAGCAACCACAACAACAGCATGAGCACCTTGACCGCTCGTAGCTGCTCGAACCTGCTCGACCACGTCTTGTGTGGTGTAGTCGATAAAGTGCTTGACTCCATACGACTGGACCAGCGCACGTTTATCTTTGCCCGAGTCAATAGCTACGACCTTGTAGCCCATGGCTCGAGCATACTGACACGCCAAGTGCCCCAACCCTCCGCCTGCGCCAGGGATCACGACAGTCTCGCCTGGGGAGCCACGAATTTGCTTCAAAGCTTTGTATACAGTCAAGCCAGCACACATGATTGGAGCAGCTGAAGCCAAGTCGAGGGTCGCAGGGATAGGTGTGACATGGTCAGCAAAAGTCACGCACCATTGCTGGAACGTTCCGTGGCGCGTCAAGCCGTGCACTTCCGCAGACGCGCACGTTGTCTCGTGCCCTTTTCGACAGTCTTCGCAGCCTAAGCAAGTGTGTGCGAGCCACTTGACCCCCACGGCGTCGCCGATTCGAAGGCAGGTGCGAGTATGGTCTCCGATCGCAGCAATGTGACCAGTTCCTTCGTGGCCACCCACCATTGGGAACTGCTTGGAGAGAGGAGGTCCTTCGCCGCCTTGCCAGACCGAAATGTCCGAGTGGCAGACGCCCGTGTATGCAATGCGGACAAGAACTTCCCCAGGCTTGAGGTCCTTAGGCTGGACGACAGGCCAGTCCTTACGCACTTGGAGCTTTTCCCAATTAGCTTCGTAGATGACGGCGGTCTGCGTCATGGGGATGGTTTCGCTGCAATGGGATCTCATGCTGTGATCAGGTATCAATGTGCGGGTGAATTGACGAATGGATTGCACCGGATGCATGAGTCCTGTTTACGAGCTAGCGAAACATGTACAGGTCCATGGTCTGAAGACTGAGCTGAATATATGTATACACGTTGACAGCTGCTACTTTCGAGGAGAAAAAAAAGGTATGCGCGGTACTCATGTATCCTAGACTAACGTGGTCCACGCATACACAACACTCACTTACCGACTGTGCAAGCTACTTTTGAGCGGCAGTCTGCTCTATGCTTATACAGCATACGAGGATTTACTATCGATCCTTTCGTAAGGAATGGATATCCAGCTCCAGCACCAAATGATGCATGCTGGAAGGCCGGACATTGTGCCGCCAAACACCAGCACTGCTAACGACTCTCCAGTTCTCTCTAGTCATCGACGACGTAGAAACGATCCAGACGGTGATCGAAAGATTGAATGGCAGCGCTGAGATTAACGGGGGTGTACGATGCATAGACAGCTCGAGTGTGTAAGTGAGTGAGCGAATGCTTGAACACTCATGATATATGAGGTATACGCATGAAGTCAGCGCACTTCAACCGAAGCTCCACTGACGTCTCTATACCCTGGAATGACGAGTGTGTACGTTCGTCACTCCAGAGTCAGCATAGACTTCGTGGGAGTCTAGTCACTTCACCGCACCATTGATGGACGAGGTTGGGATCAGCCAATGTGACTGCCTGTTGAGCTTCGCTGTGTGTACAACTTCCACCGCGACAATATCACAACCAGCTCTCGCTTGGTCTAGTAGCCATGTCGCATCGTGTACGATATCATCGCGAGTCTCTGTTATCGCATACGCACTCCCATCACGTGCAGAGGCTACAGTTCATTTTTTGAAATTTTTGGCTACGCGCTCTGTCCGTCTGTAAGGAGAGAGCGTCAGTCAATCTTGATCCTCTAAACCCAAGAAATGAATCAGCATGAGCTTACTTACTACTTGCAATCATCATTAAATGCATGATGCATATCGCGCATTCGCTGTTCCGAGTAAACCTGCGACTTTAATGCTTGTAGTAGGCGCGCTGATGTGGATGGAGGACCGCAACCGCTATCAACCGTACTACTTGTTGTAGTTAATGATGGTAAGTTGCATCGAATGCACATGATGAGGTTCGGTACGAGGACGATGACGGCAATTGACGTCGATTGAGACCACGAGGGAGACTGCGCTGACCTCAATACATTACAACACATGATCATGACGGGTGGCTGCTGCTGGAGTAGTAATGGATATTGATGTCCTGAGCTGGCAGCTGCAAGTCACTTCGAGCATTCTGAGGTAGGAAGCAGTAGCGGGGACATCCGTCACCTCGTCATCAAGGGAGAAGAGAACAGGCAGAGAAGCGGACAAGGGATCGAACAGTGATGGCCCTTGACTCGCAACCTGGGATGTCACGCCTCCCTAGTTGTTCATCTCGTCTTCAGCCAGTCGATACCCACTGACTGGTTCGAATAGAGAGTGCGGCTGACAGAGAGAGAAAGAGAGAGACTGCTAGTCAGCTTGAGTGATGTGATCAACCGCGAGTCAGTCGGAGGGTTTGCCTAAGCTTGTCTAGACTTTGCATGTGATGTCCCAGCAACCACGATATCGGGCCTCAGAGCTCGAGGATTTCTCCACATGTTCTCGAGTAGCCTTTGCAATAACTCACTGTGTCATGGTCGTCGATAGATGAACACCTTACACGGCTTCGAGTCCACATGTACCGGACACTTCATTCTTTATCAGACCTTGACAAACTACACGAATGGGAGCTACAGGCGCGTTCAACAGCGATATTTCATCCGGATCAAAACGAAGAAATGCCTTCGAAGAACAGGAGGAGCCGCAAACTTGGTCTCAACATAACAAGGATCAATCCACACCTCTCTGAATCGTGAAAGATGTGACTCGACTGTTCGGCCCAGTCCACCACCTCTCTCAAAAGCTTCAGACTGTAACTTGTCATGTCAAAAGTTGACGACTGCATCGAGGACGAGGTGCCTGCAGTACGAAGTGCCAGCACGTTTGACACCTCCTCAACGTCGATCGATACTAGCAGTAGCAGTAGCCGTAAAACTCGCCAAAAGCTCATGAGGTTCGAGCCATCGAGTTGCTCACTAGCATCGGAGATTATCCTCTTGCGGGAGCTCAAACTCGTACCGGTGAAGCTGTACCCGTTGCAGCTCTCTCGAGCAATGCACGTCCGTCTCTTCTTGTCGCGCATCGAGTGGATCGCCATCCACGAGGTCCTCGAGCGTGACGAAGGGGTTGTGTACTACGTCCTGAACGTGTACCAGAAATGCCAGCAAAAGGGACTACCAGCTACTGCTGCTCGCAACCGATCGACAAGACAAGTTCGGTCGTACAAGACCTTACCGGATTCCGAGCCGGAGACTCGACGTCCGGACTACCAGATTGAACAGCGCTACTCGAGCTTTGCCAGACTGCGGTCGAACGTAGCAAGTGCAGCACGGAAATACCATCCCAAGTGTCGAGTGTGTACGTACTGCGTCAGTGTCCTGGACTTCCTGCACACTTCGCCATCGAGACCCAATCTCAAGGTCAAGTTTACAACGCAACCTGACGAGCGGAAGGCTATCCTGAGCTCGTTTATTAACCAACTGGTGCAAGTCGTACGTGACGACTACTTGTCGTGTCCTCGGACGTTAAAGCGGGGTTTCCACGTGATTCCAGCCCTTGTCCAGCGGTTTCTAGCGGAACAAACTGGTGAGTCGTACTTCTACTCTTGATGTCTGGACGAAAGAAGAGCGTCAAGTGCCGAAGAAATGTCGTACATCGGAGAGATAAGCAGTTAATGGATCGATTCGGTGGCAAGGACTTGAGTTGAAGGAGAGAGAGATCGGTGAAGGTTGTTCACTTGCATGTATTCACTCATTTCCTTCCTCCCTTCATTTGTCTGGATGAGGTCTTTCTTCACGGACGGTACTAAGCTGTTTGTGCTGTCAAGACACGCAGGTCGCTAGTGGTGGTTGACTTCTTGTTGGATTTCATCCAGCGTCTTGCCCTTCGTCTCGGGTACAAACTTGAGGGAGAAGGCCAACGTGAGGGACAGCGTGATGGCAAAGGGGACGTAGATAAAGTTGCCCAGCGCCCTTTGCATGGTTGGAAAGACAATGCCAATGATGAACAGACCCAACCAATTGACCATCGTCGCAATGGACGTCGCTGCAGTACGTGACTTGGGTGGAAACATTTCGGCTGCAATCAACCACGGAATGGGACCGAGGCCGATCTCGAAGAACCACACGAAGCTCATGACGCCACCGACACTGAAGAAACTGGACATTGGCAGGAGGTTCGAGAGCCCGACCGTCAGAATTACTGTCGACACGAGCATGCCAACCATTGACCAGATCAGGAGCGGGCGACGACCAGCAGAGTCCATGAGCATCAAGGCAACAATCGTTGAGAGCACGTTCACAATGTACACGAGCGTGATGCCAATGAGTGGGTTTTCCAGTCCCGCATTCTGAAAGAACGAGCTCGCGTAGAACATGACTGCACTAATGCCGCTCAGCTGCTGTCCAAATTGCAAGACGACAGCGACGAGGAGAGGCAAGCGGATGCTCGGGTCACGCAGGACGTCGCCAATACTCTGGACATTGCCCGATTCGCTCGTGCTTGCCGCCGAGATGCTGTCCATCTCTTCCCCGACATTGTCCAACTGACGTAGATTTCGCAACGTCTCCTCTGCATCCTTTGGATTGCCATTGTTAAGGAGCCATCGCGGACTTTCAATCAGTAATGGAGCAAGCACGAGTTGCAAGAGTCCCAGAAGTCCCGTGAAGCCAAACATGAGACGCCATCCAGGACGTGTCAAGCTGTCACTTTCCCCTGCAAAGCCGAACGCCAGGAGATCCGTCACGAGAATACCAAGCACCATTGCAACTTGGTAGGTCGTGCCCAAAGCACCCCGAAGATTTGGAGGTGCGAGCTCACCGAGATAGAGTGGCACGAGGATGGTTGCTGCACCTGAGGCAATACCGACAAGAAAGCGGCCGAGGATCAGCATGTACATGTCGACGGCAAACGCCATAACCAGTCCAGAGACCACAAAGAGGCACGAGTTGGCCGACATCGTCATCTTGCGACCCAGCGAAGCGTTCAGCTGCCCGCCAATGACGGATCCAATAGGTCCACCGACGGCAAAACTCGACACGCAGAGGGCCCAGAGCATGTCCGAGTGTCCAGGAAAGACCACGTTGGCATTCATGGCGCCGGTTACTGCCGTATTGTAGCCGTACTGAAACGCGTTGAGCACTGCTACCACGCACGATTGGAGCAACGGGTACGTGTAACCTGGCTCGAGCCTCTCGTCTGGTTCCTCTTCAAGCAGCGGTTTGATCTCTCCATTCTGTGCACCCGACATGGCAACAAGAACCAGCACAACAATAGCATCAGAACGCGACTCGCCAAGCACTCAACCTGCTGAACTCGAGCGGCGACAGCACGCACCTTTTTGACCAGTCGCGACAGATTTGCCCAGGAGCTGCGAGTCCGGAGTTGCGGGAACTCGCGCTCGCTACGGAACGACCGCCGCCGCATCCCCGGCAGCGCTCGGAACGGAAGTTCTTGGTACAAAAGTTTCTGCTCGTCATCTGCACCAGAGCAAGCACGAACGGAAGAGAGTGGGCACTTAGTGTCAGCAGTTGGTTGGTCCCTCTCGTTGCGAGACATCGTCAGTATCGTCAGTCAGTCAGTCAGTCAGTCAGTCAGTCAGTCAGTCCATCCATCCGAGCTCCTCGGTTCGTACGCTGGTCGTTCATGTTCTGCACGGTACTCGCTCGTCCCTTGAGTCCTTCGGCCTTCTTGAGGTTTTCCCAGCTCCTGTTGCCGCCTTGTTCCAGTTCCCGGCGGAATCCGGTGGACGCCATCACGAGCTCCGATGGAAAGCGGTTCTTGAACGAAGGTGAGGATCCCGTTTGGTTGTCTGGACGGAAGCAAAAGCTCGAATGGAAAAGCTGAGAGCGCGTGACGGGCAAGTGGGCGATCAAAGAAAGACGCGGCTGGTTGGAAGTATCTTGGAAGCTGAACAGGTGCGGGTGCTGTGAGTCTTCTTGTTGGCTTGATTAAGTTGGGAGAGAGATAAGGTCTCGGATGTGCTTTGGGATTGCAATGGCTCGCTTTTGACTTTTGGAAGAGGATGAAAATGTAGATTGTATTATTCTAGACAGGTTTCGTGGGATGAGGAGCATCCTCGTGGAGATCCAGTCAGCTAGCTCCCTCTATAACGTCCCCTGATAGAACGTCCTCCCTTGATCCGATTTAATTTCCCACAGCCACTAGCAAGCAGCCTGTCACTACATCGAAGTGGTGGACTTGGACCCTGACATTTGATCACGCTCCTGCGAGCTTGCGTGCCCAAAATATCCGAAAGTTGACGCACCGGGAACACATGAAACCGCCACGTCCTTCCGCAGCGAAGCGACGCGAAGCGGTAGAGGTGCCCACGAAGTCGAAACGACGGATCGCATGCGACTCCTTTTTTCGCAGTGTTATCAGGTGATTCTCAACCGACTCTAATGAACGATAGGCCACGGTCACCAGTGAACTCCCTGCCACTTCCTCTTGTTGTCGTTACCTGGTCAGTGCTGTAAAGTAATCCGAGCATCCTTAAAACAACAAACTCAGCTTCACCTTGTCTTACCCGATCATTCATCCTCCCGCGATCGCCGTATCGTTTTTCGAGCGAGCGACGGTTTCTTGGCAATGAGCTGACGCTTGGGAGTCAGGACAAGAGATACCGCACTCAACACCTCGAGTTTGTAAAGTGATCGCGCGGCTTCGATCGACGTTGCCGTCCGTCGATTAAGTCCCTTACGTAAACGCAGATCCTCTTCATAGTGTAGTTAGTTGTCCATCTACAAGAGCGGAGTAACGCCGTCCAACTACCATTCTGAGACCGAAAGCGTTGGGAACTCTACATCACCGAGTCAGGTTCTTCGAGCACTATCGGAGCTTTGGACATCCAGACATTGATCGACTGACGGCTAAATGTTCCGAACAAGCGCCCGACGAACAAGCGCAACCTCGTCAAACGAAAGCAGTATGACATCATAACCGCGTGATATTGTCTCTCCCAATGACTGCACAACAAGGTACTGACTTTATGCGATCGGAAGCTTTCTTTATAACATCAAAGACAGGAATCAGAAAAAGCATTTTTCAAAAAAGCGTTCGTGAGGCGGGCGGTCTCTGCCGCATCACAAAAAGACGCACTTGGATCAGAGACAAGGCCTCACAATGAAACGCAGCAATATTATTGGTAGTCAAAGGTGAGGAAATGAGGTTCACGACCAAGTTGAGTAGTCAAGATATGATCAAAGTACACGCATTGAACGGGTTCATGTTCTAGTTCCTTCCTTTTCCTTACCACTCACACACTCGACAACCATAGCACGTTTTCCTTGTTCCTTGCCAACTGCACCGATGTCGTTACCTTTACATCATCATCAGCTATACTTCATGCTAGTAAATTAGTTCCTGACCACTCACACTTCAGTCTCGGTGGATTCCGTGTCCATCTCAGGATCCGATCCTCTACCAATGTTAAACATTGCGTGGAGCGCTCGAGAACTTGAAGTCGCAAATTGATACGATTGACTCCGGTCGAGCATGGGAGCCCGTTCACGAATACTTTCCACTCTTGCAGCAGTAGTGTGAGCACCGGAAGTTCGCGTCGGCGAGAGTCGCCGCAAACCTGGCGTGACCATGTTGACGAAATCGCTCAAACCTGGTTCCGATTCCAAGCTCGGTTGAGACAGCAAAGGCACTTGACGAGTTGTTGCCCGATGCGATCGAGTGCGGACAGTCACTCGATCCGAACGTGTACGGGAAGACTCGCGCTCCTCAACGGACCTACTACTGTGCCGTAAAAGCAGGTGCTGGCGGCGCTGACTTGGTTGATCGCTTTCATTCAAGGCCTCGTTCTGTGCGAGCATTAGCAGTCGAAGGAGCTGGCCATACTCGACTTTCGTGCCCTTGAGCTCAAAGAGCATCATCGCGACGCTATTCAAGCGAAAGCGGGTCAAGCGGTAGTCGAAACCAGCTAGAACCAGACGTAGTTTCTCCACGTCAATCATCCCAGTCTGTCGCGGATCGTATGCGTGGAGCTCTCGTCGCAAATCAATGATCGTGTAGTCTCGTTCCTTCAAACAGTCGAGCAACGACGACGCAAACTCCGACCGGAGCTCCACAATCTCGCTGAAGTGCGACACCACTTCGCCCATTGTATTCGCATCCACGCGAACGATGCTGCAGATAATGACAAAGTACCGGAACAGTTGCTGCTGGAACACAAACGTGTTGAGAAACAACGGTAGGGGCACCACCAGAGCATGCACGAGTCCAAACTCTTCGTAAATGTCATCCAGGTCGTACACAGCACACTGGACCAGCAGCGCAATGAAGAATCCATTGAGAACGAGCATGAACATGACGGCCACGTGCCAAGCTTTCCGAGAAAAGAACCGCATCGGAATATCGGGAGTTCCGAGCTGGACGCCATTGGTAGCGCGACCCACGCGAGTTTTCTTGGGATCCGCCACCTGATTCATATTGCGGATACAAGTCGCAACGAGCTGCAGCCCAATGTCTTTCCGGAGTAAAGCGTGGCGTTCAGCATTGCGACAATCTTCCATCTCTTCCAGCTCTTCTTGGACTCGATTCATAGTCCGAAGAGCACTATCTGCAGCTTCCATTTGCCATGCCGCCACTTCTTGTTCAGCGACCAAGCGGAGGTTGGCAACCAACGTCGACTCATCGTCACTATACCCTGCAGCAAGCAGAAGCTGGTGGATACACGAGCGAAAGTAGAGCAGCACGGCAACATGCAGGACCACCAAGGCCCAGGCGAAAACCACGAACACTTCCACTAGTTCGTGCTTTCCAGGAAGATCCACGTCCAGTTCCTCGAGTGCATCGAGAAAGCCACAGATCATCCAGGCCACTGCCAGCAAGAGCACCCACATGGATGGCTCGACTTCAATCATGTGCGAGATCTGGTTGGCTTGAGCTCGACGAAGGTACTTGGAGAAGGGGAAGAGCTGCGGCAGTCCAAAGCGCCGTAGAAACAAGTGACGAAGCAGGCGACGCTCGACAACTTGCAGGTCGACCCCCTTTGTCGGTTTGCTCGACCAGCAGCTGAGCCATTGGAACGACGACTGGGCTGGAGCTTGGGCTGTAGCGAGCGGGGGCGTGCCAGCTGGAGGCGTGATAGCATTGATCAGATCTTGTGCCGTGATGAGCTCAATTCGATCGGCTTCAATGTTGTGCTTGCGGAGCTGCAAGAAGACGACTGTAGCTTGCAGGATGAGAGCTAGGGCCAGGATGAAGATCGTCAAGTCGGCGACCTGGAAGGCCAGCATGGTCTTGCTGTAGGCGTTGATACCCGGTACTTCTTTCAGGAGTTTGAGACCGAGACTCAGTAACCCCAGCACCATGAGCTCTCGATAGCCTTTCCGAAGCATGTGGTGGTACTTGTCATGGCGAGAGACCTTTTGCTCCACGTGATGGAGCGCCGCTTCAAAGAAAACGAGACAGAAGGCCAAGATGCTCAAGTGAACCAAGACGCGCCAGAATTCAACAGCTTGGCCGACTTGGAAGAGGGAGCCGCTACCCATGTCGCGCAAGTCAAAGTGAACGAGTCGACCCGACTGTGTTTTCCGGTAGAGACGTTTGAGCTACTGAACCACGTGACCAAGCGGTTTTCAGCGAGATTCCGAAGTCTGTCTATCTACAATGGACTGGATTGGGCTCGACGTCCAGTTGATGGCCGGGGGAGGATGGTGGGATAAAGAGCTCCTGCTGTTCATTGGCTTGACAGCCGATCGGTCGATCGATCGGTCGATCGCTACTCCGTTCAACTCCTTTTTCCATGCGAAGAAGAATCGGGTCAACAACGTGCGGTCGCTTCGAAGGGATGGGAACTCGCTTTCCCACCTTGTTACAGCTTGTGAAGAGACGTGGTGTCCTTGAAGAAGCAAGTCGTCAAGTCGGTAGTTGCAATGTTAGAGCTTCGTGGACAGGGCAGTGTCGCTTGTCCCGAGTGGCGAAGGACGTCAAGCACAGAGACGGTCGAAAGGGCCATGAAGTTCAGTGTGTGAACGCTCGAGCGGCGTACGACTGTGTCAAGAAAAGAGGCGTGGCAATGGACGTGCGGCATGGGTATCGACAGTGCGTTCAGAGAGGGCTCCAACCGACAGTTGCAAGAGGATGCTGATGATAAGACGACTAGGGAGACAAGTGGACGAGGTGGTCATTGTTGGTGCTAAGACGTGCATGGGTTCGCGTCCACCAGTAGTTCCTAGACGTACGAAAAGGTTCGAAAGTGTATGGGAATGAATGGACTGCTGCAGGTTGTAAAAGACTCGATTGCATCTCGAGGAGAAGGTGGTGCGTGGATGCTGAAGGTCCTTGAGTTCCTTTCGGTAGGACTCAATGCTGCGGGCTGCGTCTGGTTTGATAGTTTAGCTGCTACCACTACGCAGTTGATCGTTATCCTGCTAGACGGGAAGTGAGGAAGGGAGATTGACACTTGTACGGCGGGGACGTCGATAGGAGTTACTCCCTCCTTCGTGTACGTCATGGAGGTCGTTGTTCACCGGGAGAACGATACGGTCAGGTTCGGCGTAAACGAGCCTGTTTCGGCGTGAACGTCGTGTACCACTGGCCTAAAGAACGCACGCGTTGACACCACGATCGACGCTCAGGCCTTTTCTCGTCCATCACCCCTGCCACAAAATGAGTCCGACAGGTCGGACAAGTGGTCTCGTAGCACGAGAAAAAAAAAGAAAGGGAGTCGTGAGCACCTTAGGCCCTAGAGCACCTGCTGAACAGCGTCGGTGCCATGAGGTTCGTAGCTTCCATGGCAGCAGCATATCTGTAGTCCACGCTCTCGGCGTTAGTACGCAGGGATGATGTAAATGACGTTCCAACAGGTTGAGGTCGAATGACTCGCCCCGCAATCGACTGCAGCACACACCGTCGCAACTGTGTCTGAAGACCTGCTCTCTACGTCGTTTGCTGGTTTCTTCCATACGAATGGAGAGGAGAAGACGCTTTGATCAGTGAACGACTTCGGACTTTAAAGGCCATGAGTACGACCACACAAGCCTCGTGCAGCTTTTTCGTGTCGGCATCTCCACATACGTCGTTAATAGCTGTCAGTACGTCCTAGACCAAGAAGCCGTGCCACATCAGATCGAGAGTCTACACGAATGCGAGCAATGGTAGGAGCACCGCGCATCTTGACGGACTCAGGAGCCAAGAGCACGACGCGGCAGATGGCTTCTGACGAGGTTTTCTCTTGTTGGCATACGCCATGACACGAAAATCGGGAGGACGACGGGCGTATCAAGAGTTCCCATCGACGTAGACGCAGCAGAAGACGTTGAGCTCCGTTTAAGCGTGACAACAAATGTCTGAGTACAAGTGTTGAGGCCAGACTAGTGTAGTAGGAACAAAAGAGGAACAGTCTATGCAATGTTTCGGTGCTCTCATGAGCTGACGCTACGTCCGCTGATCCTCGTGCTTCTCGCACAGTCTACGACGGACTGATCAACAGGTTGGTAGTAAACTGCGTGCGGAATGCGTAGCGGCCGACCAAATCCGCCTTTGTTACCCTCCTCTTCAAGTAGTAACCTACTTCAATCACTATTTTAAGATGGACGCGTACGCAACTACACTACGAAGTGTCCGCCCACTACAAGTCTGCGTAACTCGTTTACTAGGCTCAACCTCTAGGATCGTTGCACTTGCGTCCTTGGCGTATTGCAACCACATTGTACGCTGACGTTTTTCGATTCTTCTTCCCACGATAACTACCATACGGCATGAAAAAATTGAGCAGTTCGGTAGATGACCCGTGTCAGCTGACGGTGAGATGCTGGCGTCGTTTCAAAGGGCGTGGGATGGTCGCCCTGTTTGTCCTGTGCAACGCTTCTCGTGCTTCTTTATTTGTTTCATCCTACTGTCGCTGTCGTTATCGAGTATCTTTCGAGGAAGGGCGGAAGGAAAATGGAGACTGCTCTGCAGTGGCTGGATATCCTTCCTTTCTTCTTCTTCTTTTACTGGTGGTCGCCGTCCGAGGGACAGCGTCGATGATTTACATGCGGTCCGATAGGAGTTCGCTACACCGACCGCTCGTGTCAAGTATCTAAAAAGTGCCAAGAATGGAAAAGAGGTGCAGGACTTGAAGGGAAGCACCGTCCGAACCTATGAATGAAATAAGTCACAAGTCATGACAAATGCCACCGTCTCCCAGTTGAATCAGGATACTGCTGTATTGTGCGATATTGCAATTTTTTTAGTTACACCGTACGTATGTAGGATGTCTGTCATTCACTTTAAAGCGTGACAACGTGCAATCTAATTTTGTCCTGAGGGATGACAGCAACAGTTGTTGTGCTGATTGGCTAACGCCAGTGCACCACCCCAAGCAAATCATATTTTCGAGCAGTCACAATATCACGGGCGGCTGACGCGAATCCCCGAGTCAACCGACGCGCAGGAGTTTCGAAACGATTACATTATCGATGCGTTTCCCTGTTCTAGAAGTAAGGTCCGGTGTCGTGTTGGCCAGCAGCACCACGTCCACACGCTACAACAAAACGATAGTGAACAAAAAAAACAACGACTCCTGTAAGCTCTGCTGCAGACGCTTGAAACTGCGTCGAACACCACGACCTTGCAAACGATTCTATGGAGTCTCGATTGCTGCCTACGAGAGCCTCAGATACTTGCGAACGATTGTTGCGGGAGCTTTGATTACTGCAGGTATCAGCCAAATGAGGGATGGGTCGAATGTCCTAAATTGTCTGCAGCCTAAAAGTCTAGCTTCGTTAATCCGACACGTGGCTGCATTAACTCGCAAACAATGACGATCCTCTGCGGGGCGCGCTGTAAATCGGTGTCCATCGAAAAGGTGAGCTCGTGCGATCGTCCTTTTCGTCGAGAAGAGAGTGCGTTGCACCGATTTTCGACTGCCATTTTCACGATTGACGAAGACACGTAGGACCCAAGTTCAAGTAGGTCGTGCGTCGGGCACGACTCTACGACAGTCGCACTTTGTCTTGACTCCAGCGAAATTTACCCAAGCTGAGCATTTCAATGCAAAATTTGATCCCACAGGTTTACTTCAAACTAATATTTTGGTAGCCTAAATCTCAACGTTAAAAAAGAGGAACGCCTAGCTTGTCCTTTAACACGTAACCAGAGCTCGCAATTACCAAAGGCGAATTCTAAATTTGGCATGCCGCGGCGCTTTGAGAGATAGCCAGTTAGTTTAATGAGACTGGTCGGAATCAGCTCGCAAGAGTCGTCGTTGGCTACGAGAGTCTCGTCGTGACGACCTGGAAATAGGCCATTCCACCGCATGTCGCACTACTCGCTTCCCGATCTTTTTTCCGTGCGCCCAATCTTTTGTCTCCTGTGCTTCACCCGTTTATCATTTTTTCCTTCCTTCCTAAGTCCCCACTTTCCATCCTTCATCCGCTCCTTCACTCATTACTCAATTCGACTCGGAGCTCCCCACCGACCGATGAGAACACGTGAACGCCTTGCAAACTGAAGTGAGACGACAGCAAATGGCAGTCAAATTCTCCTTCAAGGCGCTTGCCAAAGTGACTCGAGCGGCCCTCAAGATCTGGCACCGCGTGGCAAAGTACACGACCAAGCCACTGCTCAGTCAAGGCGTGGACGGCGACATGGCAATGGCCCAGGACTCTCGACGGGTCTTTGATACAAGGGCGCAACTCGAAAGGAGGACGCACATTGCGTTTGATGATAAACTCAAGCTCCTCACGCCGGACGAAGCGACCGTGTACCCGCCACCAGCATCCCCGACCAAGGTGGTGGCACTTGCCAATTGGGAGGCCGCACCCACGTTCGTGCTGGATGACCATTTGGGAAATGGCTTCCCCAGAGTGAGTGCCGATCGACTGCTGAACAAGTGTAACCCGTTCCTGTCTGGGAAGCGGAGGGCACGGAGTGACGACGACACGACGTCGGACGCCCAGACGGCATCAACCGACGGCTCGATCGTGCTCGAGAACGGTGTCAAGACCCGTGACGACGGGACGGACGAGGTCGATATAGCTGAGAAGCGGGGGAGTAGCACCCACCAGAAAGTAGCGATGCAAGCAAAAGGTGAGCAGATCTCGGCTCCGTGCTTCGATGCATGTGCAAAGGAGGACGTTGAGGCTGCTAAACCCAGCAAGCGGCCATCTTGCTGGGTCTGTGTTGGCCATGGTCGCTATGTCAAGCGAGGACGTCCGTTTCCACGAAAGCTCTGTCGGTTGAGTCCAGCCAAGAGCAAAGTCTTCGTGGGAAGCGCGATAGGAACAGGTTCAGAATAGGCATAGGCAAAGGAGAAGGACTTGTGTCTCAAAGTACAATACAAGGGGCAATTTTGTGGTAAACTGCTGCTACCGAGCATGACTGATCGGATAAATGGGTTCGTTGAGTCTCTTGTCACTTGTGTTTGTTCAGAATACGCGTTCGTCACTCAGTGGTCCCATTCCACCTTCATTAGTAGATACACTCATTTATTTATTCATGATGTCTGCAGTGCGACGAGGCTCGGGTCTATGTAGTAGTTGCGAACTGTGATCGGCTACCGACCACGCGACCACTTCTCTTGATTGGCGCGTGGTCGGAGGTGGTGACAATTGGAAAGGCGACACTCACGCCAGGTTTCGTGGAATAGCAGCCGCCGGCTGGTGATCCACGATGCGACAATAGGGGGGCCGTCTGGAATCACGTGGCGTCAGTACTGTATCCATAATGAGCGAGGAGAGAAGAAAAGAAAGAAGAAGAAGAAAAGACTGAGCGATTGCGGTGGACTTGGCGGTGATCAGTCATGATGAAGTGTGCAGAAATCACAGCATCAACGGATGATCTCAGTTACATTCGACTGGATGGAATGGAGGTGGTGTCGGATAAAAAAGAACCGATTCAAACTGTGTGGTAACGTCGTCTGGGAGAGCGATATCTTGCCGAGCCTGCGTTTTAATGAGCCACGCTCTGTCGTATAGACCGCGCGGTCTACATTTGCCTTGTTGCAGCTCTTTTGAAAGGTGCTGGTGCATCAAATGTTCATAACTGAGCGTGACCCGAGAAAGGTTTTGTGTCTTCTTTCTTCCTCGCGCGTTCTGATCCGAATCAATCATCTTTCGCCTCTCAACACGGGCAAGATGACGAGAAGCACATTGTCAGTGTAGTCTAGGTGCGTTGGGAAGGTGCAACGGTATAATTCAAACATCGTGAGCAGTGGATGAGATCTCGTGGACGACGAGACTGTTTGGAATGGTGTTTTCAACCTACAAAGCCAATGGCAGTGTGCGAACCATTGACATTGATCTCGTGTAGACTCTGCTGTTTATCTTTTGGCACGCAACGAATTGTTTGCCAGGATTGTCGAAGCAGGAGATCAATACTAACATCAGCGTCGTCAGTTGCAGTGCTGTTGGTGTGGTTTTGGAGAGGATGGAGGCTAAAGCACATACCTGAATGACATCCTTGGTCTTGGCACCACCGTCAACCCGTCCCTGGCGTCACGAAAGCTCTCATTGCATCAAGCATTTGACGAAAGCCGATATCTAGTTTTGGTTTTCGTTACGTACGCCCCACTTTTTACCAAATACACCCATACGCCACAACCATACCACACCACAACATGGTCTGTATGACAAATGTCGCGCCACCATTCCTCCGTACGAACACTACCGCACAACAATCTACATTTGTCATACGAGTATGAAGTGATTTACCGAGCGAACTTCACTTAGCACGCACGGACGACAGAAGCTCTTTGCATTCCTAAATGAGTTGACCGACGACCACAACGCACTTGTCACTACGTGTCGGATACATCTGGGTTGCTATTTAAATCTTTTAAAAATAGTAAACCCAGGTTTCGGCTGAGAATGGTACAAAAAAAATGAAACAGAAGTTCACGTTTCACCGAACGTAATCGGATACATCCGTCGCTGCTAAAATTACCTCTTTGAACAAGAATGTGCGTTGCACGACTATGTGTATTTTTTGATTGAGCCGATCCTGGATCTGAGTTAGGAACAGGCATGCCCGTCAACGAAAAATCGATTGGTAAAATTACTTACCATTGTACGACGAGGTGCCAATTGTTGTGCTATAGTGGTCGTACAGAGAGATTGTGGCGCGATATTTGTCGTACGAACCGTTTTGTGGTTTGGCGTGGGTGTTGGGTATGGGGTGTATTTAGTAAAAAGTGAGGTGAATTTATCCGTTACTTTTACAACGATGCATACTTAATAATCGTACCAGTCTCGAGTAGCTGGACAGCTCCCGTGATATGGGCCCAGAAGAAATATAGTGACGCGTTTGTATGAAGGTACTTTATCTCATCATATGAATTTATTCGATCATCAACGAACACTAGATGAGGGCGCTAATGAAGCCAAAATGTGCTTGAGTGGTCACGTCAACGATTTACAAGTTAGACTAAGTTTGTAATGAGTAGCAAAATATTTGACGAATACCTTGATACGGCTAGTTGACGCTTCTACTTGATATTACACAGACAAGATGTAATATGGTAACGATGCTTACGGAGATAGTATGTGCATATACAACGAATCAAAAGTGTCATCTCTTTTTTCTATCTGATTTTACTAGAATTCTTGATATTAATGCCGTTTTCAGACACCGAATGTTCAAACGCGCTCATATCTTCAAATGTTACATTACCATGCTAAGTCAGGTAGAATATGGATCGTAAACTAATTCGAGAGGATATAGGATACTCAGAATTGAAAGGCAACATATCACCCACGATCAACAGTTCTACGGATCATCCGCACGTTGGTTGTGTTTATTTCTTTTTTATCGTATGAATCACCAAACCAAAGATACTTCGTAAATAAAGTCAGCAGGACAGTATCGTGTACATGCACCGTAGCCGTGACGCGCAATACGGTTCCAAGATGATGTGGTCGAGGCCGGAAGGGTCTGGAAGCAAATCTGGCAAATCCCGGTAACGATATGCCAAACGATGATGTGGACGGACAGCAACAAAGTGGTCTAACCTTGCGACATCCGTTGATATGCGTGGGAGAACAACCAGTTTCTAGGCTATCGGCATCTGTCACCGACGTGCGATCGCGAAGCGAGAGCATCCAAAAGTAGCAACCGCAACTTTGAAAGCCATGCTCTATGTATGCGTTAAGTTTCTAAAGCGCGAACCTACAGGGTGCCAATATATACTAGCCCCAGTCACGGTCATCCCCGGGAATACCCGCCGGCGATCACGGCATGGTTTAAGGTATGCCCAAGATCTTCCACATCGTCACTAAACCATTAAATCGACTTTCAGGAACACCACCACATTGAGCAGGACAGACATCGCCATTTTTCTTATATCATCATGTCAATGATGTAAATGCAGCTAAGGAACAAGTGTTAGATGCTGTAAATCGTCTTGCCAAGATATTAAAGGCAAAATGAACTATATCTACAAGTGCTTGAATATAGAGTAAATTGCATTGTCAGGACTAGATCGATGCAAGCTTTGCAAAACCAGGACTTGCCGAAAAACCAAGACCGATTAGATATAAGTACAGTGTTATCGATTCAAATTTGTTGCTTTTGTGATTATTAAGTCTGTAGCTACAAGCGTTAACATTACAAGATCCAGGTGCGAAACTTATTACTAAGACGTTCATTCAAATGGAAGCGATCGATTCAATTGCAATTTACAGTGCAAATAAGCTGAATAAGGGAGAGAACTTCCAGACCGGTGAGCATCCAACATATTACATTCGACTACTATCCTAACCATAACCGGACGTGCACGGTGACAACGATTAGTGGCATGAGTAAGAAGGTTGCGTGTCCTCAAGATAAATGTCTGTGGGGGATACGTTTGACGAAGTGAGAGAGAGTGGGTGAATCTTTAAATAATCACATTACTACTCTAAACGGTTGTCATTTTACTGTGTGCATGACCATCGCAAAACCAACAGCACGACAAAATAAACTGATGTAGACATTTGACGCCGCGGTTGGGGGAGACAAGAACCTCAAGCACAAGTTAATCGTTTTATTCGTGCTTGCTCGTGATGGTCTTATTCTCTGGAACTACAGCTGAATGATTTACGGAGCCAAGGAATCTTGTTAACATAGCACCGTCTACTGCTTTTTATGTTCATGGATAGGTTTGGAAGAATCGAGAAGGACTGGCTGAGAAGAAGCACAGCGTGACGTCATCGGGTGACGTCACAAGGAGAGCTTCTTAAACCTTCTGGAAGATCTTGAGAAGATCGAAGGGTGTTGATTGGTCTAGATAAACCAGTGAACCTTCTAGAAGATCTTGAGAAGATCGAAGGGTGTTCATTGGTCTAGCTAAATCAGTGGGACTGACATAGTTTGTCTAAGTATAGGAAATGAGTGGCTTAGAGGTAGCGAAGCAAGTTTGCGAACTAAGGACCATAAATATATTCACTTCACAATTTGCCTTCGCCTGCGCACATCAACATCAACAGGTTAACAGCCGCAACGCGCTCCAAACCGCCAAGCCACCACATCCACCATGACAAACAAGCGGTGTGAAGTCCTCCTGGGTAGTGGAAACTACTTCCACTGGGAGTATAACATGCGCATGACGTTGGCGCGCAAGGGGCTGCTGGTACACGTTCAAGTCATCAAGAAAGAAGAAGAGATGACGGATGCCTGGCTGTTCAACGACGCTAAGGCACTGGAAATCATCGCTTAAGGCATAGAGCTACAGCACCAGACCAAGATACGATCGGCGACGACAGCTATGCACGCGTGGGTCATCTTGCGGGACTTCTACAACCGCACCACGCTCCACAATCGTGTCGAGATGACACGTCGTCTGCATGAGTTCAAGATGGAGAATGGTTCGACCATGTCGAAGCACTTGGATGCTTTGACGAGCTTGTTGTCGGCCTCCAGACACTTGGAGAGCCAGTCGATGACTCTCGGCAGCTAGTGGTGCTGATTAGTAGTCTTCCGACGGACTATAAGCTCATCTCGTCAATTGTGGAGAATTCCAAGGACATTACGCTCATCGAGGTCAAGGAAAAGCTGCTCAAGGAGCATGAACGATTGCAGAGGAAGGAGACTACGGAGAAGGCGTTTCCTGTAAGCAGCAACGGTAGACGGTTCAAGGGAGGCCAGGGCAACGGCCGCAAGGGAAACTATCTACGGAAAACCAACACCGGAATTAAAGGCAATTGCTTTAAGTGTGGTCAAGTCGGACACTATAAGCGGGACTGCCTGAAGCGTAGCAATGGCGAGGAAGAAGTTGCTGTGTTTGCTGCTGGTGAGTTGCAATGCGAAGAATGGCTTATCGACAGCGGGGCTACGTCGCACATGACACCACATCGGAGCGATCTATTTGAGTACAAGGAGTTGAAGACTGGTCAACAAGTCTCTATCGCTGATGGCAAGAAGCTGCAGGTAGCTGGAGTGGGAACAGTCAAGCTGAAAGGTCTAGACGGTCGACGGATCATGATGGTCGATGTCATGCACATACCAGGACTTGACAAACGATTGCTGTCCGTTGGCAAACTGGCAGGACGAGGCACGAGGGTGGAGTTTCAAAGCTCGTCCTGCATCATTTGGAGTGCCAAGCGCGCGATTGCAAGCGGCAAGAAGATTGGCAAGGCGTACTTCCTGGATTGCGAACAAGAAGAAGCCCGGCTTGTAGAATACGCAGGGGCTGAAAGTGAGTGGGAGCTTTGGCACGCTCGCTTGGGACACCCCGGAAGATCTGGTATGGACAAGACACAGCGCGCTACGAGTGGTATGCCGGCGGTAAAGCAGGGCATCGAGAAGCTGTGCAGTGGATGCATGAAGGGCAAGCTGACGATCGATACATTCCCGTCTCAATCGCTAACAAGGACGTCACGTGTGTTGGAACTAGTACACACGGACGTGATGGGACCGATGAAGACGGTCTCAAAGGGTGGTGCACGATTCGTATTGACATTCGTAGACGACTACTCAAGATTTGTGGCAGCGTACTTCATGAAGCACAAGAGCGAGGTGGCCGCAAGGCTTAGCGAGTTCAAGGCTTTACATGAGAATCAATGGGGCAAGCACTTAGAGTGTATACGGTCGGATAACGGGACGGAGTTTGTCAACAAGAAGATTGCCCATATATGCGCCCGTAATGGTATCATGCACCAGCGGACAGTACCATATAGTCCGCAACAGAACGGCGTTGCAGAACGCATGAATCGCACTATCACGGAGAAGGCAAGGAGCATGCTGTACTCCAAGGGTATCGACATGCAGTGGTGGGCAGAGGCGGTCAGTACGGCTGTGTACTTGATCAACAGATCCACAAACTCTGCAAATTCGGACGTAACACCGTTCGAGGTTGGTTTCAAGATGAAGCCGAGTATTGAGCATTTGCGTGTGTTTGGATCGCAAGGGTATGCTCACATTGACGACGCCAAGAGGACGAAGCTCGAGCCAAAGAGTTACCGGTGTATGTTCCTCGGATATGCGGAGAACACCAAGGGATACAGGGTGTTCAATTTGGAAAGGTAGAAGGTTGTCGTATCGCGCTCCGTAAAGCTGGACGAGCGGGAAGTTGAAGGCATATACGACACGGTGGTACCAGATAAAGTACCAGTCGTCAAGTATATAAGGGACACTGATGAAGCTGTGATTCCGGTGGTTCTTCCGTATGATGGAGACGAGATGATGGAAGATGTCGAAGAAAGCGCTCCTGATGTCGAGATGGACGAGATAGAATCGGCTCCATTCGAAACAGGTATCATCATACCTCAAGTACTCGATCCAGAAACTCAAGAACTAAGAGGCGATGAGATAACAGGATATCAAGCATCGAGACAAGCTTTTCAGGAGGACAGGTTGGTATTTCAGCCGAAGATAAATCGGAAAAGACGCTCACGAGACAGAATGCTGCTGCTTGAGAATGGGAATAGCAGTGAAGACACGTCAGAAGGTAGCGATGGACCACCTTCTCCAAAGCGTGCAAGAATTAATGACGAAGGTCTCATTGCAGAGGCTGTATTAGCCTATGCTGCAAGCGTTGGCGAGGCGGACGACGCTCCATCAACATACAGCCAAGCGTCAAAAGGCGAAGACAACAGCAAGTGGATTCAAGCGATGCAAGCGGAGCTCAAGGCGCACGCCGATAACGGGTCCTGGACACTGGTACCAAAACGGCAAGACATTCGACCAATCAGGTGCAGATGGATATTCGCTAAGAAGCGAAACGAACACGGACAAGTGGTGCGCTACAAAGCTCGACTCGTCGCAAAGGGGTTCAAGCAGAAATTCGGTGTCGACTTCTTCGAGACGTACTCTCCCGTGGCAAACATGAACTTGATCAGGGTTGTGCTAGCTGTGGTGGTGACAAAGGGATACGTCACTGAGCAGCTGGACGTAGACACGGCGTTCTTGAACAGTGATCTCAAGGAAGAGGTGTACATGGAAGTGCCAAATGGCATAGCTGATGCGGAGAAGATGATGTGCAAGTTGGACAAGGCAATCTACGGTCTCAAGCAGGCTGCAAGTGCGTGGAACAAGACAATCCATGCTGTATTCTTACAGATCGGATTTCGTAGCAGCGGAGCAGATCAGTGTATCCACGTCAAGCATCAAGATGACAACTATGTCTATGTTTGTCTCTACGTCGACGACATGATCATCGCCGCCAAGACCAGCAGGGAGATTCAAGAGGTCAAGACAGCACTCAAGAGCTCATTTCGTATGAAGGAGCTAGGCAAGGCTAAAGTTATTCTTGGCGTGGAGATTGATCATGACCACAACTGCAGTAAGCTGATGATTCGACAGACTCGATACATCGATGATGTGGCCAGCCGTTTTAATCAAGAGGACGCAAAGGCAGTTATTAACCCATGAGAGTCCGGCCTGAAGCTGTCAAAGAAGCAATCCCCAACGAAGGATGTCGATAGAGCAGAAATGCAGTCAAAGCCGTACAGGTCGCTGATCGGATATTGCTATACATCACGACATGTACGCGCCCAGATGTGATGTATGTCATCACGCAGTTATCAAGGTTTTTGAAGAATCCAGGTCAGCAACATTGGAAGGCAGCCATTCTTGTTCTTCGGTATCTCAAGATGACAAGAGACTACGGGATAATCTACGACGGCAGCGCTAGCGAAGTAACAGCTACAGCGTATACGGACGCGGACTGGGGTAGCAACATCGATGATCGACGCTCCGTGTCAGGGATAATGGTGATCATCGGTGGCGCACCAGCCATATACAAGTCCAAGTATCAACGCACGGTGGCTCTAAGCTCTGCTGAGGCAGAGTACATGGCTTTAAGCCTGTGTACACAGGAAGTGTTATGGTTTCGTGCGCCGCTTAAGGATCTAGGTCACGAGCAAGTGGGAGCAACGTGGGTCTGGGAAGACAATCAAGGAGCAATTGGGCTTGCCAGCAATGCCGGCTACAATGCCCGAACCAAGCACGTTGACATTCGTCACCACTTCATCCGGGAGAATGTGGCCCACGATATCGTCGTGGTCAAGTACATCTCCACCATGGACCAATTGGCCGACATGCTAACGAAGGCTCTGGGGACCAAGCGACTAAACTATTTGATTCAAGCAAGCTGCATTGGACCCAAGGGCATTTAGCAATAGCGGTGAGTGGGAGTGTTAACATAGCACCGTCTACTGCTTTTTATGTTCATGGATAGGTTTGGAAGAATCGAGAAGGACTGGCTGAGAAGAAGCACAGCGTGACGTCATCGGGTGACGTCACAAGGAGAGCTTCTTAAACCTTCTGGAAGATCTTGAGAAGATCGAAGGGTGTTGATTGGTCTAGATAAACCAGTGAACCTTCTAGAAGATCTTGAGAAGATCGAAGGGTGTTCATTGGTCTAGCTAAATCAGTGGGACTGACATAGTTTGTCTAAGTATAGGAAATGAGTGGCTTAGAGGTAGCGAAGCAAGTTTGCGAACTAAGGACCATAAATATATTCACTTCACAATTTGCCTTCGTCTGCGCACATCAACATCAACAAATCTGTTGTCGAAGAGATTGAAGGTGAAAGAAGTATATTATTTTCGCTTCTTGACCTCCTCTTCGTGGAATTAAGGGCGTTAACCCGGTCAGCGCTGTTGCGCTTACCGTGGACCAAGACAATCTATTATTTCGCAACTTTGTATATTTTGGTGTGTGCATCAGCATTCATTACTAAAAGGTTCCTGTGGTTTAGCTTGACGAGACAAATTTCGCCTCGTGAAATATACGATGGCATCATTCTTTCTCTCGTGGGACGAGACAGAAAGGGTCAACATCTCACCCTCACCCCAGCTTCATGCCCGCAGAAAATTTCAACAACATCGCATGGGTTTTATTCACTAACTTAAAGCTGAATTAAATTTGGTTAATGTCGCAGTGATGTGTGGTCGTGGAAGAAATCAAGATGCAATAAAACTTGTATGGTCGCAGACGGGTGTTAGTATCTTCCAATTAGAGCTCGTTAGCGCTGACTAAAAAATGAAATTGCATCCGATCAGACCAGTCTGGCAATAAGCTAATAAGGAAAGACCCGTTTCTAATCACGCAGTTTACTATCGCATGGTGCATTTACATCGACAGTACTACACTGTTTCTACTTCACATTGGCCCTGTTTTTGCGGCTAGTCCTGGTTTTGTAAAGTCTGCATCGACCGAGTCTTGATGAGGCAATTTACTCTTGAATAAACCTATCGATTCTGCTGAAACCACAAATGTAAAGAAAAAGTGCTGCCCATTAATGCAATCTGCTGCAAGTCGCCTCGATCACCAGTATGTTGCTAAACACGCCCGTCTATACGTTCATAGCATGCGCAATCTAACAGGCTCTAAGCAGACTGATCTTTCATGGTACACAAAACTAATTTTCAACGCATGTTGAAGGAGGCGTCATCGACTGCTTGTTTCATTTCAACCAAAAACATTTGACGTCCTCATTTTCATCAGATATTGGCCTCATCACGACCACGTATATCATCCAGCCCCTTTTCGGAATCCCCTTAGGCAAGATAATAGCAGCGATACCACTCAGCATCTGCATCTGAGAAAATGCAAGACATTCTGTCGCCTTTCAGTCCATATCCTTTCGGCCAGCCTGGTGCTCCTTCATACGCCATAATTTTGTCCTCTTTACAGTTATGTGCGCCCAATCTGCAGCTGCGTGCACACTGAGTCAGCTCTGGTGCTAATTGAAAGCTAAACATTGATGGTGTCGGTACTGCTCTTAACGAGCCTCTACGCTTTTAGACGCTCATGTTCAATTCCGATGGCATGGTGTCGCTAAGGCTGCACCTCTGATAAAGAGCTGTATACTGAAAAATCAACAAATGATTCTTATAAGATTGTGAGTACGTGGTCAATGCGCACAGGCTCTGCTAACCACTTGGATCTCGTACAGGGTGAGCCACGTCGAAGCAGCCATCGAGATGACCACGAGGTCTCGTCCCTGGTCGGACGAAATCAAGATCGTACACCCATTGAATGTCTACGAACATAATACACGAACAAAAAAACACTATTAAAATATGTAACTTTGTGGGTGCTCGGATTCACAGACTATGTCGCTTCGTATCTCATTGGTATAATACACTCAAGCGCTCGTGAGGATCCCCACAGGTTTGCTCCAATTCAGCGTACTGCATAAGCCGTCCTTGTTCATCGTGGACTCGGTAGTGTCGACTACTATTCACCTGTCGATTTTTTTCTGCCGTAGCGCCACTATCGTGGACGTGACATTCGATCAGTGTCAGTCATTTTAACGACACGCAAGGCTCGCATGAATTTGTCATCACCATCTGCATGGTTTGCTCGATGCAATCCAGCACCACTGAGTAACGCTCTTAGAGCTGCTGAACGAAAGATACAGCGCCGACCTGTACCTCCGCATTCATCTACACTTGCGTTTACCGTCCAAGTCTATTTCCGATGCGGATGACAGTTCTCCTCTCGACCAGCTAGAAATTCAGGTATCAGATCACAAAACATAGAATTGCACGTATGATATCGGTTCCTTCGAAGCCCTCGCCATAACGTGGACGTCGTATCAACGTCTTTGCGCCACAAAACCCGCCCCGGATCCACCCCCTCGAGCACAGGTAGCATCTGCCACAGAAACAATCGTCTTGTAGGTCGCAGCTCACTCCTTGCAGATGAGGTCTTTGTCTAGTACATCGAAGCTTTTTCCAAGACGTGAGGGAGAGCAGCACGAAAGGTGGAAATTGGACTCGTGAGGGAGAGCAGCTCAAAAATTAGATTACGTTAATCATTCCACACATTGAAATCGTCGTATGCATTATAGATGAAGGCCAGTTTATTGAACACGAGTTTTCTTTGCAAGCTTTGTAGTGCCCTGTAGTGTCAAAGTTGCAATAATGCAGTGCAAAATCGAGTTGCAGCTAGCATAGCTCGCGTACAAGTCTCCACATGTGGACACTTAAAAGGGAACACCAGCTGTATAATAGTTAAGTTGGTGGCGAACATACAAACGTTCACTGATTAAACGCTTTGACGATGGTTTCATTACTAATTTATTTTAGACTATATCGATCATTTAAAACAAGCGAAAAATACTAGAACACCGTTGACAAATGCCGAAAAGACAAAAGTACCCTTGTACTTTTATAAATGACCAATATGCCCCTGGCTATAGCCTAGGATTCAAATGCTGGCAATTATCATTCTCGAAGCGTAGTAAGATTCATATGGGCTCACGACAAGTGTAGCTATGATGCACAGGTGTTTGCATCTGCCACAATGCACGGGAAGCTTCTCCAGGCCTTCCTCCTCTCTACACACGCGCATTTTCTTTGGGCAGACAGGTGGGCGCCGTGTACGCGGTGGGGATACACGTACTGCTTCCCGTCCTAATCTAAAACGTCATCCCAAATGCTTACATCGCCAAGTGGATGTACCGTTTCTGCGTATGTGTGCCAGTATGCAACCACCGTAAAGTATCCTTTTGCTTGCTGCCGCACATTCATTCGACACAATAGTAGCGCAGCTACTGCGTGGTGACAAGGAAATTGGTGATAAAGATGTTCTTTTGATAATCGAACGAGTCACCAAGGATAAGCTGCAGATTTTATTTGAGCAAGCCCACCTTGTGCCTGCCACCACTTACTCGAGCACTCATGTTGCCTGATATTGACAGTCAAATTCCGGTCCTCCGATATCACCTCGAATTCATGATCAGTCGCACGTAGAACCCGGTAGTGCCTAGCGCGCTCGGTGACAGTGCCGAAGTTTTCCTCAACTGATGGAACAAGTAGCGAGAGTCATTAAGCTGCTTTCCGTCGCCGCTCATCGAACCATACCATAACTGCTAATGGACCCTTTTTCCACAGTTTAAGGATATTCCAAAACGGTTAGAATGTGTAGTTAAATCTATTCAGCAGACTCCATCAGAAACCTACCGCTGCATCATCATCACGATTGAAAGCTCACGGGCGTCTAGAATCCAATTGTTAAGCGCTGCCGCGATGTTGGATGTCAGATGTCCAAATCGTTTTCCCATAAACGAGCTGTCGGCCCGAAGATTTGTAGCGACGCCCACCATCTACTCTTTAGCGTTGATTAAAATTTCTTCAATCTCGCTCACCTTAGCGTCGAATTCCATATCAGTCAATGCATAAGCTTCCTGCCACGTGAGCTTCACCAATGAAACATCTTTAAATACCTTCCGAAAGTTTTCGCTGAGGTGCCGCATGCATATACCATGGTTTGCATTTGGAAAAAATTTCCTGAACTCCGTTGATCAGCCCTAAAAAAAGACGGTCGGAAAGGAATGTCAAACGCTGCGGATTTAAAGCATTTGCTTCCAGAAGCGTCCGTAGCTTTGATAAACACCAAAGTCAGTTCTTGTCTTTTTCAGCATCGGCGACGGACATTGCCAGCGGAAATAATGTGCCGTCGCCGTCCACAGCCGTCGCCGCTAGAAGCGTCATTAACTACTTTGATCCAAGGTGGGTTCCATTAATGACCAGTAGTGGACGGCATCCAGATCTAAATTCAGCAATCGACGCTTGGTAAAAAACAAAAAGGCGCCAAAAATGATGCTTGGGCCCAGCCGTGTACACGGCCGCAACTCTTCCTGTTGCAGCCGTCATTGCCTCAGCAAAATGCTGAGATTTTTCGGCAGGAAGATACAACGAACACCAGCCATCCACGGCCTTCACATGGGTTTGTCAGAAAAAAGCTGTCTGCAAAACGCCAGAAGACTTTCATAAGCTTTTTCGTAGGATCCATGAATCTTTTCCATACTCCTCGATTTTCCTCTCTAAACTTGCTTGGGTGGAATCGTGACCCCATGCTCGCGATGAACGTCTTGTATGTTTTCCTTTGGCCTGTTCTGGGGGTTGTCACGCAAACGGGCCTCGACTTCACTCGCAACCCAAGAAACTGATGCCTGTTGGTGGCCAAGGTGTGTCACACCTTGACATGAGTTTCTGTCTCGCAGAGTCCTGATGGTGAACGTTGGTGCGTCGGCAAGCTTTGCAGCGTACAGCCTCCCAGGAGCATCCTTCTTGCACGCGAGACACTGTGAAGCGTCGTTTGTCACTTTTGATGACCGCGAGCTCGAACCGTTCAGCGATGGCACTCGCTTTGACTGCTTTGCGGCAGCTTTTCGCATCCGCAAACTCCGTTCCAACGGTAAGCTGATGTTCCGCCAAAATATGCGTCGAGAAGTATTGAGGTAGGGTCGCGGCGGTGAGTTAAATGGATGTAGTTATAATCTGCGTAACAATTTTTCGTGTATCTATGTACATATAATGGCTAAAGCCATGGAGCATTTTGGTCATTTATAGAAGTACAGGAGTGCTTTTGTCTTTTCGGCATTTGTCAAAGGTATTTTGGTACTTTTACCTTGATGCGAAGTAGCCAAAATTGGCGCATCCGCATAGTGGAAAGGCGCACAGAACTGTATAGAGGACGTATCAGTAGCCAATGACGTAGCAACAGGCTGGCCGACAAGCTGTTGAGCGATTCCCTACATCGCATCATTGTCCGAATAGAAATGAGCGAAAGCTTAATCGCTCTTTTGCTGTTAATTTTGCTTGCAATTACGCACATTCCATGGGGGCTAGGAAAAAACCTTTGTGACTGAATTTAGATTAAAAAAGGCCAATTGATCACAAGAATTGGAATGCCTTCCGTCCTATAATTGTAACGGGGCACCCTTAGCTTGGGTGCCACGAAACTTCACGTACACTCGTACGTGCAGAGGAAGATAGATCGACTTAAACTACGAGCCTAAGTAAAGGTAAAAAGAGAACTGTATTTAACATAGTTAAGCTATCAATATAACTTCAGTCTTTATCGAACTATCTTAATCTACATTGTCGTATGACGAAAACCAGCTTACCACTCATTGCGCGCATCTAGCAGCGATTGGTAGTAATCTTGATTGATATGTCTTCATCAACCAATCTTGGAGCAGCGGATGAATATTATCCAAAAGGGGACAAAATTCCATCAATATTATCCATCTCGGATAACATTAGTAGGATATTGTCACGCTAGACAATAATCCAATTGACACCGTTTGGTGTCAATGTCATGTAACGGGCTACCCCGTTACAGAAATACTCAAGCTAACGTGGCACATTTACAAATTGTGTTTTGATGAAGGGCCAGACACTTTTTAAATCACCATCCACACGCAATGTACTGATAAGTCTGGCTTATTTCTGGCTAACTAGAACGGATGAGATTGATTACGGTCACGCAGACATATACCGCGACAGAGTGGACATACGCTATGCTCGTATGAACGTTACATTAAGTCGATACAAATTTGTGAAGAGCTAAAGACTGTAGGTTAGGTTTCGTAGAGAAAATTAGGTCAAATTGATCGGGTATGTAAACGCTTATCAACTTACAACAACAACAACATCAACAACGAAGGCTACAGCAAGTGTAGTAGCAGCAATAATGGTACCAGCAACAAAAATAGCGGCAACTGATACAAAACAGTAATCACAACATTGCCAGCAATAACATTCGATGACATTAACCAAGCAGAACAAGACCATCAAAAACAACAACACCAGCACTGACTGTCCATGACCGCAGCCTATAGTATACAGAGATACGTACACACATATGCTTTATCGTCTGCATCCGCAACAGGTGGCTGCGAGTGCAGCAAGCCTGTCGCAGAATCACCTTTGCGACTTTCCCTAAAGAGCGGGCGTTGAGCATGGCTGTTGAGCACGGCTGTAGACTAGTTTTAAAAAATGACAGACGATGTGTATATTTATGTGCGCCACGTCAAATTGAGTGCACAATGACGTAGGGTATTTGTTATGTGAAGGGACTCGATTTACTCACATCTCTTTTCCTTAAATTCACCCCTATGTCAAACCTAATATTCACATAAATTTGCCAAACCTGATAAGATAGGGGAGCAAGCTCTGTAGCCCGCCCTTTGGTATTAGTAATTCGGTTTGGAGACCTGAATTAACATACGAAACACGTAAAAGCAGCATACAATGAAGAACGAGATTGATGATGTAAATGTCTCCATTTACCCAATACAGTATAGTTGGGCAACGCGATCGGGCTTTGCAAATGAGCGTCCAGCACTTGTTTATGCGATCATATCCACCTTTGATCAGTTTTAAGGCAATCACAAGCATCAAAGTCACTCTTTGGCTCCCCCATCTTATCTCTATCGCCAATTCAGTGATTACAACTCTGTAAGTTTTTTCTTTCGCTAGTCAAAGCAACTGCAATGTTATGGCACTCAAACCCTGGAGCGTCTAATCAGACGCAAAAAACGACTGGAACCAGTCACGCAGTAGGTACAAACGTCAGCACATTGGCGCTGTCGAACGAATTGGTTCGGCAACTCCGTGGCAGCTCGAGTGTAACGGGGCACCCTGAAGCTTGTACTGGTGACAGTACAAGCTACTTATTCTGATGACAGAATAAGGCGGTGCCTCGTAACTTCACGTACACTCGTACGTGCAGAGTAAGACGGCAAGAAGAAGCGAGTACTTGGTTAAAGTAAAAAGTAGAACTGTATTTATAATAGTTAATGTCTGCAATAAATCACTATTTATCTTCATCTAACTATGTCTAAATACAAATGTGTACATCAACTATCTGCTCACCACTCATTGCGTGCGTCTGTCGTGGCGCGTCTTCGTTGGTTGATATAATGGCCTATATCAACCAATTAGGAACTACTCGTAAGTGCTGCAGAACATTTGTCCTTATGACAATGTTCTGAGAATATAACTCTTATAGTTATATTCTACTAACAATTTCTTCTAAATTGTTATGTAACGATTCACCCCGTTACATCGAGTCGATAATTCGTGTGACAAGTCACACGTTGTCCGCCACTTCTGCATGATGCTTTCAAGGTAAGACGGGTGCATGATTTTTTGTTAAAAGATACTATTTCTGACAGGTCATTCAAGCTCGGGGTGGAGACTGCAAGACCTGTTACAGGTAAAGGGCAAGTGCATCAACATCCAACACTTTTTCGGTTGCTGGCTTGACGGATCTCGGCATTTCAAATTTGGACGGCCATTCGCCAAAGGCTGAAATGCAATGGCTGAGCCGGTAACGGGACCGAGTGTGTGTACTGATTTGACACGACGCACTCGTGCAAGTGGTAGAACAATCACGTGGATATTAGTTCGAGCACTGATGCGATTGCCTACGGCTTCGACAAAAAGGACGATGAATTCAAGTTCGTTCCAGGTAGTGGTGGTACTTCTGAAAGTGTCGCTGTAGAGCATTGGAGACGGCATCTTTTCGACAGCGTCAAGTTCAACAGGTCCATTTCGCGTGCGCGATTCGAGGATCGATGCTTCGATTTCATTTGCAAGACTATGGCGCCTGTCGTCCAAGTTTTGCTCGCTGTGAAGCTGTCGAAGTTACAAGTGAACGAGATTGTATCCATCGTTGGCTGTACTCGTGCCTCCAAGGTGCAGTAGTTGCTGGTAAATTTATTCGACGAAAAGGCGCTGTTCAAGTCCATCGACCCGGACGAGGCTGTAGCATATGAAGCGATCGTCCAAGCTGCAGTTCTGAGAGGCCCGTGGAGCATCTTCCAAGCTGCAGGATCTTCTGCTGTTGGATACAGCACCTCTGTCGCTTGGATTGAAGACGGCAGGCGGAGTCATGATCAAGTTCATTCCACGTAAAATTACGGTCCCTGCAAAGAAGTTGCAGTCATTCTCGACGTATGCCGATTACCAGCCCGGGACAGCCTAAGCCGAGTGGTGTGTGTGCCTCAGAAGGACGTCACATTTGATGCAGTCAAAGATGACATTTTTGAATCAAATGTGTCAGCGGTCAAGAAATTGACGGCAAGTAAAACTCGATCACAACTGCACACAAGTGACAAAGGTTGACTGTCACAGGACGAGTTGATCGCATGGCGAACAATGGGGAGATGTCATGGACCAAGATGAAGGCAACAAGCTGCACAAGATTGGTGCCGATGTTATGTAAACTATTGAGGGACAAGGATGTGGAGACTCTGCACTGGCTTGACACGAGCTAGTCGGCTAAGAAGGGAGAGATCGACGCAAAGCAAAAGGCACTTGAGAAAGCGATGACTTCCACTGTCATCACGATACACCTGAAGGAGCAGGTTTCGGAATGGTGGAGGTGCGACTGGCGTGGGTGAGCAAGCACGTCGTCCGGTGCAGTGGACAGCGAAGACCTGAAATGCAAAGATGAGGATAACGAGAGCGTGAACTTACATCAATGGAGCAAGAATTGAGCGTGCAGCCACTCCTAGTAAGTTATGGACGAATTGTGATTCGAGTCAGACTTGAAGACGACCGCTTGAATTGGGATGAGCTGCTGTTCTCAGCTAGTATTCTACCGTAACGATACACAGAGTCTCTTTAGTCGAGTGAGGCTGTTCAACTTTGATCAAGTCCACTGGCTCAACTGTGGCCTTTCAGTGTACCGACAAACAGGACTGTCGCTTCGAGGTGGTTTCGAAACGTGTTCTGTCGCGATATTACGTACGTAGCGTCCCTTGCTACAGACCTGCGAGGGGCGCAGTTGGAGCATGCAGATCAACTGTCATTGACAGTGCGGTAGCAAAATGCGAATCGATCGCTCCTAAGGTGGTCTCTGACAGCGTTATCGGCCACACAAAGCTCAAGACCGAAAGGATGTCCATGAGCGTGAACCGAAAACTGTACCAGCATTAAAGCAGAATTGGATTCCAGCACCACTTTTGTACATTCGGCATGCGCGATGATGCAGTTGGTCTCCACGACCGGGTAGGTTGAAGTGTTTGAGACGGGTGTCCATTGTCCTTGAGCCGGGTATCTTTCATAACCAGCTTGAGCCTGGTACTAGGCAACATCGACTAGGATCGACGGATGAGCCAGAAGCGCTCTGGTATAATGTACGATGTAGGAATGAATGAATGAATGGATGGACGAATCACCTGTTGACAAACTCATCGACCTCTGACTATCTCCCGCCCGTAGTGTAATGTAAGTTGATACCATGTCGCTCCATCGACTGGATATCATCAGAACGTGGCCACACTGCGTCGGCCAAATGGGTCTTGTCTGTTCACACCACCTCGTTATCAGGCGATCGGTCTCATCCGTTGGCGTCAGCAGCTGGAGTTTCAGCAGCTTCTGGCCAGCTTGACGACAACCGTGAGATAGCGCGTTTTCACCGCTGGAAACTCCTTTTCCTCCCTGCTTGACACATCACGCGCAATGGGCTGTCGTCTCTCTGCGTGGAGAAGGAAAGACCCAAGTTGCCACATAACATTGTACGGGATCATCGCTACAGACCGACACGACACTTGGACCACGACGTACTACAAATCGTCTCGAGCTTTTTAGCGGTCTCACTTCAACTTCAGCATCATGCAGGGCGGATCACTCTTCCGTGTTGGCATCGATGTCGAGTTTTGGCGGGTGCTGATCCATTTGAGCATCTTGGCGTTCTGTCTCGTTCTTTTCGAGGCAGCACTCCACCACGTAGAACGAAAGCTCTCTCGCTATGACAAGTACCATCACATGCTTCGGAAGGCCTATCGAGAACTCATGGCTCTTGGTTTACTGAGTCTTGGCCTTAAACTTCTCAAGGAAGTGCCGGGTATCCACCCCGATGGCAAGACAATGCTAGCGTTCCAAGTGGCCGACTTGACCATCTTTATCTTTGCCCTTGCTCTCATTCTGCAAGCGATTGTTGTCTTCACGCAGCTCCGCAAGCACAACAAAGAATCCGACCAAACTGAGCTCATCACAGCGCAAGACTTGGTCAACACGATGCGGCCACCGGCTGGAACGCTGCCACTCGAAGCCTTTACGCAAACGAGAGCGCCGAGATGGTTTTGCTGGACGAGAAAATCTGCCAAAGGATTTGACCTGGAAGTCGTCGAGCGTCGACTGCTTCGTCACTTGTTTCTACGGCGCTTTGGGCTGCCGCAGCTCTTCCCGTTCTCCAAGTACCTTCGTCGAGCTCAAGCCAACCAGATCTCGCACATGATTGAAGTCGAGCCATCCATGTGGGTGCTCTTGCTGGCAGTGGCTTGGACGCTCTGTGGCTTTCTCGATGCTCTCAAAGAACTGGACGTGGATCTCCCTGAAAAACATGAGCTCGTTGAAGTGTTTGTTGTATTTGCCTGGGTGTTGGTGATCCTACACATTGTGGTGCTGCTGTGCTTCCGCGCGTGTGTTCACCAGCTTCTCGTCGCTGCTGGGTATAGCAAAGACCAGTCGACGCTAGTTGACAACCTCCGCTCCATCGCGGAAGAAGAAGCTGCTGCCTCGCGCATGGAAGCAGCGGACACTGCTTTATGCACCATGAACCGTGTCCACGAAGTACTTGAAGAGATTCAGGATAGTCGCAATGCCGAGCGTCACGTTTTACTACGAAAAGACGTTGGCTTGCAGCTCGTGGCAACCTGTTGCCGCAAAATGAACGAACCGTACACGGGTATTAGCATCAGCCGCACACCAAGCGGGGTACAGATTGGGACCCCAAACATCCACATCCGATTCTTTTCACGCAAGGCGTGGCATGTCGCGGTGATGTTCATGCTGATTCTTAACGGGTTCTTCATTGCTCTGCTTGTGCAGTGCGCCGTGTACGACCTGACCAATATCTACATGGAGTTTGGACTAGTTCAAGCCATTGTGGTTCCGCTCCCTTTGATTCTCAACACTTTTGTGTTTCAGCAGCAAATGTTCCGCTATTTCGTGACCGTCTGCAGCATCCTTCGTGTAGACGCCCATACGTTAGGCGAGGTGGTGAACCATTTCAGCGAGATTGTGGAGTTACGGTCCGAGTTTGCGTCGTCCTTGCTCGACTGCTTGAAGGAACGGGACTACACGATCATCGACTTGCACCGAGAACTCCGTGCTTATGACCCACAGCAGACTGGGATGATCGACGTGAACCGACTTCGATCGGTTTTAGCACTACTTGGCTACCGCTTGACCCGCTTTCGCTTCAATAGTGTCGCAATGATGCTCTTTGAGCTCAATGGCACCCGAGTCGAGTATGGCCAATTGCTGCACCTGCTGATCCTTGCACATAACGAAGCTATCAGTGACAGTGGCGGCCGCACAAGTCAGCGGCGCCAGCACCCGCTCTTGAGGCGGAGCATCGCTTCCTACGACGACTGTCAACGTCCAAGCTCACGAACAAACCGATCCAGCTCGCAGACCTCACGCGAAGTACCTTTACTACCTCAACCGAGCTCGGGCATTGCACCTGGCTCGAGTGATTTCGTCATTTTGGCCACACCGGGCTCGCGTCGAGTCTCGGTCTCTAGAATATCCGAGTTGCACTCGAGCACGACTGTCGAACAGACTCATGGACGGACTCCAGTGTTACATCGCAGCTACGCCTATCAGTTCCCTAGCTCGAGATCTCGAGGGCTTCAAGACGCTTTTAGTTTCTACAAAGGCCCCTACGCCCAGGTGGACTCGACTTTGGTCTAAGAAGAGACGGTCTTTTACGATCGTTAAGGTATCCGCTTTGAAGAAAGCATGAAGGATTACTCTGCTGCACTTTTCAATGGAGTTGTCGATAGGAGCAGACGCAGATGCATATCCAAATCAATTGAAGCACGATGGACGGACAAGGTAAAGGCTGAATTTGGACGACCGTGTCTAGTGGCACGTCGGCAATCGCTTGATTTTCAAGCATCTCGTCCTTGCACTGAAATGTGCTAGAGATCACGCGACCTTACCCGGCCCGCGATCTTGACCTTTCCAGACGCAACAGTAGCACGAAGAAGAACCTGCTGGAAAAAACTTGTGGGATCGAGGAGCGTCTACGGAGACGACCAGCTGCGACAGGTTATCGTATCATCTGTCGATGTTTCTGGTGAACGAAGGGCTGGGACGCACAGCTTCGAGGCAATGTGTTATAAGTGCATGATGCACTGGATTCGACTCCAGAGATTCGACCCATGATAGGGTATGTCTAGAATGTTCTTTAGGGTTCTATGCATTATTATAGGTCGTACGGCAGCTAGACGTATGGATAGTTCTCACTTGTAAATTGACAAACCACTGATGAGGCCCCCGGCGGGGGGCCGAAACGCGTCTGGTGCGCGGTAATATACAAGTCATTTACTTTACTTAACTCCTACTTTTTACAGGTTATGAGCCCAAGTGCTCGCTGCAGACACCTCACCAAGGACCAACTTGTGCGAGGGACACCCCGTCAGAGAAGGCGCTCGATGCACGAGTAAGGCGCCGAAGAATTCATCGACAGGGATTGTTGACGGTGCGAGTGCAGTCGAAAAGGGTGTGTGCAAGGGTGGTGACGCGAGATGGTCTGAATGCGCGAGTGCTATCGAAGGAAGAGTCAAGTCAAGTGGTGACAAGTGTATTTGTGGTCAAGAAGAAGTGGAAACTACATGCAAGGCGAACGACGACTACGAGATGTCAAGATGTGACATGGTGCTGGACGATGGGGGAGCTGGAATACCTGGAACGCTCAGTATCATCGAGGTTGGCTGGAGCGCAGGAGCAAGACTCAATCAAGATTCCCATGGTGCACGGATGCAGCAGTGAGGATTACAGGCGGGTCGATACCAAAGTGGTCTGCATCTCATGTCGTCGAGGGGGAGTGTTGTAAGTGCATGATGCACTGGATTCGACTCCAGAGATTCGACCCATGATAGGGTATGTCTAGAATGTTCTTTAGGGTTCTATGCATTATTATAGGTCGTACGGCAGCTAGACGTATGGATAGTTCTCACTTGTAAATTGACAAACCACTGATGAGGCCCCCGGCGGGGGGCCGAAACGCGTCTGGTGCGCGGTAATATACAAGTCATTTACTTTACTTAACTCCTACTTTTTACACAATGCGATGCATAGCCAGTGACAAACGCGGTGTAACATGCGGCACTTCAGCTCAGCTGGTCACGATCGGGTGCATGCCAGACTCAGTGAGGTCAGAAAGCTCGCACGTTACGAGCAAGCCAATCGCATATTATTGGAGGACAAAAAATACTCCATATTCCGACGCAGATGCAACAACAATTCCTCCATGTCTCTTGCGCACATGCAGGGGAATCGCTAGCCAGCCTGTCGCGTTTCGCTCCACAGCCTGTCGGCCAACCTGCTGTGCGGTCATTGGCTGCTTATACGCGGCTGCGTCGATTTTGGCTACGTTTTATAGTGCGATCGATATAGTCTCAGATAAACTAGCAATCAAATCATCGTCGACACGTTTGGTTTATACAAGTTTTCAGATTGGAAACAATCTACATTCCCCGCCCTACGCAAACATCGTAGGTAAGCCGCAAAAGCAGCTCAAGCGTCTACATTGACCCGATCGAAAAAAAGCACTTTATTCATTACATGTCTTTTTATTGACTAGTTCAACCCGGGGAAACACGGACCCCAAGACGTCGAGTGCCGAGCGCACAGCTCGAATACGTGCATGAGGAGAAGCTCGAGCAGAACAAGGATGGAGAGAAGAAAATTGAAATGCCGTGTTGAAAGTTTACGGTGGACTAATCTACAGCGACCGTACGTTGTGAAGTGACATCTACGATGGGCCGTTCATACTGTGAAACCGGGTAGCCCGTTGCATGATATCGACACCAACGGTGTCAATTGGAATATTGTCTAGCATGACAACATTCTACCAAAATTATTCAAAATTGATAATGTTGAAGGAATAATATCCTCCTTTGATAATATTCATGCGCTGCTCCAAGATTGGTTAATATAAGACAAATCAGCCATAGATTATGACCAATCGCTGCGAGACGCGCGCAATGAGTGGTGAGCAGGTTGTCGTCATACGACAATGTAGATTAGTATGGTTAGATAAAGATTTAAGCTGTATTAATAGCTTAACTATGTTAAATAAAGTTCTCTTTTTACCCTTTACTCAAACCAGTAGTTTAAGTCAATTTATCTTCCTCTGCACGTGCTAGTGTACGTGAAGTTTCGTGGCACCCCAAACAAAGGGTGCCCCGTTACACCTGGTAGCACTTTGTAGTCCTTCCAACGACTACTTAGTGTCCGTCTGACATGAACATGGTGGACGTAGAAGACGACACCTTTCACATCACACGTGAAGGCTATGCCCATCGGAGTGACTCAGAATGGGAGGTAGTCGGCCTCATGAGTGTGCTCATGGGCGAACTCGCCATCAGTGGCATGTTGGAGTCTCTAAGAAGAGACCAGCAACATGATGCTATCAACTAGTTCCTACAAGGGGAACTTGCCGTCTAAAGACAGAAGATAGCCTTGCTACAGCAGCAAGGCTCTCATCAGTCGATGGGTGGGCCGACGCACATGCGTCGACACGAAACCTTGAAGATTGATATCTCAAGGTAAAAGGGAACCGATGAAGACTCTCTTTTAAGATGGTTCGTCGAGTTAGACGATTTCATCAGGGCCCGTCACATCGAGGGTGACGAGATGCAAGTCACCTTCGCCCTGTCAAATTTGACGGGACGAGCAAAGACTTGGGCCTTAGGGCTCAAGCTTCACGACCCAAACGTGTTTGAGTCGTTAGAGATCTTGAAGGCTCGGCTTAAAGAGATGTTTGAGCCGCCAAGAGCCGAGTTTAGAGCACGCTATGCACTCTTGAGGCTAAAACAAGGTAAGCGTAACGTGCACGCTTACGCGCAGCACCTGCGCTACATTGCAAGTAGCGTTACGAAGAACCCTGTCGATGAGTATACGCTCATCAACGTGTTCATCTATGGCCTTGTAGATGGGCCGGTGAAGACCTACATGTTTCAAGAGGACTTCCATACTCTAGAAAAAGTGACAGCGTTTGCGGAACAAGAAGACTTCAGCCTGAGACAGTCTTAGGCTAACTCAGCCAACTATCGTCCGACGAGACGACAGGAAACAGGGGGTCCCGAACCAATGGACCTCTGTCACATCGAGAGCGAGAACTCTCGCTCTCTGAGTCAGAAGTTAATGGCAAGATGCCATCGGTGTCAGAAGATTGAACACTACGCTAATGAGTGTAGTGTCCCGAGTGCTGCAACGCGTAAAATACAGGGCGTGATGACCACCATTGGCCAAGGGAATATCTGAGGCGTGGGTTCGAATATGTCGCCAAGCCGCGACAGCAAGTCGGACCGTCTAAGAACGGACAGGATCAGTATGGGCGGAGCACCCTGCTGTTTCAGCAACATCAACAGAATTTGCAGGACTCTTGACGAATTTTTGCTCATAACGCATAGTCGCTGTGTGTTACTGCCCCTGGTGATGAGGTGTCCATTATTGCTTTGAAGATCGAAGTGAAAAGTGGAATGTCACTTCGCGCCCTAGTTGGCTGTGGGGCGTCGAACAGTTTTAATCGACGCCAGTCGCTAGAGGAGAGTAGACTCAACTATGTTGCGTGTGAGTTCCCTCCATCGAGGATGACGGTATGCGTTGCTACAGGCGCATCGGTAACAGTGAACAAACGTGCATTGGGAATCCAATACACACTAGAAGGAAAGCAATACGATGATGACTTTATCGTACTGGATTTGGATGACAAGTTTGATGTCACCCTTGGTCTGTTATGGCTCTAAAAACACCAGCCATGGGTTAGCTGGCAAAATCGATCCGTGAAGATGCCTGCCGCTTGTTCATCAGATGGACATCTGATGAACGTCTCGGAGCGTCCAAAAGCGTGTGGATGTACTACGAGTGAGTGCGATGGCCTTACTTGTGGTACGGTCGTTAGTACGATTGCACAAGATCCCTTTGTTGAAGGCCACTACACTGTGGAACTAGCTTCCGGCACCTGTGTAGAGACACATACTGTACCGAAGGTTCACCACTCGAAAAGATCGAGCGCACTGTAACACGTACGCACACCAAGAAGGGTTCATCCGAGAAGAGAGAGTAGTGTTGTTCAGGATGAACATTACGTTGAAGCGAGATCGACTATCAGATAGTCGATCGTAGAGCAAGCCCGATCGAATCAAAGAGAGTAGATCGAAGAGGACTTGACTCTGGCAGTACACGCAAAGAAAAATCCAGCATTCCTGAGATTGATAACTCCGGAGAAAGTTATGTTGAGGGCGTGGATCCCCAACTATCTGCGGATGTGTCTTCCCAGGAAACACCGAGATAGTGAATGTCTTGGTGAAGGACAAATCAAGTGTAGGCGCTTATACACTTGATCTGGTTACACCTCCGAAGTCAGCTTTGGAGGTAGTCAAGTTGCCAACGCTAGAATCTAAAAGAATCTTGCGAGATCTGCGTAGTGACAAGATCAAGAAGATCTGCGTACTCGTCACAGAGGACGAGTACGTCGCCGATGTTCGGTCGGCACAAGTGTTTGCTGAGAACGAACGGGTTCTCAGTCGTTCATCTGTGGACGAGAGTGTCCTCGATGAGAAGACCCGGATCGAGCGATACACGCCCCAATCTTGGGATTCTTTGGAGACAAATCCTTAGTGTAAGGATTTAGTTGAATTCAAGGATGCAGTCCCTGAATCCGTGCCATGCGAGCTGCCGAAGGACAAAGGCACTCGGCATGAGATCGAACTGAAACCTGGTTCGAAATATCGTGGCATGAAGCAGTGGCCACTGCCTTGTGAACAGGTAACAGCGATCGACAAATTCTTTGCCGATCGATTAGCTGCGGGCCATGTGAGGGAATCAACTTCCCCACATAGCTCTCCGACCTTCTGTGTGCGAAAAGCAACAGGAGGGTGGCGGATAGTGCACGCGTTCGACAAGTTGAACGCTGCAACGGTTCCGGCTCAGACGCCGATACCAAGAAAGGATGTCATCATAGATGGTAGGCAAAGAGTACCATCTTTTCATCCATGGATTTGATGGATGCCTTCAACTAGACCCTCATGCGTGAACGGGACATCCCATACACAGCAGTGAGCACGCTTAGTGATATGCTCTGGGAATGGCTAGTAATGCCACAAGGGCTTAGTAATGCCCCTGCCACGTTCAACAGATGTGTATCACGTCTGTTGAGACCAGTACGAGAATTCGCGCCGAGTTATTTCGATGTAGTATGCATCCATAGTCGGGCTATGAATGGAAAGTCGGATGTTATGGTTCACAGGTACCACGTCCGACAGGTTCTTACTCCAATGCGAGAGCATAAGTTGTTTGCGAACCTCAAGACGTGTATATTCGCAGCGAACGAAATGACACTTCTTGGCTGCATCGTGGGTAAAACGGTGTACGCCCTGATCCGGAAAATATCAAGGCAACTAGTGACTGGCCTGTGCCAGTCGACGTCAAGGGACTTCGAAAGTTCCATTGCTTGGCGACGTGCTTGCACAAATACTCGCGCAACTCGCCGAGATGATCGTACATCTCTCTTGTCTACTAAAGAAAAACGAGAGGTGTTCATGAAGTGCTGAGTGTCAGCACTCCTTCGAAATAATCAAGAAAAGATTGACGCAATCGCCTGTGTTGGCAATTGCAGACCAGGAAAGTATTTCATGTGGTCTGTGACGCCAGCGATTTTGCAATCGGCTGCGCGTTAATGCAGTACGACTCAGACGGCGTTGAGCGCGTCGTCTGTTATAAATCACGTCAGCTGCAAGCAGCTAAACGTAATTATCCGGTGCATGACGAGGAACTCCTTGCCATGAAATTTGCACTGGCCAAGTTTCGGGTATACGGCTTATGAGATAGGCCCTTCATCGATTATACCGACCATGCGTCGTTACGCACGGCCGTAAACAGTCCACACCTCTCGCAACGAATGCGAGGTGGCTGTCTTTCTTCGCGGAGAATAAATTCTCCGTCGAGTAATAACCAGGACGACCTAATGTCGTCGCTGATGCTCTTTCGCGTCGGCGCGATTTTGAGCCGACTGCTCCACCCAACATTAGGGGTGATCCCACTGTTTTGGCACTATCAGTGAGTGTTCTGTCGTCAAATCTGCTCGACGACGTGCGAAGAGCACACGCAGAAGATGAGTCTCTTCAGTTGATGGATTACGTATCCAATCCGTGCAGTCAAGCTTCGAAAAGCTTGTCGTCTTAATAACGCTCTTCAACCGAACGGTATTTTGTTCGTGATGGACTGCAGTACTATGCAGCAGTCAACGGCGACACACCTCGTGTAGTCGTTCCGGCTAATAATAGATTTGCGATTGCGCATCGTGTAGGAGTGTCACGATGCCCCAACAAGTGGACATCGCGGTAGAGAAAAGACTTACCTCACGGTGAGTCATGACTTCTACTGGCCCCACCAGTATGAGGTTGTGCGGAAATACATCCGCAATTTGCGAAGTTTGTCAACAGGTGAGGCCTAGTCCTTCAACCCGCGCACCCTTGCAGCCTCTACCGAATCCGGTATAGTGTTGGCAGTCCGTATCGATGGACTACTTCTTCGAGTTTCCCAAAGACGTTCACAAGAACACTGTTATTCTTGTGTTTTTTTGATCGGTTCAGCAAGATGGTGCATCTTGTTGCTGTACCGGAGTCAATCACAGCCCAGGGCTCTAAGCGTGTCTTTATTGATACTATCTCCGACTTCACAGGTTACCCCGTGAGCTCGTTTCCGATTGGGACCCCCGCTTCACAGCGGAGTTCTGGCAATCCGTGTTCCGTTCACTTGGATCACGTTTGACGATGTCAACTTCTGACCATCCAGAAACAGATATTCAGACAGAACGCGTCAACCGCGTCCTCAAAGAGATGCTATAAGGGAATGTCCACTCGTTTACGAGCTCGAGTGTGTTCTTGCCGATGGCGAAATTTTCTATTAACAACTCGGTGTATGCGTTGTCAACGCATACACCGTTCTTAGTGAATGGCCTACGCCGTTCTCGTTTACCGGTCTTCTTAGATTGTGACTCTAGTCTGTGGGGGGGGTGGACTCGCTCAAACAAAAACCGATTTGGCTCTTGCTCATCACCCGTCAACAATGGTGTCGACGTGATGGATGCCGATGTCTATGCGATCGAAATCAATGATGATGACGACGATGCTGGCATAATTAGCATCTCCGATAACCGCCAAAGTGAGGACGATGATACCCTCACTTGTGAAGACAACGTTCTTTCAGCAGTGCACACGAAGCGTACTGCTGATGACAAGGATGAATCAGCAGAGGCATTTCTTCTGACTCGCGAAGCGGTGTTCCGCTTCGTTCAAGACTCTATTGCAGATGCGCTGGACCGACGAAAGAGAAACGCAGACAAACTAGGAAGAACAAGTGATCTTTAATCTGATGAAGGATACCTAGTTTACCTACAACATTTAATTTACCAAACACGCAGTGACGAACGTGGACAGCAGCAAACTACTGTCCAAGTAGATCGGTCCATTTCGTGTACTACGTCAAATGGTCAGCGCATACTCGATTTAACTGACCCGTAGGATGCGTACGCATTCTACGTTTTACGTCGGTCGTCTCCGCCCGTACTATCAGTACGAGCCCGTTTCGAGATGCGAAGAACACCTCCGCAGTCGAGAGCCGATACCACTTTCGAGTGGTCCCGTTTCAACGAGCCAGTCCGGTCGACTAGCGAATCGACCTGTTCACGCAGTTCAGCGATTACTCGACGAGCTACAGCCAGCTCGTCACGAAGAGAGCGAGTCGAACGTCCGTTCTTAACTTGCGCGAACGCAAAAGCGGCACGATCGTTCGAACGATCGTGCACTAGGGAATTGTAATTATTACTTACAAGATCCTCAAGCTTATAACGCCGAGTCCGTTCGTGAGCCAGGTCATCTTGCAAATGTTCCGTTACACGGTTCGGCTCTTGAACATCAAGCTGATCCGACCCTGGATCCGGATCAGGTGTTCCCGCTACGACCACATCCTTAGGTGGATTCTGGCGGTGGATAACGCTTACTAGTGGAGCGTATTTTAAACCACCGCGATGTGAGTGGCGTCCAGGCGAGTAACCTCGTCCGCTGGCGTGGCTACCCACCGGCGTGGGATATCTGGAAGCCTCGGGTCCAGCTGATTGTTGATTTCCTTGGTCTCGTCGACCAGTACGACGAGACCCACCCGCTGCGTTCGAAGAAGGGCCGTCGGGAATGACCCCCCCCGACCGCGAGTACAGGGATTGCAAAGTGTCAATTCCTTCGGTTATCTCGGAAGAGATGCGCGCCCTCCAGTAGGGATCATTAGGGCGAAAGGCCATCTAGGGGCACGGTTCGAGTTGCTCAGTTAATCTGGACACGAATCACCCCACAAGAGACAGGGTAATCCTGCTTCTCTTGAAAGCCGATGTAACTTGTGTCGCGCCCCAACTGGGCTGCGTTCCTCAAACCTGATGCGAGGTGCATCAGGTTTGGTGAGCCAGGCCTCACGGCCAATGCACTCGATGTTGTAGATGAGGGCATTCCATCCCTGCACCAAGGCTTTGCCGTCCCGAACACGGCTACCTTTGTACCACCGATGTTTGAAGAACGCATCGGTGAAGAACTCTTTCTCAGCTCGGATGGTTTCCGTGCTGGAATCAGGTGGGCAAATCTTCCTGCAATTAAACAACGGGATTCAATCCCGTTCGGTATTCATGCCGGCAAACCAATTCAACTTTCTGGATGGCGGCAAATACGGAGACTCCACTTGAGGAGCGCGGCGCTGGACATTTTGGTCCCTGGCCTCTTGATTGGTGCCAGCAGAAGCACTGAGACCAGTTTTACCCCGATCCCTGGAATTTCTTCGCTCGTAGTGATATATAGGTGCATAACCACCATTCCCCACTCCTATCGTTGGATGGACTTGCGTGAGGCGGAGATTCGTCGGAATAATCACTCGACCCGAAGATCTCGGTCATCTTGCTGCCGTGCTGACCAAAGCCAGTCAGCCTGGCTTTTGCAGCGTCTGCCCCGGGTGATCCCGATGCGTGAAGGGTCGCCTTCGAGTCGGATGCATCATGCGACTCGTCAGAATGGATGAGCTCTATCTCAGGCTCGTCTGGATTAAGATTCGAGGTACCCGCTGCAGACGCAACGGATGTACATGTCGCACATGGTGACTCACCACGTGGAGGATTCACAACAACAGGCGACTAATCGCCTGTTGCTGAGATGTGGGAGGCACTTTCCGCGGCCGCACGCATGCGTGCAGTTGGCATCTTGCTGCTGCAGTAGCAGCTCGCGTGTTTTTAGAAACCATACGATGGAGTGGCAAATGAATGGAATTTGACCAACAAGTGATCTTTTTCCCAGGGTGATTAAACGGTTGTCATTATGTCCCAATCAATTCTAATTCGATTAATGGGTGGTTGATGGTTGAGGGGAGGTTGATGTGACGGAATAGGCAGTTACATGAGGTTGACACCAAACGGTGTCAACATAGATATTGTCTAGCATGACAACATTCTACCAATGATTTCCGAGATGAATAATATTGAAGGATTACATCCTCTTTACTTGATATGTATTCGCTGCTCCAAGATTGGTTGATACAAGACATAGCAACCATAGATTGCCACCAATCGCTGCTAGACGCGCGCAATGAGTAATGAGCAGGTCGTCGTCATACGACGACGTAGTTTAATACAGTTCGATAAAGATTCCGTGATATTAAAAGCCTAACCATAATAAACACTGTTTTCTTTTTTACCTTTACTTACACGAGTCGTTTAATTATATTAGCTTCCTCTGTAAGTACTAGTGTACGTGAAGTTTCATGGCACCCAGACAAAGGGTGCCCCGTTACATACAACGTAAGTTGCTTTTTACGCACAATTCTGGACATTGTTCGACGTCCTTTTCTAGACCAATGTAGCGCGTAAAAAACCCGATAAATTTGTTTTTTCGGGACGGTCAACAAGGCGAGTTCATGTTTATTTCAAGGAACATGTACCTGTGCTCTCAAACAAGCGTGATGGACCAAGAAAAGCGGTAAAAATTGATCGAAAAGCCACCAGATGCATTCCAGAGCCACACATTACAGACGTGTGGTAGCTGAACAGGCACACCTTTTTCAGCAAACTGAAAAAACTTTGTACTGCTGACAGTGCAATGGTGTTTGCATCCGACTACCTCACGTACACGTACGTGCGACGTAAAAATGCCAAACGGATAATAGTACTCAGTAATTGCAAATATAAAACTCTGTTTAGCATAGCTAATCATTTTAACAAAAACTAGTTTTACTTCATTAACTATGTCTAAATTCAAGCATACGTTTTAACTATCTGCGCAACCCTCATTGCTTGCTTCTTCGTGGCTCGTTTTTTTTTTAATTGATCGATTGGTCCTACATTAACAAATGAGCAGTGTAGCGGATCTACACAGCTTTTGAGTTAGAGGAAGTCTTAACGCCCAACGAGCAGCTTAGTTCTAAAGAACTAGACTCATTGAGTCAACAAGCGTAACGCTTATGGTCCTTGTTCCAGGGGATTAAACGATTCTGTGAATCGACGGCACTTAGTGCTCGAGAGTAACTAGCTACCTCAGGGATGTGTTGCTAGTTTTTAGTGATCAGAAGTCAACGACCAAAGACGCCTAGCAAGGCACGTGTCTTTGAGATCAAAATTAGAACTGCATTCTATTCCATTTAAGCCTATAGAATATCGTAATCCTAATCTAGACATTTACTTACTAAGTTAGTACAACTAAGATCTCACCTATCTGGTGGCTGACACCACTCATCCCCGGTACACCAATGATATATATTCTAGATCTCTTTCAGTGGGATATCATCCGTGTGTCTAAGACACAGGGTACCAGGTATCCAACTACGTGTAAACTCTTTACAATAAGTATGCTATGTCTGCGAATCTTAATGTTGTCCATTGGGATATTATCATGAGATTACACTGTGTTTGACCCAACGCACTATTCATACCTGATATCTGCCATATGTAAATTGACGTGTACACGGAGTCAATCCGTTACAGGAGTCAAAAGAAACGTCTGGTTAGTAGAACGACCTGCTGGAATTAATGTACCGGATTAAATTGCAGCAGCTACTCGCAAATATTCCAAATATGAGTAAACCTGCTTTCTTGGCTACTTATATTCAGGTCCTTCACTTTTTACTCGCTTGCGCTTCTCCCCAGTGTACTTCTGCGCTATATTTGCGACGAAAGAGTGAGAACTGATGCATATGCTCGGCTTCTTTACACATGATTTTGTGTAGGGGAGCAAACCGGTGCCCAGGTGAGTCACGTAGAGAATTACGAGTTATGACGGTGATGGGCGTGTCGTGAAATGGGCAACTTGCAAGGACAGTGGTATTCGAATGATCTGGATTAAGCGATTGGTTTATTAAAGAATTTGTACAATTGTTTAAGTAGCAGTTTAACGCTTAATATTACTTTCCATTTTCTAGCACAGAGAAGTATTTGAGGTTTTGTTATAGGTTTTAGGCCTAAATACGTTGGCGCCTAATGACTTCCTCACGAATGACAATTACTTAATGTAAGAATATATTGAACGCATGACATTCGCGCGCAAATTTTTTTTGGATCACGTTTTGATAAAGCCAGAGCCGGCAGAGCTGCGGGAGAATCCCAGATAGAAAGTCACCGATACGAAGGTCATGGCTGTGCTGGTGACGCAGCTTTCTCCAACCCATCAGTGTATGGTTCGGGAATGTGAATCCGCGATTGAGGCTTGGAAGGCAATGAAGACGTTCTTTGCGAGGAAGAATTTTCACAACCGGGTGCAACTTTGGTAGGAACTTCATGAGTTTGTGATGGAGACCGGTGCAAGTCTTATAGATCATCTATGTAACGGGGCACACTGAAGCTTGTACTGATGACAGTACAAGCTACTTATTCTGATGACAGAATAAGGCGGTGCCTCGGAACTTCACGTACACTCGTACGTGCAGATAAAGACGGTAAGAAGAAGCGAGTACTTGGTTAGAGTAAAAAGTAGAACTGTATTTAGTATAGTTAATGCCTTCAATAAATCACTATTTATCTTCATCTAACTATGTCTAAATACAAATGTGTAAATCAGTTATCTGCTCACCACTCATTGTGTGCGTCTGTCGTGGCGCGTCTTCGTTGGTTGATATAATGGCCTATATCAACCAATTAGGAACTACTCGTAAGTGCTGCAAAATACTTGTCCTTATGACAATATTCTGAGAATATAACTCGTATAGTTATTTTCTATAAACAATTTCTTATTTATTGTTATGTAACGATTCACCCCGTTACATCACCCCCCCTTAACTATCAGTCACTTTAGTGACTGATTGACTTAATGGATACTCGTCCCAAATCATTTGCGACAGGTTTTGCACTTGTTGGTCCGAGTCCACAGTCCATCAGTTTCATCGCATGGTTAACAAGCCCATGCGATGCGCGAGCAAGGCCGCTGAGAGCGCGTCTGCACGTCTCTGTGCGGACACCGAAGCATAAACCACTGCAACCGATGTGTAATCGGTTGCTAAAGCGTCTCAGTCTGTATCACCTGGTGATGCAGACGCTCGTCATGGAGACACTCATGTCTTCACAGAGTACGAGCTCGGTGTCTCGTACTCTCCTGATACCGAGGAGGGATCCGTATCGAAGGCAGTTGAATCCAAGCCGCCTGTCAAGCGTGGCATGGATGATGCTATGCGTCGTAGCATCTTTGGTTCATCTGACGAATCAGATGAATCATCGCCAAAGCGAAGGCGCTCGAGGTCGCAAGACTCGGGCGCTAACAGTGGTGTCGGTTCTCCTATGGACACCACTTCGCAACGAGGTGCCAGTCCTTCTGTTGGCACGTAGCAGGAAGAGCGGGACCGCAATGTCTTGCGTCTCACTCCCGAGAAGAAGGCATGTATGCCTCCTAAATCTGTCATGGATCACTTGTCGGCGACGACGAGGGATCGTTATCGAACACGATTGTTTGATTCATCAAAGATCCATCACCTTAACCCCAGTGCGAAATACTATGGCTCTGATAATGATTTCTTTATCGATGCTTTCTTTAAACATCGATGGTACAGTGGGAATCACAAGCGTGATGGTCCCTCACTGCTTCAAGGGTGGAACGCCTACATCCATAACCTTGAGGGTGTAGGTCGTGACGTTTGGAACGACAAAATTATCAAAGCTCGTGATAAGTTTGAAAAGCGAACCCCGACAGGTGCACGCTACAAGCTGCATCGTCTGTCAAGGGCGAAGGGATTACCCTGCCTCTCATGGGGAGACTAGTGCCCATGTTGTGTGAACAACTCTGCACGAGCACCTAAGGAGGCTTACCTCCTTACTAGCCCGTGGTGGCGCGTACGTATCTCTACTGAGATGTACGAAGGGATTGACAACCTGAAATCACTTTACGACCGTGCCGGGGAGACTTTCTCCGGCGGTCCTTCTGCGGCACAGGATGTGCCGCGTTGTACTGCTCGACCAGACCCAGTACGTCGATCATCAGTTGGGAGCGGGGCTCCCAAGTATCCCAGGACGGGGGATAGCCGCGACACCGGACGAGATAACTCGTCCGACGTTCGTTCACGTCGCGGTGGTTCAACAGCTGCTCAACTAGATAGCGCTGGCCACCGCGAGAGTCCTCTAATGGAGGTGGAGGAGGAGGAAAGACGCTCTCCACACGATCATGTGGATCCGTGTGTTCCCGAGAGCTTCTTTGATCGCGTAACGCAAGGGTTACGCGGCGATCTCGAGCATGAGCGGGACAGGCGTCTCCAACTAGCAACCACTGTCTTGAGGCACCGAGCTGAGTTTGCCTTTGCTCATTTTGTAAACGAGAGAGATCTGTCGTCTCTGCGTGACGAGCTAAGGGTAGCTCGTGTGGATGTTGACCGGTCTCGGGATGAGATCACTGCTCTTCAGACCCTTGTCGATGCCCACCATCGGGAGCACAAGGCTCTCTGCGAGATGCTTGAGCGCAAGGGCGTTCTTCATCGGAAGAAGCAGCGTACTGATGTTACGGCTTAAGCCGACCAAAGTAAAACATGAGATGCGTTAGCATCTTAAGTGGCAGTTCGATCGTGTGTGAAGTGCCTAGGCGATGCAATAAACGAAATGGGCCGATGCACTTGGGTAGAAATTTACTACTACCCAAGTTAGTCACTACATGCTTTGGTAGATTAACCGTAGACAGTAGGACTAAGTCACATTTATTAAATTAAAGAGTGTTTGCCCTTCCATTGTTGTCAGCGTTTTGCTTTTGCTTATCCACCGCTTCGGCGATGGCGTCTTGTACACAACGGACTACCGTTTCACGAGCCAGTATGAACTCATCTGATGACTCGTTAGCTTCAGTGCGCTGTGAGTGCACTGCAGTGACATCAATCGATTCTTCAGTGAGGGCTTCCTCGCTCTCACTGGCACCATCTTCTTCGATATCGATGTTGTCGATATCGGCATCAAACGCAATGACCTCGTCGTCAGAGCGTGATGAGCGTGAACCAAATCGGTTTTTGCTCGCGCGAGTCCCTCCCCCCCTTAAACCAGAGTTACACTCTAGTAAGGTGGGTACATGCGGATGGCGTAAACCAGTCACGTAAAACGGTGTGTGTGTCGTGGACGCATGCACCGAGTTGTTAATGGCAAACTATACCAGTGGCAAGAACTCACTCCAACTCTTAAAGGAGTGTACGTATCCTCGAAGTATCTCTTCAAGGACACGATTGGCACGTTCCGTCTGACCATCTGACTCTGGACGATCAGATGTTGACATCTTAAAGCGCGTTCCGAGTGATTTGAACACGGAACGCCAGAAATCAGCAGTGAATCGTGGATCTCTGTCCGATACGAGTTCACGGGGCAACCCATGAAGTCGGAAGATGGTGTGAATAAAGACACAAGCACAGCCACTTGCCGTGATTGACTCTGGTACAGCCACAAGGTGTACCATTTTGTTGAATCTGTCAACAAATACGAGAATACCCGTATTCCCGCGTGCGTCTTTGGGTAACCCGAAGACGAAATCCATTGAGATGGATTCCTAGCACTCAGCCGGAACCGGTAGAGGCTGTAAAGGTGCACGCAGTGAAGGACTTGACTTCACTCGTTGGCAGACTTCGCATGCGCGAACATACTTGCGCACAAACTGATACTGGCGGGGCCAGTAAAAGTCTCGCCTCACCGTGAGATACGTTTCTCCCGGCCACGATGTCCTCCTATAAGAGCATCGTGATACTCGAACATGATCCGCAAACGCAGATCAGTATCATATGGAATGACAACACGTGTTGTGTCACCAGAAACGGCTGTATAATACAGTAACCCGTTGCGAGTAGTGTATCGATCTGATGCAGATCGATACGCAGAAGACAATCGTTTCAACGATTCTCGAGATGGTTGTGAGAGATGTGCCAACAACTTCACTATCTCACCAACTTGGGCGTACGCCCGCCTCATATCATCATGCAACGTTGTAGATGGTACTGAGGACGTCATAACCGCAACAGTGACTGTCTCACTGTTGGGTTTCACGACTGGTTCAAAGTCGAACCGACGTGAGAGTGCATCAGCGACGACATTAAGTCGTCCTGGTTTGTACTCTACCGTAAAGTTGTATTCTGCAAAGAATGAAAACCACCGCGCCATTCATTGTGAAAGGTGCGGGCTGTTCACTGCCGTGAGTAATGACGCATGGTCAGTGTAAACAATGAAGGGTCTATCTCCTAATAGATAGACTCTGAAATTCGTGAGTGCATGCTTCATGGCAAGGAGTTCTTTGTCATGCACTAGATAGTTCCGCTCAGCTGGTTGCAGCTGACGCGACTGATAGCAGACGACGCGTTCAACGCCTTCAAGATCGTACTGCATTAATGCACAGCCGATTGCGAAATCGCTGGCATCACAGACCACATGAAATGGCCTGTCCTGATCGGCTATTGCTATGACTGGGGATTGAATCAAGCTCTGCTTGATACCCTCAAAGGAGCGTTGACATTCAGCGTTCCATAACCACCTCTCGTTCTTTTTCAACAAACGAGAGAGGTGCACAGTCATCTCGGCGTAATTGCGTGAATACTTATGCAAATACGCCGCTAGCCCAAGAAATTTTCGAAGACCTTTGACATCAACCGGCACAGGCCAGTCGGTGATCGCCTTGATCTTTTCGGGATCATGACGTACACCGTTCTTACCAACGATGCACCCAAGAAGTGGTCTTTCGCTTGCTGCAAATGTACACTTCTTGAGGTTAGCATACAATTGATGCTTTCGCATGATTGTAAGAACCTGTCGGACGTGGTACCTGTGAACCGCAACGTCCGACTTTCCATCCATAGCTCGACTATGGATGCATACTACATCGAAATAACTCGGCGCGAATTCTCGTACTGGTCTCAACAGATGTGATACACATCTGTTGAACGTGGCAGGGGCATTACTAAGCCCTTGTGACATTACTAGCCATTCCCAGAGCATGCCACTAGGCGTGCTAACTGCGGTATAGGGTGTATCCCGTTCTCGCATAAGGATTTGATAGAAGCCATCCATCAAATCCATGGACGAAAAGATGGTACTATTTGACATACCATCAATGATTACGTCCTTCCTCGGTATCGGCGTCTGAGCCGGCACCGTTGCAGCATTCAACTTGTTAAATGCATGCACTATCCACCACCTTCCTGTTGCTTTCCGCACACAGAAGGTTGGAGAGCTATGTGGGGAAGTTGATTCCCTCACATGGCCCGCTGCTAAACGATCGGCAAAGAATTTGTCGATCGCAAGTACTTGTTCACGGGGCAGTGACCACTGCTTCATGACACAGTACTTCGAGCCTGGTTTAAGCTCGACATCGTGTCGAATATCTTTATCCTTCGGTAACTCGCACGGAACTGTTTTAGGGACTGCATCCTTGAATTCGACCAATTCTTTATAGAGAGGATTTGTCTTGAGCGATTCCCACGATTGGGAGTCGTATCGCTCAACTCGTGTCTTTTCATCGAGGAAACTCTCGTCCGTTGATGAACTACTGAGAACTCTCTCGTTCTAAGTAAACATTGTTGCTTACCTTCTGTCGGCCACACACTCGTCGTCAGCGACGAGTATGCAGATCTGCTTGACTTTGCCACTACGCAGATCACGCAAGAACCTTTTATGTTCGAGCGTTGGCAACTGAGTGATCTGCGAAGACAACTTCGGAGGCGCAATCAGATCAAGTGGATAAGCGCCTACACTTGATCCGTTATTGACTATGACATTCAATGTCTCTGTCATTTCCTGGGGACTTATTCCCTCAGGCTTCGAAGGACTTATTCCTTCGGCTTCCCTGGGACTTATTCCCGCGGGTTTCGGGGAACTTATTTCCGCCGTATTTGTAATCTTGGGACTTATTCCCTTTACTTCCTCTAGCTGGGGTTGCGCAACCACAGCGAGATCCTCTACGAAAGACTCTCCAGTCGATCTAGGATTATCGTTTCGCTTAACCTGAGCGATCGATTGTTTCTCTTCTAGATGTTCCCCTCTAGGGATACATCTTTGTCCCGGTCCACTCGACTTATTCGAGTGGTGGACCTTCGGCGCAGCCTGTGTTTCCTCACAGCCGCCGGAACTTTGCTCCGAAGCGTAACTGTTTGTTGCACTAAGGTTTTGTGCAGTCGTACTAACGACCGTACCACAAGTGAGGCCATCGCACTCACTCGTAGTACATCCACACGCTTGTGGACGCTCCAAATCGTTCATCAGATGGCCATCTGATGAACAAGCGGCAGGCATCGTTACTGTTCGATGTTGCCAGTTTACTCGTGGTTCGTACCTTCTAAGCCACGGTATTCTAAGGATGACATCAAATTTGTCATTCAAATCCAATAAGACAAATTCATCGTCATATTTGGGTATCTTCTAGCGTATAGTGAATCTTCACTATGCGCTTCATGACGGTTACGGATGCGCCTGTCGCAAGACGTGCCGTCATCCTCGTAGGAGGTGTGTCACATTCACTGAATTTTAAGTGACCATCTTCTAGCGATTGGTGTCGCACAAAATTGTTGGACGCCCCACAATCGACTAGAGCTCGAAGGTACAACTGATTCGTCACTTTGAGTTTCAAGGTAATGAGTGAGATCTCATTACCTAGAGCAGCAACGCACAACGTTTGTGTGTTGGGAGCAACCTTCATCAAGAGGCCTACAAATTCTCTTGACGTTGCTGGACCAGTAGGGTGCTCCGCACCTACTGATCCTGTCCGTTTTTTGACGGTCCATCCCGTTGTTGCGTCTTTGCACCAACAGCGGACCCGCGTCTCTGCCCCTTTCTCATGGGTGGACGGTCACTACGCCCAGTGTTGCGAGACACTGGACGAGGGGCACTACACTCGTAAGCGTAGTGTCCTGTCTTTTGACATCTGTTGCATTTCTGCAACTTCTTGTATTATGTAGAGCGAGCCTTCTCGCTCTCTACACAACAGAGTTCCATCGGCTCTGGACCTCCGCTGTCATATCGTCTCGGTGGAAGATATGATGTCGAGCTGGCGCGAGCCTGTCTCAGACTGAAGTCTTCCTGTTCCGCAATGGAAATGGCTTGTTCTAGTGAATCTAGTTCAAGTCGAAACAGGTGAGTCTTGACGGGACCATCCGCAAAACCCTGCATGAACACCGAAACCAACGTGTGTTCATCCACCGGATTGGAACTTATACAACTCGTGAGATGTCGTATATGTTGCGCGTAAGCGTGCACATCACGCTTACCCTGTTTGAGCTTCAATAGTTCAGTTCGAGCTCTGAACTCAGCTCTAGGCGGTTCAAACGTTTGTCTGAGCCGCGACTTGAAGACTTCCAACGACCCAAACGCATATGGGTCGTGCAACTTGAGTCCCAAAGCCCAAGTCTTGGCACTTCCTGCCAGATTTGATTGGGCAAATGCAACTTGCATATCCCCGTCGTCGATGCAACGCGCCCTTATGGCGTCGTCTGATTCGACGAACCATCTCAAGAGGGAGTCTTCTTCGACTCCCCTATACGTAGAGATGTCAATCTTCAAAGTCTCGGGTCGACGCGAGTGCATCGACCCACCAGCAGCAGCCTGCTGCTGTCTCAACAGTTCAAACTGTTGAACACCCTGTTCTCTCAACAACTCTGATTGTTGAGAACCTTGCTGGCGAAGCAAGGCTACTTTATCGCGTTCAGCGTCAAGCTCATTTTGAATGAACTTGGTGTACAGTAGCATGTTGGGCATCTCTATTGAGAGCCTCTAGCATGACGCTAACAGCATGGATGTCCATGGTTGAACCCATCTGTTCAACCGCATCCCATTCGACATCGCTCAAATGGGAGTAGCCGTCAGGCGTAGCGTGAAAGCTTTGGTCATCTTCATCATCCAACATATTCATGTTGGATGTGAACGCGGTCCTTGGACGGACTACGAAGTGCTACCAGGTGTAACGGGGCACCCTGAAGCTTGTACTGGTGACAGTACAAGCTACTTATTCTGATGACAGAATAAGGCGGTGCCTCGGAACTTCACGTACACTCGTACGTGCAGAGGAAGACGGCAAGAAGAAGCGAGTACTTGGTTAAAGTAAAAAGTAGAACTGCATTCATCATTGTTAATGTCTGTTAATAAACCAATGTTTATCCTCATCTAACTATGTCTAAATACAAATGTGTACATCAACTATCTGCTCACCACTCATTGCGTGCGTCTGTCGTGGCGCGTCTTCGTTGGTTGATGTAATGGCCTATATCAACCAATTAGGAACTACTCGTAAGTGCTGCAAAATACTTGTCCTTATGACAATACTCTAAGAATATGACTCTTATAGTTGTATTCTATAAACAATTTCTTATAAATTGTTATGTAACAGTTCACCCCGTTACAATCTACTGAAGTTTGATGAACTGTGTTTATAGCTCAGGGCGGCCGGTGACGGTATTGAGATAGATGAGGTGCTATTTTACGTTTTTTTTAATATTACCATCTGACTATGATGATATGGTGCGCACAATTAAGGCGCAGAGCAACGAGACGCCGCTGGTCGCAAAAGAGATGCTCCGCCGTGAGTACGACACTCGTAAGAAGCGAGACAAGAAAGAAACCGCTTTAAGGCTCATGCTCAGCGCAATGTACCTTGACGCTGTCAAGGTGAACGAGGACACCGTGGAGAAGAAGAAAAACGAGATCGCAACCAACTTTCTACAAAAGGATAGGCCAATGCAAGTTTTCAAGGCAAGAGCTTTGGATGTGGACGGCACGGACACAAAAAAAATATCGCAGTGTCGTTACGTGAAGCCATTGAGACCTGGTGATGAATTTGTCTATTCGGCATTCAGTAACAAAACAACTGAAGTTCGACTTGGTTGCTGGATATTGAATCAAGTCGTCATATGACTGATGACATACGTGAATCCTTGGAGTACGAAGATTTTACTACCCCAATCTTTGTCACTGCGGCGAATGGACAGAAGTTGAAGGCAGAAGGAACAGGCACAGCACATTTCTAACTCTAGAATGGTCGGAAGATAAGCTGACGGAGGTGTTGCATGTGCCTGGGCTGGACAAGAAGCTTGTGTCGGTAGCAGAGCCGACAGCCCGAGGCGTGCTTGTTCAGTGTAAGCGCGATGAAGCAGTTCTGTTGAACATCGACGTGAAAATAGCAGCTATTAAGCGAGTGGGAAATCTGTTTGCGTGGAATGTGAAGCCACATATTAAATTTGAGGCGCACAAGGCTGATATCAGTATTGCGATCAATGACACTAGTGGACCATGGCATGCTCGCCTTGGTCGTGTGTGTGCAAATGAGGTCATGCAAGCGATGAAGTCTTGCGATAGTATTACGGAAGTTGTTGCACCTGATTGTGGTCTAAGTGATGGATGTGCACGCGGGAAAATGACAAACAGCCCGTTCAGTCATACTTCAATTAGTGAATTTAAGACAAGTCGAGCACTCGAGATTGTGCACACCGATCTTATAGGTCTTACGAAGCCGAAGTCGAAGGTTGGAGCCTGCACATACTCTCACTTATCGACGACTACAGCCGACATGTCTACATTTACTTGCCAGCAGCAAAGTCTCAAGTTCTCGAGCGTTTCCAGAAGTTTTGTGCTATGGTGGAGACGCAAACGGATTCTAAGAATAAGGGCATCAGTAGTGACAATGATGGGGAGTATTTGAATCATTTCTTCAACAAGTACTGTTATGATCAAGGTATCATCTACCAAACAAGCGTGCCGTACAACCCTCAACATAATTTACAAGCAGAGAGGATGAATCAATTCTTGTCGAGAAGGCCCGTTCAATGATGTACTGCAGTGTATCGTTCTTGGTGGGCTGAGGTGATTACAACGGTGGTTAAACCATTGATCGAATTCGTAACACTGATCAACCTAGCCTAAGCCCATTCGAAACTTTTTATGGATCGAAGCAGGACTTGAACCATTTTCGTGTCTTTAATTCGACCGGCTATCTACGAGTCGCGAATTGTAATTGAACGAAGTGGTACATCAAGGCAAACAAGCGCATCTTTCTTGGAAATTTGGAAACGTCCAAGGCATACCGAGTGTGGTATCTGGTGAACGAACAATTGGTCATGACTTGATTCGTTAAATAACACGAGCGACCTCCTTCGCGGCACAAAGATTTTGCTCTTCTACGTGAGCCTATTTCTTACTACAAGTATCCTCATGATGAACAAGACGTAATAAATGTTAATGTACCTCACACGAAGTAGAATCAAGAGGTTGAAGATATGGACATTGACGAGACTGCTGACAATTAACATTGTTGGGAAGACATGGTCGTGGATGCGCTTGAAGATTTCAATCCGTCACCGATTTAATCGTTGATCCGATTGAAGGGGAGTGCAAGGACATGCAAGTTATTGACATGAACAATTTGATGATCGGTCGCACACCACACGAACCGGTTGCTGGAAGTGGAGAACACAACACATACATGCTCCAAAGTCTTCCAGATCAGTCACAAGCAATTGTACTGTGTGCGAATCCCTGGTCCCAAGATGGCCGACAGGTAATTTCCTCGGGGTCTAACAAAAGGTGTAATCGTAGGACAACTTGTCTTCCCACCAATGACTTTTTTGATGATGAGAGAATAGAAATACCGTTTATGGCTGATGGATGTCCGGTGGACAGCGAACACGGTGATCCGGACCCCACAAGTCAATGCGTTGAGGATGACAAAAATTCAATTTCTGCTACTGATGCACCGATAAAATTACGAGAGGCTCTGCAGTCAAACGACGCGGAACAATGTGAAGCAGCAATTAAAGCAGAAAGCATAGTCCATATGATGAACCACACATGGGACGCTGTCTATCATCCTCCGGGTGTCAAGGTCATAGGCCACAAGTGGGTATTTGGGTGCAAGTACGACGAAATGGGATATACTGTTAGATGCAAAGCGCTTTTGATTTAGCCCGGATATCTGCAAACACATGGTTTTGATTACTTCGACACTTATTCACCTCTTCCGTGCTCAAACATGATTCGTGTGTTCTTGTCAATTTGTTACAGCATGAAATTTGTGATTCGGTAACATGATGTGGAAACGGCGTTTTAAAATGGCGAATTGGAAGAAGTTGTTTATATGGAGCCACCCTTGAAGTTAGGATTGCACCTTGAATGGTGTTCAAACTACGACGCAGCTTGTAAATGTTAAAACAAGCGGCTGCGGTTCGGCACAAGAAAATGTACTCTGTGTTTTTTGCCATGGGATTCGAACACCGTCGTGCAGACACGCGTCTTTGTGCTCCACGCAATCATACAAACACTAAGTCACCCACATACATAGTGTTGTATGTGGACGACCCTCTGATCGGATGCAAGTTAGATGCAGAGGTGGACAAGATTTTCGAGGAATTGTGAAAGCATTTTATTGTGAAGTCACTTGGAGCTGCGCACAAGTGACTTCACGCATGGAGGTGATTACTCACAAGAAAAGGGAGAATTTGGTGCTAGAACAGTCCCAATTTATTGTGTAGTTGGTCTTGGAGTTTAAGCAGAGTGGAGCCTTTGCAGCACGCAACCCTATCTGCGCAGGCCAAGACCTTACTCCGGATGATACACACCCGGTACTAAAGGACATCACTTCGTATCGCAAAATTGGTCGGTTCACTACAGGACATTGCGAATGCAACACGATTGGACATTAGCTACGCGATGTCAGCTTTATCGCAGCACTTACCCCAGTAACGACAGATGCACTGGCGTGTGGCTTTGCGCGTTTTGCACTATCTCATGGGAATACAATCGCACGGAATTTCGTGCAACAAAATGGACCACAATTAGATGATGCTCTGGGCATATTGTGCTGCACATTGAAGAAATGATAAGGAGACTCGTCATTTTACGTCTAGCGTGTAAATTTTACTCGGATGTGATGTTGTGGTGTACAAAAGCAAAAGTCAAACTTCTGTGGCCGTATCTTCAGCGAAAGCGGAAAACATGGATTTGGCGCTAGCTACGCAAGAAGTCTTGTGAATCTGTTAGTTGCTGAAAAGAATGGATGTCACGTGCAAGACAGCGACTGCGGTGCACAAGGACAATAAGTAGGTGATCAGTATCGTGACAAACCAGGGGTATACGCCAAGAGCTGAGCACATTGACCTCAGGGTAAATTTTGTGTGAGAAAATATCGAGCAAGATGAGATCCAGCTTAAGCATGTTTTGTCAGCTATGCAACTTGCTGATTATTTGAAGAAGCCACTTGGTGCTCCGCAATTGATGCGACTACGCAATGAAAGTGAAATTTGCGAGAGTTCAAGTTGAAGGGGAGTGTAGAGGATCACGAGTTACGACGGTGATGGTTGTGTCGTGAAAAGGGCAACTTGCAAGGACAGTGGTATTCGAACGATCTGGATTGAGCGATCGGTTCATGAGAGGATTTATACACTTTTTTAAGTAGTAGTTTAGCTCTTAAACACTTAATCACTTTCCATTTTCTAGCACAGAGAAGTAGTTAAGGTTTCGTTAGAATTCACGTATTTCGAAATAGACGTTCAGCAGAATAAACATACGAGTACAAACATGTCTATTTAATCGAAAAAAAAATCAGATCATTGTTATGGTCATGCATATGGAAGGATCACGTACGCATTCAAGCGATATAGCGCTTCAGAACTAGCGGGGACGATGGAATCGGTCGGGGAAGGCGTACATTTGACGGTATGCACAATTGAAGAAGTAAGCGGCAATTAGGGCATCTGGCGACTCAGGAGACGTGTTTTTATGATCAGATATATGTGTGTTGTATATTAGAAGATTACGTAGTGCGGAAAAATGAGGGCGGGTAATGTAAAAAGCTCCAGTGTATTGGCTAAAAACTCGACTAAAATTGGGTCGGCGGAGCTCCTAAAGTGTCGACGTGTGGGTTATTATGCACGAGCTGTGCTATCCGCAACACTCCTTATTTTTCAATTTATCAAATTGTCCGATGTTTTGCTTTGATCACATCAGCGTTCTTCATATCATAGGCAACCAATTTTTAGGTTGCCGGCATTGAGCACATTGGGATAAGATGTGAATGTAAACTGAAGAAGTTACATTCTAACTAAACAAATCGCTGGCATGCACTACTTCCCCTCTTTCTCTTTGACCTATGGTCTTCCGTCAAGCACTGGTGACGCGAAAGACCCAATCATGCTACAACGTGTGCCTTGCTTTATACCGTTAATCGCGTGAGTATGGTGAAACCTGGCAATGATGTCGTCAACGTTCCTTGTGTCAGCTGCGGTCCATCTGCAACAGCTTTTGCACTGCGTCGTTGCAACTCCGACACGGCAAGACACTACAGAGCTTAGAAAGAAAACTCGTTTTCTTATTGTTAAATAGGCCTTTATCCTTAAAACTATGAAGATTAAATATGTGGACTGATTAATGTAATTCAATCTTTGATCTGCTCTCCCTCACAAGCCCAGTTTCCACTTTTTGTGTTACTCTCCCTCACGTATTGGCAAAAGCGTGGATGTACTAGACAAAGACCTCATCTGCAATGTGTGAGCTGCGACCTACAAGACGAGTGTTTCTGTGGCAGATGCTACCTGTGCTCGAGGGGGTGGATCCGGGGCGAGTTTTGTGGCGCAAGACGTTGACACGCCGTCCACGTTATGGCGAGGGCTTCGAAGGAACCGATATCATACGTGCAATTTATGTTTTTGTGATCTGATACTTGAATTTTTAGCTGGTCGAGAAGAGAACTGCCATCCGTATCGGGAGTAGACTTGGACCGGTAAACGCAAGTGTAGATGAATGCGGAGGTACAGGTCGGCGCTGTATCTTTTGTTCAGCAGCTCCATAAGCATTACTCAGTGGTGCTGGATTGCATCGAGCAAACCATGCAGATGGTGATGACAAATTCATGCGAGCCTGCGTGT